TTGACCCCAGCATGAATGTAAAGTGAAAGTATAAAGAGTGAGTGTTGCTCAGTGACATGAACCATCTACTGTGGACAAGGGTGTATAACCTTTTCTGGTCATCCCTCCTACATTGTTTCATAGACTGATGAGATCTTTGATCTGCCATATCAAGTCAGTGTGTGATTTTATAGCAGAGACTCTGACATCAAAGGCATGTTTCACTGTGGGGCGATAAAGTGGAGCTTATCTGATCAGATAACTGTGGTTGAGGAAATAATTTGAAGGCAGCAGGTTCATACGTACCCCATGTTTTCATTTAATTAGCTGTTTATGACATTAACTAGTAACTGTGATAAGCACAAGGACAGGGTGAGGCCTTCAGGTTGTGTGTTCTTACTAAACAAGAAGTTCACTTCACTTTGAAGAGCAGTTTACATACATTCATCCCACATTGTGGAACTCTGACCAGACAAAACACAGACTTGTTATAACAGCTTAAAAATACCACAAAGTCACTAAACGCATGACGTGTCTCCCTTAAAGAAGTCTGGATCTCTGGAAGGATGAGACATAAGTCACAGGATGTAGGTAGAGGTCATCTTTTTGTGTGCGATGATAACATGTATAATTCAGACTGGATAAAATGTCGTGCATGTTTTAATGTCATGTTCACTCCTTTCACCCACGACACTGTGGTTTGAATCCTGTGTGGTCCTGTTGTTTTATGGTGTTTATGCTACAAACTACTTGGTTAAGTTCAGGTGAAGGTCCTGGTTTGGGTTAAACTACATGAAACACAAAGCTCTGGTGGTTTTCTACATTGCTAGAACGATGAGTCCAGCTCCAACCGTAGCTTCTGTAAAATGTAAGGATCTCACATTTTCACAGCCTTGATTTGTAGAGGATGTGAGTTTTGTGCTGTTGACCGGTGGAGCTGTTCCACGTTACTGTGTGACTGAACTGTCCAAGCAGGAGATGACCAACACCAGGATAAGCTCCTTGACTGGAACCCATGTGAGGAAGCTGCTCCTCCCTAACAGAGTTCCTGCTGCATGTTCACTGAAAACAGCAACCAAGAGACTGAGTCCTTTGACTGAGAAGCTGGATGTCACATAGTTTCCTGCTCTTACATTCTGATTAAACAGAGACGGTTTTTGGTTTGGCCCAACACAGACACCAGTCTGACCAGTGAACTGTGTGATCTCTCTGCCCAGTCTAGAATGTTGGAGCAACCTTGGCATTCCTGCTATGAAGGCAATCATCAGAACCCTCCTCAAGTCTTCAAATGGGTCTGAATATTACAGATTTTTTTTTTTCACAAAGTCCATTTGTATCCAACTTCTGCTTCTGACGCTCAGGCTGTTGCCCCCTTAAACCAGCTGTGGATCAGAGGAACACTTTTCCCGTTCTTGTGTAGAAGACGTGACCTCCTGACGTATGGTCATGACCTGATGTCTCGTGGCCACTAAGCGTACAACATGCAGACACGGTGAGGAGGCCTGAACCTTGACCAGATAACAGCTCAGAAACCAACACTGCAATAAATTCACACGTCTGTTCAAAGGTCTTGTTTATTGTTTAATTCAGGGTTATGGTCCATAAAGCTTTGAGTGGTGATCAAATAAAACAACGTGATTCTTTACAACACATCAGTAAAATCTGAAGCAGCTGACTAAATGAGGCCAAGGTCAGCAGTGTTAAACTGCCAAAGCTTAATGTTTAATATGGATGTGATGCCTCCAGGAAATAGTCATATGTCCACCAATTTACCCCAAAACCTAAAGTGCACTCAGTGATTACTGCAGTCACAAACATCAGTGGCTTATGTAATATTTACTATTTTAATATTAGAGTGTATTTTATTAGACTGAAGTCAGTTTTGTGTCTTTTCTGTAAACTCAGACACCACACGTCCTCAGTCCTCTTAGCAGCTTCCTGGCTCTGTGTATTTCCTGGTAACACGCTGCTCAACTCCCTGAAGGCTCTGTGTATTGGCTGGAATCCACTGGGCTACCCAGCATGCACCTGGTGTAGCTCCTGAGTCCAGAGCAGAACGATGGAGGACCTCCAGTGCTGCTGAGGAGTTCCAGAAACAGAACGTAGCTGCAGTCTGACGTGATACAAACTGATCAGTCGCATGTAGAGACGCTGATATCTGATCTGAGCTCTGAGCTGCAGAGCAAACAGCTGATGTGATTCAGGTGTGAGCTGGTCCTGCTTTCACTTTTAGGTTTAAGAGATGAAGCTGATGATTGATTTTTCATCTTTTTAGTTCAGTTTTCAGATTCAGTCTCAAGATCACAACTGAAGACGTTAACACAGTAAAGTCACATCTGCTGTTTTATATTTCCAGGTTTGGATGTTAAATCTGTGAGTCTGTACACATGAAGCAAACCTCCATCCAGCTGCTGTGTGTCTTTCTAGCCTTTATTAAAATGTCTGAAATGCTTTAAGATGAAATAAGATTAGATTCGATCCTCCTTTATTAATAACTCAGTAAGAAAACATGCAGCAAACTGGATGCTGCAATAAAGTAGGAACATCAGCAGAAAAATAAAATCAAGACGAAATCAAACAATTCTGAAGCTGCTTCATCCAAAATGAAGAACAGGACATTTCAGAAAACCTGTGATACAAAAAGGAATTGTCTTGATGTCGGTAAATACCTGGGGAGGTATTATACTGATATCTGTTATTTGATAAAGTAGTTTAATGAAAATGTACAGAATTCTACAAAACACATCTTTAAAGGGATTTTATTCAAAATGAGTTTTGGCTTCTACTCTGAGAATTTGATCATTTTTAAGCATTTTGTTAATATCTTTATGTTTTGTGATCATATTTCAAAGACGTGTTTTGAGTTTCATTGATATCTTTTGAACATTCTGATGATGTTGTGTTCTCCAGGCCCACAATATGAGAATCAACCAGAGTTATGGAACTGAACNCACTACGGGTGTTGGTGCCACAGGGCGGACGTCAGTGAGGCCTGTGATGGTAGATTTTTTGGGCAGTGCTATAACAGTGGCAGATTTAAAACATGATGGAACAACAGCCTGCTCCAGCGAGGTGTTAAAGATGTCCATCAGCACCAGTGCCAGCTGGTCAGCACGCTCCCTGAGTACTCGTCCTGTCAGGACCTGCTGCCTTGCACACATTCACTTTTCCCAGGGTCACAGCCACACTGAGGTTCAGTGCTGTTTCATCAGGGAGGGGGCTGGTTGTTGGTGTTCCTTCCAAAATGACAGAAAAAATCATTCAGTTCATGGAGGAGAAGCCTTGTAATCCGTTATTACCTGGATCCCCTGCCACAAGCTCCTGGTGTTGTTGGGATCATGGAAAAAGCTCTGAAACTTCTCAGCATGTGCACGCTTTGCTGTTCTGACAGCCTGGTTGAGCTCTGGCTGTTCTGAGCCCGACCTCATCGGCAGAAAGTGGAGCTCCGTGCTTTCAGCTTCTCCCGTACCTCTTGCGTCATCTATGGCTTCTCGTTGGCTCTGGTGGAGATGTTCTTCATGACGCAGAGGTCCTCTGTGAACTTTTGGATGTAGGCAGATCCAGATGTAGCAGACTCCTCCACACTGGTGTGTTCATTGTCCGTTGCAGCAGCTTTGAACATGTCCCAGTCTCAAAAACAGTCCTGGAGGACTTCCATTGCCCCCTCAGGCCAGACCTTACCTGCCTCTGCTTCAAAGATTTGTTTTGAGTTTCATTGATATCTTTTGAACATTCTGATGATGTTGTGTTCTACAGGCCCACAATATGAGAATCAACCAGAGTTATGGAACTGAACCTTTATAAGGGAGGAGGTTGGAGGAGATTTGCTGATCTGTAGAGGCTGGTGTAGCAGCGATGTGGTGAGCGCGGAGCAGCAGAATGAATGAACGCTGCCTCAGTCATAAAGCAGCTCAGTGGGCTGGACTAAAGCAGAGAACGACTGGACAGAAAGCCTTGTGACGTCCTGACTCCATGACTGTCAGAACTAATGCTTCAGCTCCATATGTCGTCAAAGATGTCAATATATAGTGTGCCATCAAAAAACTTCATGGTACAGTCTGTTGTCTTAAATAGTATTTTGTCAGAAACGTGACCGTATAGTCAGTCATAAATGTGAATTTCTCCACTGTGAGATAAATAAAGGCATATCTTATCTTATCTTAAATACAGTATATACTTTATATATCTTTAAGAGTTACAGTTTACTATGTTGTCAAAAACGTCCATTTGGTATCGAGTGACTCATCGTCAAAATGTTTGCTGTCAGCAATGTACGATTTGTTATCAGCGACACCATCGTGTAGTCTGTCATCACATCATAGTACAGCAAGTCATCAAAACCGTAATAATATAGAGTTTTGTTAAAAACATCGTAATGTAGTTCAGTGTCAACAATACCACTGTGTAGCCCATGCATTTATAACTTCTACACTGGACTGTTGTAGTTCTTTATTATCAGGACGTCCCAATAATTACTTAGAAACCTCCAGCTGATGCAAAATGCTGCAGCCAGAGTTCTGACAGGAACCAGTGGCAGAGATCAGAAAGTCAGAATGTGTGGTTTCCAAAAAGGCCACAGTGCAGTCATAGAAACTTCCTGTAGTTTATCTTCTCTTCTTCCACACCTCATCTGTCTCTGCTCAGCTGCACTTCAATAAAAGCTCAAAAAATCTTTAAAAAACAATTATTTCATCAAAGACTTCAGTTTATTCTGATATCAAACACGTCATAGTGTAGAATAGTATGCCTTAAAAGACTTGGTAGTGTAGAAAGTCATCAAAATGTCGTGCTGTAGTAGATCTCCTCCTCAACCGTTCGTTTTCTACAGAGTAGTTTAATGTTCTGAATTTCAGAAAAAAGCTCATATGTCTGTAAATGAGCAGCAGGAACTGCTTTCATAAATGTTCTGTGCTGAAAAGTATCCTGTAGCAGTAAACAGAGTCGTACACGTACCTCAGAACTGTGCTTCACCCTAACTTCATCAGAAACCCACCACAGACAGTGATCACACAGAGAAGGTGTGTAGTGCTGAAATCATGCTTTATTAAATCAGTAATGCATCAAACTCAAGGAGGATGAGATATAGTTCTACATCAACAGATCAATTAAATCAAAGTGAGGGTGAAACAGAACTGCTTCTCTCTCTGTCCACAGCAGATGGAGTCGCTGGTGGCTGAAGCAGACTCTGACTACCGACAGGTGAAATGACTAAAAGCTACAAACACTCGCACTCAAACAAACAAACCTAACTATCCTCCGAGAGACGGCGCTGCTTCTGCACAGCAGAGCCGGCGTCGGCTTTCTGTTCGTTCATGGCCAGGAGATGTTTCGCTTTAAAAAGCCAATCCGGCCGTGCTGTGCCAGAAACAGCGCTCTGTTAAAATGATCTAAACGCTGAGAGTGCAGGCCGCTCGCACTCTGAGCTGGTCATCAAGTCACGGTGGTATGACACAGTCAGTCTGAGCACAAGGCCGTTCATGCTGCTTACATGAGGGTGATGCAAACAGCACTCAGGGTCTTACACTCATGGTACAACTCATAGGAAAGTGTATTATCGCACGCACAGATGCGTGTCCAAAACAACAAAATTGTCTTTCTGTTAGCGGTTCATAACGTCAGCAGGGAGCCTCTCTACCTGCTGAGGCAATCTTAAGACTTCAACTTATCGTTGAGGCACAGTTTAGTTTCTCAGTTCAACAGGGTATTCGTTCCTGCTGGAACTTTCTCCTGTTAAACTGCAGTTGTTCTTTTGTTTCAGTTAATATTATTGTCATAAATAACAATGCATACATTTCCCATAACCGGTAAACTCGGCTATATACATTATGTACATGTCACAGAAAAGTGGTTCAAAAATCCTAAGTCATAATTGTCCAATATGGCACATTTTATAACAACTTTAGACTTTAGTCTAGTTTGGCATAAATTAATGTCAAGTTTGGTACAAAAATAGTTCATATTTACAAGAACAGAAATCCAGATCTTTATCCAGCAGATTATTGTTGCTCATTCACTAAATAAAAAGGTTCTGGACGAGGGAAAGGGGGGATAGAAATTAACTTTTTTTTTCCTTTTTTACATGGACCGAATGTGAACGTTGACGATTGCAGAGTCGGAGCCGAACTCGTTGGACAGTCGGAGGGTGTAAGCTCCGGCGTCAGCCTCCTTCACCGCACAGATCAGGAGGGTGGACAGGTCGGCCGAGTTCTCCACGTGGTACCGCTCGTCCCCGTTGGGAAGGGTTCGACCCGAACGGAGCCACTGGACAGACGGGGCGGGGTCTCCGGAGAACACCCCCGCCACGGTCAGAGACTTCCCCGGCTCAGCGCTGACGTTCTGCGGAAGAGCTTCGATCTTTGGTGGAAGGCCTGTCAGCCAAGAGAGGAGTGGGGTCAGTGAGGACCTGTCTACATCTGTGAAGGAATCGTCTGGTGTGAGCTTCAGTTTGTCTCTTTCACATCGTTTTTATTTTTGAGACTTTTGGACCGATGGTTCCAGATCTCTGTCATAAAACCAAGCAGGTTGTTGGAAACAGTTCCAGTTGGTAACATTTCATTCAGCGTTCATATGTCTGTTTATTTGGAATTTAAACATCAGAACAAATGTCTCAGACGTCAGCTGACGATCGAAGGGAGGAGAACAAACTGAGGCTGCTCTTAAACACTCTCACAATGCTGCAATCTTCACCACCTTTACTCACGGGGACTCTGGTCATTCAGGCCACCCCTGGTTACCCTGAGTGTAAGTACACATCCAGTTAACTGTTCAATGCAGCTCACCTCTTTTGGCCCCTGTGGTAAGAGCCCTCAGTGAGGAGGAGGCCTCGGCATGCGAGAGTGCAGACATTTCCATCGTGTGGCTGCTGGAGCTCATGGAAACCACTGACTTTGCCATCATGGCAGACATGCTAGTCGCGGACATGCTCTCAAACGAACAGTCAGCAGCAGCAGAGCGAGAGCTGCTGCTGTAACTGCTGGCCTGCATGGAAGCTGCTTCCATACGGACCGACGAGGCCATGAAACCTCCGTGCATGCTTGCAGAGTCAGTAGAAGCTCTTTGCTCCACAATAGTCATTTTTGTTGGTTCTTCAATAAGAGCTGTGAGAATGCAAATGACAAGCACACAGCTCATATGACACGAGTACTGCAAACCATCAGCAGACAGCAGACGCCTTGGATTTACACTCAAAGGTCTGAATGTTGAGTTAAATTTAAGATAGTGGCTTTAGTGCAATCCAAGTCTCATTATTTATCAAAAAGTTTAGTATTCAAGCCTGTCCAACCCACAGTGATACAGTTAAACCCACTGTCACTGTGGGTTCAGCTGTGTGTATTAGAAGTGCAGCAGAAACTTACTGAGGACGTTGAGGGATGATGTTGCAGAGCACTGTCCAAACTTGTTTTTGGCTTTTATTGTGTATTTCCCGCTGTCTGCAACCGTGGCTTCACATATCTCCAAAGTGTACACATTCTTAGAGCAGCTCAGTCTAATGTTTGATGTGACACATATCTGTTAAGAGAGAACGTTGTGTTAAGCCAGCTACACAGGATTTGATTGGTTGGCGGCTAGCAGATAAAATTTTGTCTTGATTACAAAACTACTCACCATCATGTTGTCTTTTAGCCACTCCACTTCAGGAGAAGGCTCTCCTGCTACTTCACATGTGAATTTAACATTTTGTCCCTCGTCTACGTTCTGAGACCGGGGCTGCACCACAAAGTGTGGTGCGTCTGAACGCTTGGCCGTGACGGTGGTGTCGAACTGACATCGGACGAGGCCTCGCGGTGTTTCAGCCCGACACGTGATGATCCCCTGCTCGTGCTGGCTGACCGACCTGATGGTCAAAGTTTGGTCGTTTCCAGAAACGCCGTACTTGTACTGCTCTGAGTTTGCCACTTCCACTCCGTTCAAGATCCATCTGATGTTGGAGGCCTTGGGGATGTTGGCCCTCAGAGTCAGAGACTGGCCCTCTGTGACAGACATCTGGCTGTGGGAGGAACTGACCTCCTTCAAAGAGGACGAGACTTCCTCGAGGACTGTTTCCTTTTTAACGACATCCTCACGGACTTTTATTTTGGAGCTCTTTGAGCCTGGGACAGAAATAAATGTAGAAGTTTATGGCAGGAAACAGTGGTAGCTGCAGAGTGACTGTCTACGGCTGAAAGATTTTTTAAAAAAATGCTACGAGTCAATTTTAGTGGGAATGGTGAGTTGTGCATTTCTTTTTCACTGAAAAAAAAAGATAAGGTGAGGTGAGCCTTTATTAATCTCACAACAGGAAACATTGCAGAGTTACAGCAGCAGAGAGGATTGTGCAAAAATGAAGATGTTACGTATGTACCAAACACGTTTCCCCTGTCTGGAGAATATGATTTACCGGCCTGTGAATCTATCACCACAGCTATAACAGTATGCTGTGATCAAAATAAGAACTGCAGCGACTTCCTGTGAGTTTGATATTTCCTCACTTACCTCGTACAGTGACAGTGCAGGTTGTTGAGGCCACTCCAGCAGCATTGGTAGCAGTGCACTTGTACACCCCACTATCAGACACCTCAGATTCATAGATCTCAAGATAGGCAGAGCCAGAATCCTCAAACATTTCATACTTCCCACCCTGAGACAGAACCTGCCAATCCGGAAAATATGATTCAGTTGTTATTCAACATAAATGTGTCCCATTGGCAAACCTCTTCTCTGATAACTCAAAAAAGAACAGTGAGACTATTTAACTACGTTACCTTTGCATCTTTTGTCCATGAGACTGCAGGTTTGGGCTCTCCTGTCAGCTTCACTGACAACTTCACAATTGAGTCGGAGGCTGCAGAGACGTCGTTTAGCACAGCAGAGAAAGACGGCTTCTTGTTTGGCGACTTTGTTGGAGAAATCACTCGTTCCTTCTCAGATGGAGTTGGGGATTTGGGAGTAGGCGACTTTGGTGTTGGGGACTTTGGTGAGACTGGAGACTTCACTCTCTGTGGTGACTTGATTGGCTCAGGGGATTTGACTCTTTGTGGAGATTTGATTGGCTCAGGGGACTTGGCAAGAGGGGATTTAGCCTCTGGAGAGGTGACTCTAGTTGAGGCGACCACTTTGTCCTTTGACTCAGACTTGCGGATCTTCAGAGTGAAATGGGCTTCTTGTTTGCCTCCAGCATTTTCCACCAGTAGAGTGTAGCTGCCTTCGTCTGACATCTCCACAGCAGAGATCTCAAAGGAGGAGTTGTACTGAGTGGAGACAATGTGGTGGCGGGCGGAGGGACCGACAACAGTTCCTTCATGCAGCCAAGTGATAGCAGGTGCTGGTTCTCCATCCACATCACAGTCAAACCTGGCGTTGTCTCCCTCCTCCACCGTTAGTGACTGTGGCTTCGTCAGGATCTTAGCGGGAACACTGGGCTTCTCCCTCGGCTTCTCAACAACAGTGGTGGTCTCTTTAACTGTTTCTGTTTCCTTCACAGTTGTTTTAGAGGAGGAGACGTGATACACCTCTGTTCTGGTCATCTCGGGCAGATGGGCAGATGGAGGCTCCTCGTCTTTGCGGAGTGAAGAGAAGGCAGCATACTCTTCTCCAGCTACATCCAGTGTGGCATAGTCAGAAGTCTCTCCTTTGGTACTCCTGCAGACCACACGGTAAGTTCCAGAGTCTTCAGTCACACATTTGATGATCTGGAGAGTCAGAACTCCACTGATGTTGGTGATGTGGTATTTGCTGCTCTGATGAATTTCTTTGCCGTTGTGGAACCATTTGACCTCAGGCTCAGGTTTGGCCTGAATGTTCAGGGTGAACCTAGTGTTGGAGCCATAGGGCACGCGGTGAGATCGCATCCTAATGGTGATACGAGGGGCATGGTCAAGGCTAAAGGGAGCCTGTGTCACCACCTCCACTTTCCTCTCCACAGATCTTCTCTCTGATCTCAGAGCCTGCTTTCTCTCTTCGTACCTGGACATAAAGTCAACTTTAGGAAGGCTAACATCTGTCTTTGCAGCTTTCTCAGGGGTTGGAGATCTCCTCCTTACAGGTTCAGGCATTGGGAGCTTCTTGATTGGTTTAGGAATATATTCTGAGGCGAAAGTTGTCAGGTGTTCAGACTCTATGGCCTCAGAGACTGTTGAAACAGTAACTGTTGTTTCCTTTTTCGAGGCTCGGGTCTTCTCCTCAAACTCCATGCGTTTGAGTTCGCTCTTGTAAGAAGAGATTCTCTGGGCAGTAGTGTGAGGACGCAGCAGCTCCTGATCTTCTCTCTCTTCATACACCCTCTGCTTCTGTCTTGGAGGTTTGTGTGTGGCTTTGTCGTGACGCTGGCGGAGATCAACAAAGCTTGGGCCAGCCTCGTATTTAGATGGAATTCGGTAAGAGTCATACCTGTGGATTTCTTCCCCTTCTTCATCGTCGCTATAGACTCTTCTTGGAGAAGAGGGACGCAGTGCAGACAGCTCGAAGCGAACTGGGCTGAGGCTTGGTGGAGAGGCAGAGTAGCCAAGCTCCAGCTCCTCCTCCAGACGCAGCCTCTCTTCCTCAGTTCTCTTCATGGACAGATACTCATCCACTGGCAGCAGCAGCTCTTCATCTGACAAGTCGCCCAGAGACCTCCTCCTGATCCTGTGGTAAGCCTCCATTTCAGGGGAGGGAGTACGATGCCTTGCAGGCCTCACCGTCTCTAAGTCATCCTGAGTCATAGATGAGATTCGCCACTTGGGCTTGTACTGGTCCTTGATCCTGATGGGCACCTCGTAGAACTGCTCCCACCTGGAGAGGCGGATACGCTTCATCCTCTTCTGCTTGATTTTGTCCATCGGCTCAGGGAACTCATACTGGTCCCGTAGCTTCTTGTACCACTTCATGTCAGAGAGTGGCTTAAAGTGTTTAATTTCCACATCCTCCTCCAGGACAGCAGGGTTAATGACACGAGGTGTGGGGACAACGTAGGGCATACGCAGTCTCTTCTCATCAGCCCTCTTCTTCCTCTCCTCCTGTTCTTTCTGGATCTCTGCCTCAGTCTTCTCACCCTTCTTAGTGGTGACAGCAGGTTTGAACATGGTGGCGGCCTCTCTCACAGCCTGCACTGCTGCGGGTGGTAGAGGTGTAACAACAGTGCCAGCCATGATCTGAGACAGTCTCACCTTTTTATCCAACTTCTCTTTTCCAGCAAGCTTTTCCTTCTCCTTATCACTGATTTCAACTTCCTTCTTTACATGTGCAACACGCTCCACCTTGAGTGTGGCCTGGCAGCTGGCAGATCCGGCAGAGTTGGTAGCAGTAACTCTGTAAACACCAGAGTCCTCGGGAAGAGTGTCTCTCACATGAAGGATGAAGTAATCCAGGCCCTCATGGATGACCTCGATGGAAGGTCCAAAGGCTAATGGCGTGCCATCCTTCTCCCACTTCAGCGTGGGATGGCCAGATACTCTGATCTCAAAGCGCACATTCTGGCCCTCTTTGCACTCAACGTTAGCGAGGAGGCGTTTAAACATGGGCCTCAGGGTGAGGTCTGCTGGTTTAGGTCGAGGAACAACAGTGAGACGAGCCTTGCAGCTGTCATCACCATACCTGTTACGGGCCACAACGCTGTACTCAGCATCATCCTCATTGTCGAGATTGTGGATGATCAGCTGGTACAACCCCTTGTCACTGATGAAAGTATATTTTCTGTCATCATGTCCAGGGATGAGCTTTTGTCCAGACTTGTGCCAGATGACACGAGGCTCAGGATGAACGGTGATGGTGACACCAAAGCGCAAATCCTCACCAATGTAGGCTGTGCGGTTGACCAGAGGCAGGGTGAACTCTGGTGGCTTCTGCAACATTCTGGCAGTGTCCACTCTGCGCTTTGTTTTCTTCACCACTCGCGTGGTGAAGAAGTCACGGTACGATCTAACAGTGTTGACAAACATCTCTGCATAAGCACTGTCCTCACCATACTCATTCACAACCTTGCACCTGTATGTGCCATCATCTGCTCTCGTAACCTTGTTGACAGTGATTATAGCCAGACCATCCTCATACTCAATTTCATATTTGTCACCAGCTTCGAGTTGTCTGACGCCACAGTACCATGTCACCTCAGTGGTGCTGTCATAATTGTCGATATTGCAGATGAACTTCACACTGTCTCCCTCATTCACCACAGCATGGCTAACCTGGCCTGCGAGAGGGCCATGTTCAAATGGAGCAATCTTCACCTTGGCAATAAAGACGCCACGCTGGGATCTGATGGAGCCACCACTGGCTATACGGGCAGCAGATACAACAGTGCTCCACTCCTTTTTCACCATTGTCTGGTAGTATCTCTTATGCCTGCCAGTTGGGATCGCTCTGGCACTGATCTCCTCGGTGGGCTTGGTGAGCCAAGGATGCACCAGAGCCTCAGCTGCTTTCATACGGTGTTTACGTTCTTTTGTCATGAGACGATCAGTGAAGTCTAATGCTTCCACACTGACCTGCTTGAATGACTCATCATCGTAGCTATAGGCTGCGTTGGAGATGTTGTCGATCATCTGTTGGTTGGTTTCAGCTGTGAATGGATTAAGTCCACTGAGCAGCACGTAAGCGAGGACACCAACTGACCACATGTCAGTGACTGTGCTAACCATGTCACACTGGTGGATCTCAGGGGCAGCGTACTCTGCAGTGGTGTACTGAACCTTGATCTGGTCCCCAGGAGTCAGGTGTCTGGACTGTCCTAGCTCAATAATTTTCACATTAGAGCTGCTTCTGGTGGTGTACACAATGTTCTCAGGTCTGATATCAAAGTGTCCATAGCTCTCAGCATGAAGGAACTCAAGAGCTGAGCAGACCTGCCTGATGTAGTTTACAATCTCACGCTCACTCAGCTCAAACTCAGCTGTGCTAAGGCGCTCAAATATGTCCACACCAGAGATGAAGTCATAGATCATCACCAGTTCCTCAGGGCTGTCGAAGGACTCGTGAAGGAGGAGGAAGTTTGTTTGTTTGGCCAGATTCAGTGTTGCAATTTCCTTCTTGACAATTGCTTGATCAGCACCTCTCACTTTAATGAATTTAGCCATGTAAGTCTTCTCGGAGCTGGTTTCAACACAGCGATGGACAATACCAAACTGACCTCTGCCGAGTTCTTCAGCAATGGAGTATTTGTTGTGCACATTCTTGGCGTCGCTGTGCGGAGCTTTGCCCTTGGGAACACGTCCAGTATCGTCCACCTCCCTGTCATACAGCAGGACTCTAGATTTGTCCTCTTTGGTCATGACAGGTCCGCTGGACTCAGACGGGGCACTCTGTCCAAACTTGTTTTCAGCAATGACTCTGAACTGATAGCTTGTTCCTCCAAACAGGTTGATAACAGTGTAGCGGGTGTCACGGGACTGTGCAACACGTTCCCACCTCTCAGCTGTAGTGGGACACTTCTCAATAATGTAGCTGACAACCTTGCTGCCGCCATCATTGGCTGGGGCCACCCAGTTCAGCGTGACCGAGTCTCTGGAGACGTCACTGGCTTTGACACCACGTGGAGGATCAGGCACATCAGCTACGTCCAGCTCAACTGTTTGCTGGTCAATGCCAAATCTGTTCTTGGCACAGACGATGTAGAAACCAGCATCCTTCTTCTCAACACCATTGGGGAACACCAACGAGGTGAAGGATCTGGTGACAATGACTTGGTAGTGGCCATTGCTGTCAATGAGATCTTGACCCTTCTGCCATGTAATGACAGGATCTGGTTTTCCACCAAAAGGAATCTTGATGTTAACCACCTCTCCACGCAGAGCGGGGATGGCTTCCTTGTCCTTCAGGTTCTTTGGCAGGTTGATCTTGGCAGGAACTAGAAATACAAATGTAAGTATAGTATAAGACAGAAGTGTAAGAAATATAAATGTCATTTTTACTTGAATTTAAAAAGTAAATTTCTGCGGACATTGGTTTGGATAGAGATAATTATTTGCAAGCTTACTTTCAACATCCAGAGAGACTGTAGCACAGATGGAGCCTCCCTGGTTGGTGGCCCTAATCTGGTAAACAGTAGAGTCTTCCTCATCAGCCTCAGTGATGACCAGCTGGTGGTAACCTCCCTTAAACTCCTGGATCTTGATTTTCTTTCCATCAGAGTGGATCTCCTTTCCTCGTCTGAACCATTTAATCACAGGTTTGGGCTGTCCGAGGATCTTGCAGACGAGGGTAGCATTGCTCTTAAACTTGACACTCATGTTCCTCAGCTCCTCCTTGAAGGCTGGAGCACGGACCTCTACAGCTGTAGCTGGAACAACGGGCGCAGTCTCCTCACTGTAGTCACTCTGTCCTCCAAGGTTCTCGCAGTTAACACGGAAGATGTACTCAACGCCCTCTGTCAGACGCTTGACAGAGAACACCGTCTGTTTGATTTCATCAGTGGTCACTGGAGTCCATTCAGTCCATTCCTTCTTGTCCTTCTTGTGTTTCTTCTCAAGGCAGTAGCTCTTGATCTTAGATCCACCATCGCTGAGTGGAGGCTTCCAGGAAACCACGCAGGAGTCCTTGGTAATTCCAGAAACAACTGGTGACAGAGGTGGTGATGGTTTCTCTGTAGACAGGAACATGTAAATACAAAAATACTGTCAGTACCTTTACACAGTGTACCTGGGTTTTTCTTTACATATGAATGGATCTGTGCTAACACTGTCAGTACTTATGAAACACAACTAGAAACTGTATCAAACTTACCCAGTTGGCTCTTGATGAGGATGGGGGAAGTGAGCTCCAGTGGCTCACTGTTGCCATAGCGATTCTGGGCATAGACACGGAAGAAGTATCCAGCGCTGTCGATGAGGTTGGGCACACGGCAAGATGTGCCATTGATGGATGATGACACCAGTTCCCACTCAGTGCCCTCCTTGTCCTCGCGCTTCTCCACAATGTAGTTGGTGATCATGCAGCCACCATCGTCCTTGGGAGGCTTCCAGCTGATGATCACTGAGTTCTTCAGGAGAGCATCCAGAATGATGGGACCCTCAGGCATGTCCGGTTTGTCTGTGAGAGAGGTAATAAATGTTATTATTTACAAATCTAATGATATCACCTTTACAGATGTGCAGGTAATATAAGGGAACATACCATAGATCTCAACATTGAAGGCAGTGTCAGCCCTGCCGAAGTGGTTGTGCAGTCTGATTCTGTATTTGCCTCCATGGACTCTGCGCTGCACGTTCTTAAGGACAAGATGCGTGTAGTGCTCTGTGGTCTCAATGCTAATGTCCTCTGAGTTCTCCAAGGTCTTTGCCCCATGCAACCACATGATCTTGGGCTCAGGGCGGCCAATGTAGACAACGTGGACGCGTAGAGTAGTTCCCAAGCCAGCGTAGTAGGTTTCCTTCAGAGGGTAGTCGGGGTGGAAGGATGGAGCAGCCTCCAACACCAGGACGCCTGTAGTCTCTGCTTCTCCGGCATCATTGATGGCCTTGCAGGTGTATTCTCCTTCATCCTCCTGCTGGTCAGTCATGATAGACAGGGAGTGGTTGCGGCCGTCGGAGCTCATTTCGTACTTGCGGGACTCGACAACCTCCTTGCCAGCATGATACCACTTAATTTCAGGGACAGGTCTGCCAATAATCTGGCACTTCATTACACCAGGCTGTCCAAATTTGATGGTTACTTCATCCATTTCCTTCCTCAGGCTTGGTTTAGTTTCAACTGTAGGCATAAAACCAGAATGTATGTTTATTAAACACATACAGTATGCTTGTTGTGTTGGAAAATCCCCCTGGGAAAACAAGCATGCAAATAATTTTCACACAGTGTATTTCAGTGTACTTACCACTGAGTTTGGTCTTGATGCATGTGGCAGTCCTACGAGGTCTGCTCATTCCTGTCTCATTCTCAGCAAACACTCTGAACTCGTACTCTGTGGCCTCGGCCAGTCCTGGCATGGTGAACTCCTTCTCCTTCAGCCGCTGCTTGTTGCACTTCTTCCAAGTGCTCTCGATGGACTTCCTGTACTCCACCCAGTAGCCCAGGACCTCTTTTCCACCATCGCACTCTGGAGCTTTCCAGCGAATGGTGATGTAGTTGTTGGTCACAGTCGCAATGTCAATCTCACCTGGTTGACTGGGCTTGTCTGGAAAGACAAAAACAAAATAAAGAAACATTTAGTGTATTTAACAGTTATTTTTTTGACTGAAGCAATAATTGGTGTATATTTCTTGATTTTATTTTATTTTTTGTCTGTAAAACTGAGTGAGAGTTCCTATTCCAACCTAGTGGATGAGATTTTACTTGGATTTACTGTGAAATATCATTGATATTTGGTGGTACTTTGTCCATTAAAATATCATCATTAAGAAAACTTAGAGACTCACCAAATGGATCTTTGCATGTGACTGGATCAGACACAGGACCAGCCTCGCTCTCCCCTATGTCATTGACAGCAACAATGCGGAACTGGTACTCTGTATCAGGGATGAGTCCAGGTAGAGTAAACATGGTGGAGGTTATTTTTGTGCCGTGGCGGGACCATGCCTCAGCAGACACCACCTTGTATTCAACAATGTAGCCGGTAATAGCAGAACCGCCATCGTCCTTTGGTCTGGACCAGGCCAGTGCCACTGAGCTCTTGGTAACATCCATGATCTCTGGTGGAGTGCTTGAAGGCTCGGGGGGACCTGGTATGAAAAACAGAGAACATTTTGAGTCATCACTGAACGATCTTATGCTGTGCAAAGACATGGAGAGAGAAAAAAAGAAAAACTTACAGAGAGGAGTCTTTGGTACCAGTGGCTGCTCGGACTTCAGAGATGCACTGACACCAAAGGAGTTTTCAGCGGTGACCTTGAAGTGGTACTCTGTTCCTTCCTTCAGGCCCTTAACAACAAGTTGAGTTTCAGTCACTCTGGAGTCCACGGTGTACCAGGCGTTTCTTGTTGCCTCACGTCTCTCTACGATATAACCGAGGATCTGTGAGCCACCATCATCTGTGGGAGCCTTCCACGTAACCTTGACAGAGTTGGCCTGGATCTCCTCAAAGATCATTGGTCCCTCTGGGGCGCTAGGGCGGCCAATGACCTTCACCTTGATTTGGGCTCTCTTCTTACCAACCTTGTTCTCAAGCAGGAGGTCGTACATACCAGAGTCATTTCTCTCAGCTCCCTTGATTACCAGCTCACAGGCATCCTCGGTGGAGGCGATCAGAGCCTTGGTGGAGACAGCACCACCATCCTTGGACCATTTGCAGGTTGGGTGAGGTTTACCCTTAATGGGCACTGAGAGTCTGACCACTCCTCCATAGCGAACCACGTACACATCTTTGTATTTCAGCTCCAGGTCATAGTCAGGAGATTCTGAAAAACAGAGATGGTTACAGAAGTCGTTTTTGTTCGTACTAGTTTTAAACATAAACACGATTGAGTGCAGCTGCAGTGAATGAGTCCTTACCAAGCATCTCCGTAACAATCACTGTTCCTGGCACTTCAGCAGGTTCTCCAGAGCCGCCAGCATTGCAGGCCATCACACGAAATTTGAACTCCTCTCCTTGTGGCATTTTGGTCAGAGTGTACTCGCATATCAGAGATGGTGTGGTGTTGCACTTGATCCAGGCCATGGTGCCTGCCTTCTGCATTTCAATCAGGTAACCATCCACCCGAGCATCTCCCTCATCATCAGGGGGACTCCAAGCCAGTGAAACAGAGGACTTGGTAGTGTCGGTAATTCTTGGATTTTGTGGACACCCTGGTGGATCTGAGTGGGGAAGAGAAGCATTCCAGTATCTAAAGTTGCTACTTCAATATAAATTGCGACTGTGCTTGCTCTTGCATCTTAAAGTTGTCTAAACTCTCTATAAAAAACTTTCTCTTACCAATGGGATCTGTTGCCACAGCTGGTTTGGATAGCAAACTGGGTTTGCTCAGTCCTCTGGCATTGATGGCAGTGATTCTGTGCTCATACTCAAGGCCCTCAATCAGCTCGGTTGACCTGTATCTGGTCATGGTGACGGGGTTCTTGTTGGCACGCACCCATCTGTCAGACCTGACTTCTTTGCGCTCAATAATGTATCCAGAAACCTCAAGACCACCATCTTCCTCTGGTGGGTTCCATGCCACGGTCATGCCATCACGTGAAACATCAAAGACAGTCGGGCGGCCAGGAGGTCCAGGCACATCTGTGGAGGGAGGAAAATATGTTAGCGTTCTGCTGTGGATGTAATTCTATCTGTATAATGTTATTAGCTACTTGGGTTATCGTAAATAAAACCAAGAATCTTACTCTTCAAGCTTCTGCAGGTGACAATCTCTGACTGCAGGAACTCTCCAGTGCCGTATCGATTTACAGCAGCTGCACGGAAGACATACTCATCTCCTTCAATCAGGTTGTTGAACTTGAACAATGGTCTGCTAACAGAGTCGCAGACAGGCACCCAGCCCGGTCTGTGAGCATCACGTTGCTCTACCACATAGCCACTGATGGGAGCACCACCATTTCTGACTGGAGGATCCCAGCTGCAGGCGACACTGTTGGCATCAATCTCATCAAACCTAATTGGTCCCATGGGCTCGTCAGGTTTAGCTAGTAAAAGAAAGGCAGAGTAACTTAGTGACTACAAGGTAAATTAATTACCTTTTTGGTAGTCTTGGCAGCCTACAAATGAATGAAAAAAATGAATGTTTCTTACAGAGAACGATGACTTTGATGATTTCAGTGATGACACCAACAGCGTTTTTCACCTCCAAGGTGTATTCACCGGTATCGTCAATGGTGGTGTCAGACATGGTCAGCTTGGAGAACTTGCCAGTGCTCTTAATTTTGACACGGTCTGTGACTTTCAGCTTGTTGTCAGCGAAGTACCAGGAGCAGATGGGAGGAGGCCTGCCAATGATGGGCAGGTCCAGCTCCAGAGTCTTACCAGCTAGTACATTGACAACCTTCTGAGGAATACTGGAGAAGTCCACCACAGGCATCACTAGAGAGGAAAAACAAAAGATTGTGAACCTATACAAGTAATGATACTTAAAAACACATAGCACAGCTTTCCTTTATCTCTTACCTCTTTGTTCCTGTACAGTGACAGCTGCAACAAGCTCTTTGGGCTCACTGGCTCCTCTGCTGTTGACGGCTTTGATTCTAAACAAGTACTGCTCTTTCTCATTGAGCTTCTCGATGGTGTGCTCAAAGTCTGTGAGCTTCAGTGTGGCCACCTTCATCCACTTGTCAGTGCCGAACCTGCAGGCTTCGATGACGTATCCTGTCAGCCTGCTGCCGCCATCGTGCTCAGGTTTCTCCCAGCCAAGCATGACGGTGGTCTTGGTGACATCAATCACCTCCAGCTTGTGTGGTGGCAGGGGCACATCACAAACCAGGATGACATCAGGAGTCTCGCAGGGCTCGCCGATACCGTAAATGTTCTCAGGGAGTACCCGGAAGTAATAGAGCATGCCTTCCATTAGGCCATCAATCTTGTATGATGTTTTGCTGCACTTAGAGGTGACAGTTTTGTAGGCTCTCATGGAGGCCTCACGCCTCTCAATGATGTAGTTATTGACAGGAGCACCACCATCTACGGTTGGGGCTTCCCAAGAAATGGTCGCAGACTCCTTGGTCAGCTCCTTGATCTTGAGTGGCCCAGTTGGTCCAGGAGTATCTGAGAAAAGAAATAGATTTGGAATTTTTTGAAGCTCCTATACCACAGTAAATCAAAATAAATGGCCCCAGTAGAATTTACTTTTGAAAATCTCCTTTTGTCTCAGACAGTGTCATTAGCTTACCATAGACCTTGACCAGAATGTTGACTTCCTGCTTCCCAGCAGAGTTCTCAGCCACCAGTGTGTACTTTCCAGCATCGTAACGATGGACCTTGTCAATGATGAGAGTAGTGGAGGTGTTGGTGACCTCAATGAAGCCTCTATTTTGGAGGTCGACGCCAGGCTTGCTCCAAGTGATAGCAGGAGCAGGACGACCAGTGACATTGACGAAGAGGCGGAGTGAGCCACCAGCGCGCAGGCAGATAGTCTTCTTCAGGTCGTCATGGAGCTCGAAGTCAGGAGTTTCTGTGTGGGAGGACGGGAAAATTAGGATATGGGCTTGTAAGGTTGGTGATTTAAAAACTGCCAAATAAGGAAAATACACTACTGTAAGAAGGGAAGTTACAAATGCAGGTTTTTTGCTTCAAAGCACAAAGGGACATATCAGTTTATGAATATAGTTAATTCATGAGGATTAATTACTGAAAATTTTTGTGGCACTTTACCTCTTAAATCATAACTTTACTGCTCTTTGTGAGGCTATTTCACTCTAGATGTACGTGTTTTGTTCATTTGTTGTTTTGTTGTAACAATTTCTATGTACACTTCATTGCTGAGCAATCATTGAACTGTTATCTTGTCTGAATGCTCTTACCGATCCTCTCCACTGGCTCAGTCTCAGCACAGGGTTCACTGAAGTCGCCTGTGCCGTTGATGTTGATGCCAGCCACTCTGAAGCAGTACTTTTTGCCTGCAGTGAGTCCAGCCACCACGTACTCTGTGGCACGCAGAGTCTTTTCATGGGCCTTCTTCCATTCCTCTGCTCCAGCCTCCTGCATTTCCAGAATGTAACCAATCACATCAGCTCCTCCATCCTCCACGGGGCGGGACCAGGCCAGGCTGATGCTATCGGCATGGGTGTCGGTGATACGAGGGATAGAAGGTGGAGCAGGTGTGCCTGAGAGGAGATGACACAAGAAAGAATATCTCTGTGATTTTAGAAACGATTTCTGACAAAATCATTAACCTTCACTGTGTCACTAAAGACAGATTTGAACAGATCAAAGTACTGAACAAATTGGACTTACATGTGGGCACTCTGCATACAACGTACAGAGACACCTCGCTGGCCTCACTCTCCCCGGCCTTGTTAATGGCTGTCACTCTGAACTGGTAGATGTTGCCTTCGGTCAATCCGGACACCTTCAGAGTGGTGTCCAGCTGAGCGCCATCTCTGTTCACCTTCACCCAGCGGGCACTCTTTCTCTCACGTCTCTCCACCAGGTAGTGGATTAACGGGCTGCCGCCGTCACTCTCTGGCTTCAGCCACTCAATGGTAGCAAAGTCCTTTCCTGATGCCAGAATTTCTGGAGCACCAGGAGGCGTTGGCACAGCTGGAGAAGATAAAGTCACTGTTAGAGGATTTGACAATCTCATTTGTGGTTGCACATTTTCTCCTGGGATTTTGGTAAAATTTAGAGGGAACTATTTTAATTTAGAGATCTATGTGTTTGCTTCTGAACAATAGCTTTTAGGCGTTACATCAAAATGATGTGACTGTACTTACTGAATGTGTTCCTGGCAACCATGAGCTCTGACTGGAGGTAGACTCCAGCCCCATACTTGTTGACTCCACGGACTCTGAACAGGTATTCTGTGTTCTTGAACAGTCCAGTGATGTTGCAGGTCACCTCCTTGCACTCAGCATGCATGATGACCCAGTTGAGTCTATTGGTGTCCCGCCTTTCCACAATGTAGTAAGCGATGTCATCGCCGCCGTCCTCCAGAGGTGGTTTCCAGCTCAGGGTGCATGACTCCTCTGTTATCTTACTGATCTCAATGCTGCCTTCACAAACTCCAGGTGTGTCTGGAAAAAAAACAGATGTGATCATGCTCAGTTGCTTTGTATACAAATTAATGAATATCTGCAGGTGCAATAATTTAATAGTTAAACATATGCCATCACTCACCGAGCACTTTGACATTGACCTCAGCAGTCTTGGTTCCGCTTACATTCCTGACGGTAAGAATGTATTTTCCAGTGTCATCTCTGTCACAGAATTTGATGATGGCCATGGCCCTGGTGGGGGTGTACTGCAGGTGGTACTTCTCACACAAATCCAACTCCCTGTTGCCCTTGGACCAGGAAGTCTTAGGGTCAGGCCTTCCGCCAACTGCAGCATCAAGAACCAGGTCTGAACCGGCTCTGACCATCACAGTTTCAGACAGAAGTTTGCTGTCCAACTGGGCCTTTGGAGGTTCTGTATAATGTACACAAAGAGCTTAGTTATAAAACTTTGCAGAAATGTAGTCACACATGTAAGTCTGTGTTCTGCTCATGGTGCAGGTTTTGGGGTACAGAAGGTTAAGATGTGCTAGGTCAGAGTGTGGCAGTGTACTGCATTGGCGGTATGATGTCAAGGTGACAAGTCTCACCAAAGTCAGTCTTGCACTGAACAGATCCGGTGGATTCGGAAGGTATGCTGAAGACCTGGTTGGCATTCTTGGCGATGACTCTGAACTCATAGGGCTCTCCCTCTCCCAGTGCAGTAACAGTGTAGAAGTTGTCGGTCACATTGGTGTAGTTACACTTGAGCCAGCGGCCTTCGCCGGTCAGAGTGTACGGCTTACGCTCAATGATGTAGCCCACAATAGGACTGCCACCATCATTCAGTGGAGACGACCATTTGAGGGACACAGTGGTTCTTGTCACATTTGTGACTTCAGGTTTGCCTGGTGGATCTAAACACCATATCAAAAACGTTTGTCAGACACGTTTGCTCAATGGTAAACAAAATCAAAAACAAAACTGAACTGTGGCAAAACTCACCAACTGGGTTCTGTGCGATTGCTCCCTTGGAGGCCTCACTGGCTTTGCTCAGCCCAGCGCTGTTCATTGCATAAACCCTGAACTGGTACTCCAGACCCTCCACCAGACCTTCCACCTTGTAGTAGCATTCGAAGCACGGGATCTTGTTCTCCCTCACCCACAAGATGTTGTTCCTTTCTTTCTTCTCAATCCAGTAGCCTGTGACCTTGCTGCCACCATCATTGTAAGGCTCCTCCCATTTCAGGGTCATTGTGTTAGCGGTGACATTAAAGACCGAAGGCTTTGTTGGTGGACCTGGAGGTGCTGTAATACAAAATTACATTTTGTTGTTACAGTCTGGTTTAACAGAAGACATTAGCTTTTACAGAAAGTGTTAAACTGTATTTATTTCATAATTCACATGATAAATTAGTGTTTGCAACAAAAAATAATTCTAGTAAATAGAACTCACTGAAAGGATGCTCTGCAACGATGGTCTCAGACTCTGTGGGCTTGCTGACACCAAATCTGTTCTCAGCAGAGACCCTGAATGTGTACTGCATGTATTTGGTCAGGTGACTGACGTGGAGAGACGTGCGCTTCACGCTGGAGTTGATCAGCTGCCAGGCTGTTGAACCAGACTCTCGCTTTTCCACAATGTAGTTGGTGATGACGGTGCCACCATCGTCTTCTGGTGGTTGCCAGTTAACGACACATGACTCAGAGGTGATGGAAGAGATTTCAATGGGTCCAGTTGGAGGACTGGGTCTGCCTGTGACATTCACATCAATAGTAAAGGTTCTGGTTCCTGCCACGTTCTCCAGAGTCAAGTAGTATTTGCCGCCATCTCCTCTCATGGCCTCCTTTACTGAGATGCTGGTTCTGTCCTTGGTTACTTTGATGGATACCCTGTCTGAGCTCTTCAGCCTCATCTCCTCCAGCTTCCATGTGACTTTAGGTGCAGGTCTACCACTGATGGGAACATCGATGGTGAAGGTGCTGTTAGACCTGCATGTGACAAGCTGGTTGGCTATTTCGCTGAGGTCAGCAGCAGGTTCAATGTGAGGCTCTTTGACCAGTACAGGAGCCAGAGTTTCCTTGGGGGTGCTGTAACCAGATTCATTCTTAGCCTTCACGCGGAAGTCGTACTCGTCACCCTTGTTGAGCTTTTCAACCACATAGGTGAGATTCTTGGTGTTGCCAACCACCATCCATTTGTCTGTACCCTTTGCCTTAGCTTCAATGACATAATGCTGGATGCGACTGCCACCATCGTGCTCTGGTTTCAGCCAGCCCAGCACAACAGTGCTGTCTGTGGTGTCCAGGATGTCCATTCTCTTTGGAGCTGATGGCTCTGCAGTTGCAATGACAGGCTCGGTCACCTCAAACGCCTCGCCTATACCATGCTGGTTCTCAGCGGAGACTCTAAAGAAGTATGGTACTCCCTCCAGCAGGTCCTGGATCTTCAGGATGTGCTGTGTGCATTTACCACCAGACTGCTGCCAAGTGCGGCGGCTAGCCTCACGCCTCTCAACAATGAAGTGATGGATTCGGGCTCCACCGTCATTGAGAGGAGGCTCCCAGATCAGTGTGACTGAGCCTCTGGATACCTCCTTGAAAGCCACAGTCTGCGGAGGCCCAGGAGTGTCCATCACCTTTACAACAAAGGTAATGGCCTTGCTGCCGCTGGCATTTTCCAGGTTAACTGTGTACTTGCCTGTATCGGTTCTAGAGCAGTTCTCAATAGTGAGAGAGCTGTAACCATCGGTAGTTGTGACCTCTGACATGGCACCAAGTTCTCCCTCCTCCTTCACCCAGGTGGCAGTGGGAATGGGTTTTCCTCTGAAGTGGATGCCCAGGCACACCGAACCTCCAGCCTTTACGATGTGTGTCTGCTTGAAGGTGGCATCGATGTCTACCTGTGGAGGTGTCAGCCTGTCAACTGCTTGAGCGGGCTCCGGGATCTCCTTGTCTTCACCTCTACCCACATGATTGACAGCTGCAACACGGAACTTGTACTCAGCTCCTGTCTGTAGACCTGTCACTATGTAATTAGTTTCAGCCACAAGCTCCTCATTCACTCGCTTCCATTCAGTCTCCTCTCCCTTCACCATCTCGATAATGTAGCCAAGGATCTCCATGCCACCATCGTCCGCAGGCTTGGTCCATTCCAAGCTGATGGAGGTGTTTGTGGAGTCGGACACACACACGACAGATGGAGCACAGGGAATGTCCTTTGGCTCAGCAGCTTTGATGGGCATAGAGATGTTGCTAGGAGTTCCAACGCCGGCGTCATTGACGGCCATAACACGGAACTCGTATTCCATGTCTTCGGTCAGGTGGAGCACCTTGTGAGCACACTCAATGATAGGCTTCTTGGTTATCACCTTGTAGAAGCGGATAGTCTTCTTCTCTCGTTTCTCCAGGATGTAGTACTGAATAGGGTTGCCTCCATCAGATGTTGGAGGAGTCCAGGACAGGGTGATGCTCTCTCCAGTCACCTCTGTGGCATCAGGAGTACCTGGAGCATCAGGAGTAGCTGGGGGAAAACAATTTTCACAGATGAGTGACTTGACTAAAAATAACGTGGAAATATAATGTTTCTCTTATCTTAAATATCACAGTCTTTCCACTTACTATACTGCATCTGTGCAATGATGGGGCTGGACTCCAAAGGTCTGCCAACTCCAAACTTGTTGACAGCAGAGACCCTGAACTGGTATTCATTGGTCTTAATAAGCTTGGTGGCGTTGAACGTGCACTCCTTACACTCATCAGACACCAGGGCCCAGGAGATCTTGGCAGTCTCACGCTTCTCGATGATGTAATGTGAGATGTCAGAGCAGCCGTCATTCTCCGGTGCATTCCATGACAGAGTGCAAATGCCCTCTGAGATGTTGCTAAAGGTGATGGGGCCGACCGGCTCCCCAGGTGTGTCTGATTCACACAGGTGCAACAGATGTAAGTTAGGACATACATAGAGTGGTATAAACCCCTACACTGCGGTATAAAAAGAATACTGCATACCTTGGACTTGGACGAGGATGTTCTCCTTCCTGCTTCCAGATCCATTGGTAGCCTCCACAGTGTAGAGGCCGCGGTAGGTGCGGTCGGCATCCCTGACGAACAGAGTGCTGGATCCAGCTACGGTAATGATGTCCATCATCTTTTTGGTGATCTCCACACCGTCTCTGAACCAGACCACCTTGGGAACTGGTCGTCCAGTGATGGTCACCTTCAGTCTGATGTTGTCCCCTGCCTTGACTGTCAAACCCTCAAAGTACTCAGGGCCAAACTCAATATTTGGAGTAGCTGGGTTTGGGAGAAAGGGTATTGAATTATAGTTCACAGCTTTACTGAGTTCAAAGCAATTTAAGTACCACTCAGGTGGTAAAGCGATGTATAAGTGCAACTCATGTACCATTTACTTTCTGCTCCACAACATTTTCTGACAGTTTGTTTTTTTAAGTTGTATATTTCACACACTGGGTAAGCTGTAAAAATACAACAAATAGTTACACATTTCCCACCTCTTGTATTTTTAGTAGCTGTTTGGTGTCTCTGCTGTGGTTTTGTGTTTCTCAGTGATTCTGTGGCGTCTCTTTGTGGTTGTTATGTATCTCCCTATAGTCTTTTTGCATCCCTTTATGGTTGTTTGTGTCTTTTTGTGTTATACGTCTGTCTGGCTGCAAAGAGTAGTTCTGACACAGTGGATTATAAAACAAGCTTTTAAAGTACAACACATAGTTACATATTAAACCTGAACTTTATAACTATTGTGGCTTCTTTTAAAGAGTAGTGTGTAATAAGCTCACAATTCAGATGCCTATTAGTTGTTAACAGCTCCATCAAATAAAGATTTTTCTCTTGAAACTTCTCAACATTGTTTAATTTCAGTAAATTTCATTCCAATAATCTCAGTAATATTGGAACAAAAATCAAAGATTAGACAAAAACTGAAAACATATTTGTGGGGCACCCGGATAGCTTAACAGGTTGGGCGGGCGACCCATGAACAGGGGCTGTAGTACCCGACACAGAGGTCGTAGGTTCAAGTCCAGCCCGTGACCATTTACTGCAGGTCTTTACCCCACTCTTCTCCCCATATTCAGTCTCTCTCTCCACTTTGAACTATAATAAAGGCTAAAAAACCCAAACACAAAATTAAAAAAACAACAAAACAAAACTATGCTGGTGATACACTTGATGCCTCACTATTGATAATCTAATGGTGTCCAATATAATAATATATCAGTCAGTGGGACCAAACCAGGACTTTCACTACAATACTTGAACAACATGTTGCAGCAGTGTACTTAAGTAGGATTTTTTATGCAGGAACTTTATTTGTAATTTTTCTTTGCTATGCTGGTATTTGTCACTTTAGTAAAGGATATGAATACTTCCTCCATTACTGTCATCAACTGTATTATTTACCCATCAGTCCTGAAATGTAATATTACAACCCAGTCAGCGCGCTTGCTGTCCTGATTAGGCAATTTTCTCTCTGGGGTAAATAAAGCATTTCTGATTCTGATGTTACTCACCGTTCTCACTTCTGACTACAATCAAGCCAGAGGAGTTGGATGGGGGACTGACGACACCAATGGCATTTCTAGCAATGACTCTGAACTCGTAGCGTTCATTGGTTGCCAGCCCAGTGACGGTGTACTGACAGTCGTGTACATCTGTCAAGTTGGCCTTGAACCAGCGGCCCTTTCCTTGGCGTTTTTCAATGTTGTAGCCGGTAATCTTGCTGCCACCATCACGTTTTGGTGCATCCCATTTCAATGTCACTGAGTCACTGGTAACATCAGTATAGTCAGGCTGGCCAGGAGGATCTGAAAGACATTACATAGCTTTTAACTTAGTTTTGTCCAAGTGTTTTGTATTCTACCTGCATTTCAGTCAGGATTTAAGAAAGACATTATTTTGCTGAGAATATATTTTCAACATACTGTATGTTTGAAGTGTAACAACGAAACAGAAATGGTCTAAATGGGTACTCACCAACAGGACTGACAGCCATGGTTGGCTTGCTCTCATCACTCATTCGACTGAAGCCAGCATCATTCTGGGCATAGACTCTGAAGGAGTACTCCAGACCTTCAATGAGCTCCAAAATCCTGAAGTCTGTGTCCTTGATCAGCATGGTGTTCACCTTTTGCCACATGATGCTGTTCTTCTCCTTCTTCTCCACATGGTAACCCTGGATAGGGGTTCCACCGTCATAGATGGGCTTTTCCCACTGAATGGTCATGCCATCATTTGTGACGTTGTACACCACAGGCTTGCCTGGTGGGCCTGGAGGCCTGAACTGGTGCTTGGCGATGACCATCTGTGAGATCAGAGGCTCACTGACACCATATCTGTTCTCAGCACACACTTTGAACTGGTACTGGATACCTTTGATCAGGTTGGGGACCTTGAACTGAGTGCCCACCACACTGGAGCAGGCCATCTTCCAGTCAGGCTGGGAAGTGTCACGCTTCTCCACAGTGTAGCAGGTGATATCTCCACCGCCATCATCATTGGGTTCGTCCCAGGAGATCATGATGCTTTCCGCCCTCACTTCATCCAGTCGGATAGGTCCGACAGGCTTTGATGGTGGTCCGAGTGTGATGACATGGATGTGGAAAGATCTTCTGTTGACCTTATTGTCAAGGGTGAGGGTGTATTTACCATCGTTCTCCTTCTTCACATTCTTAATCATCAGAGTGGCTTTGTTTTCTGTCTTTTTGAAGCGCACCTGGTCACTCTCTTTTAGGGGCAAATTGTCCTTCAGCCACAGGACAGCAGGTCTGGGTTTGCCTTTGTATGGTAGCTCAATGTGAACATTATGACCTAGGCGAATGCTCAGGCGGCCATCTGGGTACTCTGAAAGGTCTGCCTCTGGTGTGATAATGTAATCAATGACCTTGATAGGTCCAACCTCAACAAAGTCACCCTGTCCCTTTTCATTCCTGGCAGCAACTCTGAAGAACATGTCTGTGTGCTCCTTGAGTTTCTTGACCTCAAACTCACACTGCCTGCTGGTTCCTCCCAATGACCACTCCTCATCCTTCAGCTTTTTCTCAATAACGTAGTCAGAGATGATGCTGCCGCCATCATAATCAGGCTTCAGCCACTGCAGAGTGACAGAGGTCTTAGATGAATCCTTCATACAGACCTCCTTGACTGGTCCCGGCGTCTCAGTAGCCTTTACAGGATCATGTGTTTCACATGGATCACCAACACCATTCTCATTCTCTGCTAAGACACGGAAGAAGAAGGATGTCTTTTCGGAGAGATCTTCGATTGTGTATGTCGTGTCTGTGCATTTGTTTGTCACTGCAGAGTATGATCTCTTGGAGGAGTCCCTCTTCTCAACAATATAATTTGTGATCTCAGCACCACCGTCGAGGATTGGAGGCTCCCAGCAGAGAGTCACCTTTCCACGGGTCACATCCTTAAGGACCAGGTTCCTGCACTGAGCTGGAGTGTCCTGGACCTTCACAGACAGAGTCAGAGTTTTGGGCTCTCCAACACCATTCTCTATCTTCACTGTGTACTTTCCAGTGTCGAGCCTGGTCACTTCACGCATAACAAGGACTGTGGTTGTGTCTGAGTGGTGGAACTCGTATTGGGGATTGCGGTCGATGCATTCTTCTCCCTTGCTCCAGGAGGCAGTGGGAGCAGGTCGGCCCTTCAAAGGAACAGACAGCTCCACATCCTTTCCCGCCTTTACAATGTAGTGAGTTCTCATGGCAACATCTGAGTCAATCTGGGCCTCCTCTGTGAACATCAGATAAAATATACCATTTGAATAACGTGTAAATAAAACAGTTATTACTACACTGAACACACTTGACAATTTCAGTTTCAGTATCAGATTCATTAATATACCTAGGATGTCCTTGGCCTGCACAGGTTCAGTCATCTCCAGAGGCTCTCCACGGCCGGAACAGTTGACGGCAGAGACTCTGAAGAAGTAGTTGGCATCTGGTTTTAAGTCATGAACTATGTACTCTGTTGTCTTGACCTCTCCCTTGGAGGTAATCATGGCCCACTCTTGCTCTCCCTCAACAAGCTTCTCCACCATGTAGCTGATGACCTCACTGCCTCCATCCCATTCAGGTTTGGACCAGCCCAAAGTGATTGATGTCTTGGTGGAGTCCACCACCTTCAACTTGCAAGGTTCATCTGGTGGATCTGTCAGTCAAATGTATTTATTAGGTGAGATGTACATTCATCTTCATTGTTTTTGTTGGAAATCTATAAATGTTGGTCCACTTACCGACTGGATCGGCAGCCTTATAGTAATCTGATGCATCAGAGAATGGCCCTTCTCCAGCCTTGTTAATGGCACAGACGCGATATTGATATTCATTTCCTTCAGTCAAGTGATAAACTGTTTGTTTGATGTCAGTGACAGGATCTTTGTAAACTCTGATCCAGCGCAGACTCTTTTTGTCTCGCCTCTCCAGGTAGTAGCCGGTCACGGTGCTACCTCCATCCACACCTGGTTTGTCCCATTCTACCACCATGGTGGTCTTAGTGATGATGTTCACCTCAGGAGTATGGGGCTGGCCAGGAGTTACTGTAGAAACAGAGAAAATGCTAATGTCAAGTTAACAACAAACAATCCTGGTATAAAAAAATTTTTAAAAATTTATCAAGAACAAGAACACACCAATTGACTGCTGACGACTAGCTAGAAAAGGATTCAATGCCAGCATCACTTACCAAAGGCGTTCTTAGCGATGACAGGCTCCGACTCCAGTGGCTCCCCCGCTCCAAACTTGTTAACACCCATGACGCGGAACACATACTCATTTCCACGCACCAGTTTGCAGACTGTGATGTGTGTCTGTTCATACTTGTCTGAAACTGTCGACCAGACCACTCGGCTGGTTTCACGCCTCTCAACAATGTAGTGGGTCACTTTAGAACCGCCCTGGTCAGACTCTGGGACAGGTTCCCAGCTGAAGATGATCTTGTCTGCTGTGACTGAGTTGAAGTTAATGGCGCCAGGTGGGGGACCAGGTTTGTCTAAGGGTAGAGAAATGTAAAACCACATGAACATCAAGTACAGACAGGAAAATGGAATGTATGAGACTATGGGAGGCTAATTAAAATTTCCAACTGATCAGCAATTCAGAATTAAATAAATATGGAGTGGTAGGCAATAATTTCGACATACCGAGAATTTCCATCCTGATGGTTGCAGATGCTGATCCAAGAACGTTTTTAATCTTGATCTCATATGAGCCTGTGTCAAGGCGAGTTGCATCCTTGACCAGAACAGCTGAAGAGTCACTTGTGCTTTCAACAGACACTTTGGAGGTTGCCACCAGCTCCTTTCCATCTTTGAGCCACTCAATGGTTGGCAGAGGCTTGGCAACAATTCCTACTCTGAGCTTAACTGAGGCTCCAGCTTTATACTGAACCACATCCAGATACTCTGGAGGAAGATCAATGGCTGGGGCACCTGTGGGGCATGAGACGTTAGTGTGATTAATGTCTGAAAAAATTCAATTAAAGTAAACAAGACACATTACTGAGGCCAGAAATCTCACCACATGCATCGACGCAAGTGACAGGGCCAGCAATGAGAGACGGGTTGCTGACGGATCCGACAGCATTCTTGGCGTACACTCTGAACTCATAAGACTCATCCTGGTTCAGTCCAGACACAGTGAAGCCCATCTCAATGATGTTTGTAAAGTTGGCTTTCACCCATCTGCCACTGGCAGCTTCCCTCCTCTCCACACTGTAGCCAGTGATTTTGCTGCCGCCATCGTATGGAGGCCTCTGCCAGGCCAGACTGACGGAGTTCTTGGTCACTTCTGTGATGCGGACGTTTGCTGGGGGCTCTGTAACAATTCATTGAGAAAGATCCAAGTTTAACTGAACAGTATTAAGTGTGAGCTCTCTAAATATTTAAGTCTGTGTTCCCTTATTACAGGAAATATAAGATAATTTTACTTACCACAGGCATCAATAGCAAGCACCTCTTCAGAAGTCTTGCTCATCTTTCCAATACCAGCAGCATTTTCAGCCGCAACCTTGAATTCATAGATGAGGCCAGGGCAGATGTTTGTGACACGCCACTGGTTTGCTGGGATTGCTGTTTTATTGATCTTCTGCCAGAGGATGCTGCTTCTCTCCTTCATCTGGAGATGATATCCAAACACAGGGTTTCCACCATCATTGACAGGCTCGTTCCAGCACACTGTCAGGGTCTCTCGAGATACATAGCCAACCCATGGTGTGGATGGAGGTCCAGGGATGGCTGCAAAACACAGCAAATATGTTAGTGTATATACAAAAAGATCCATTCGTCATAAAATAAAAGTTGTGACAGCATTAAGTCAACTGACTTACTGTAGGGAAGCTTTATCATGACTGGCTTGCTGTCAATATGGTCACTAACACCATAGCGATTCTGAGCCTTGATCCTGAACTGATACTCCTCTCCCTTGGTCAGTTTAGTCGCCTTGATTGAGCTTCTGGCAATGTTAGTGGACACCTCTGACCACGTAGGAGTGCTGGTTTCACGCTTCAGGACAATGTAGTTGCTAACAGGACTGCCGCCATCATACTCTGGAAGAGCCCATTTCAGACACACTGTGGTCTCTCCAACCTCTCCAATCTCAACAGGACCAACAGGAGGTCCGGGTCTGTCCAGCACAACAAAGATGATGAAGATCTTGGTGGTACCTCCTGCATTTGAGGCGGTGATTTCATATTTGCCAGCATCACTTGAAATGCTTTCGGTTAGGGTAATGACTAAGCTGTCTGGAGTCACTTCTGTCAACAGCCTCTTGGATCCCTTGATAGCGACATTGTTCTTGGACATGGTCACCTTTGGCATGGGTCTGCCAGAGAGAGGAATCTCAAAGGTCAGGTCGGATCCTGCTTTCACATAAACTGTACTCTTGGGGTAGTTTGTCAGGTCAAACTCAGGAGCCTCTGTTGAAATAATAAGACAAAACTGTTGTCAGTAATTTAACCTCAAAACCAGTACCACTTCTACAAATAACAAGTAACTAGCTGACTGGCAAACCAAATGACATTTATCAGCCAGAAACTCTAAAACCAGAAATAATTTGTCTTTCAGCATACTGAAGTAAATTAAATTACTCACTTACAACATGCTGATCCATCAGGAACCAAAATTAAGTTAAACAAAATGTATTTATGTCTATTTACATGTTTCATATGAAAATTCTCCTAAAGTAACTTTTGCATTGACCAGTTTCTGTAAAAAACAACCCAGAAAGTTCAGTGCTCCTTGATACAACCATGAAGCAATGGCTGAACTGCAGGTTGTGTTTACCTATAGCAGAGAAGAGACACGTATGTAAACAAATTAACCAAGTAGATATCTATAGTATGTCGAGCAACCATTTTTTCAAGTATTCTGATCACCTGTGGGCACCTAGAATGATTTTGAATGTAAATAATCAAAGAATGTCAACTTTCTTCTTCTCCTTCTTATTATTAGTATAACTTAATGATTTCTGTCATTCTACCTGTGTCATACTGCTCAGAGAACATTTCTTTCTTCTCTCCTTCATGGTTGTACTATTTCCATAGAGGTGCAGGACTTTATATTGTAGTGCAAAATGAGCCCACAGTAAAGAATTATGTGAAAGGACAGAAAAAAAAATAAAAGTACCCAGAAACTGTATAGAGTTGAGAGCATTAATCAAATGTATTAGTAAAGCTGGACATAATACCTTGTATTTCCTTGACAATAACAGGGACAATCATCTCCTTGGGTTCACTAAGGCCGGCGTGGTTCTCCGCTCTGACTCTGAAGAAGTACTCGGCACCTTCCCTCAGGCTCTTGATGGTGTGGTTCATCGTCCTCACAGTAGCACACTTCACCCACTTGGTCTGTCCCTTCTCCACGGCATCAATAAGGTAACCAGTGACTCTGCTGCCGCCGTCATACTCTGGTCTTGTCCAGGCAATCACAACGCAGTCCTTGGTAACATTTACAACTCCAAGTTTCATAGGTGGACTTGGTACCTCTGTAACAGACAGCAGGACATTTTGTTCAGCACATTTTTGTTGAAATACAAAAGTTTGTATAAAGCTACAATTCCTCAGTTTATATGTTACCTGTAATCTTTGTTCCAGCCTTGGCCTCCTGAGGCTCGCCCACTCCATACTCATTTTCTCCAATAACTCTGAAGTAGTAGATGGCTCCCTCCTGCAAGTCTTCCACCTTGTAAGTCAGAGCATGGCAGTTGCTGGTCACAGACACCCAGGCCTTCTTACTGGCCTCACGTTTTTCAACATGGTAGGCCTTTACTGCATCACCTCCATCATTCTCTGGAGCCTCCCAAGTGAGGGTGGCAGAATCCCTGGTCACCGCTGAAACTTTAACGTTGACTGGGGGTCCAGGAGAATCAAGCACCTTGACAACGATGGGCAGGGTTGCTTTTCCCAGTGGAGATTCAATAGTGACATGGTACTCTCCAGAATCATTTCTGTTTGATTTCTCGATAGTGAGTGAAGTGCTGGATTCTGTTGATTCAATGGTTCCTCTGACTTTTAGGTCAACACCCTCCTTGGCCCAAGCTACTGATGGCACAGGTTTTCCTTTAATTGGCACATTGAGTGTAAATGCCGTGCCATGCTTAACAATAAGTACTTTACGCATCTCAATGTCAACGTCAAATGATGGCTCTGAAGTTCTGTCCATTGCTGCAGCTGCATCTGAATATGCGCTACGCACACTGCTGCCAACTTTGTTGATTGCCTTTACACAGAATTCATATTCTGAATCCGTCTTTAATCCAGTGACTGTGAACTCCAAGCTCTTGGTAAGAGGGATAGCCTCAACCCATCTTGCGAGTTCTTCAGGTGATTCCGGTTCCTCCTCTTCCTCCTCCTCATACTCTTCCTCCTCTTCCTCAACCTCCTGCTCTGGTTTGCGGATGTAGTCTCTGTATTCTACACTGTACCCAAGGATGGGAGCACCACCATCATCTGCTGGTGGTTTCCAGACAATGGACACAGTATCTATGGTTGAACTGATGATCTTTGGCTTGGTTGGGCGAGAGGGAACAACCAGAGGATCCAATGCTCTGAATGTTGCAGATGGTTCACTGGGGGGACTTAAACCAGCTGCATTTTCAGCATAGACCCTGAAATCATACTCACACCCCTTGCGCAGTTTGGTTGCTACTGCAGTACATTCAACAACTGGATCTCTGTTCACACGGACCCACCGCATGCCTGTCTTCTCACGGCGCTCAATCACATATCCAGTGATGGAATTGCCGCCATCACTAGCTGGCTTGCACCAGGTGAGGGTCATGGAATCACCAGTTATAGTAGTTACATCAACACTTGCTGGAGCAGAGGGGAATGTGTAGGGATCTGTGATCTTTACAGCATCACTCTCCAGTGCCTCGCCAAGTCCATGCTTGTTGACAGCAAGAACTCTGAAGATATATTCATTGCCCTTCAGCAGGCCGGTGACTTTGAAGTATGTCTTTGTGACGTCTCCCTTCACCAATGTCCATGCCAAGCGGCTGGTCTCACGCCTCTCAACAACGTAATGAGTAATTTTAGCACCACCAGCCTCCTGAGGAGGACCCCATGAAAGAGTGCACTCCTCAGCTGTGAGACCAGTGATCTGCAGGGGTCCTGCTGAGGCTCCTGGCTTATCCAGAATTACACAGTTTATTGGCATGGTAACTGTTCCACCAATATTCTGAAGAGTTAGGGCATACTGTCCAGAATCTCTTCTGATGCAGTCCTTCACGATAACACATGTGCTAGTATCTGTTGAAATAATCTGGATTCGGGCTCTCAGCTCAATCTCTTTGCCGTCCTTGGTCCAGGAAATGACAGGGGCAGGACGTCCAGCCAGGTCAGCATTGATTTTCAGAGTTTCTCCTGCTTTCACATGCACTGTCTCTCTGAACTTCACATCCATCATGATGCGAGGTGGATCCACATCATCCTTCACAGTGATGGGGCCTGTGTTGTCTGATGGTATGCTGAACAATCCAGCTGCATTCTTTGCAATCACACGGAAATCATACTGGCTGTTCTCTGTAAGGCCTGTCACATCATAGTGGGTCTCAGGCACATTTGTGAAGTTGCACCTCGTCCAGCGTCCTTCGGGAAGGTCTCTGCGCTCAATTATGTAGCCAGAAACTTTTGCTCCACCATCATACTCTGGTTTATCCCAAGATAAGGACACAGATGTTCTGGTAACTGCAGTTACCACAGGTGTGCCTGGGGGATCGCATGGATCTCTGGCTGCTACAGCTTCACAGGCCTTGCTGCATTTACCAATACCAGCAATATTTTCAGCATAGACTCGGTATTCATACATCATGCCCTCTTCAATTCCATTGACTTTGTATTCTGTATCTTTGATCATTCCCCTGTTCATCTTTGTCCAAAGAATGCTAGAACGTTCCTTCCTCTCAAGATGGTAGCCCAAAACAGGACTGCCACCATCACTGACTGGTTCATTCCAGGTCACTAACATGTAAGACTTGGTGGCCAGTTTTACAACAGGTGTGGAAGGAGGTCCAGGTTGTTTGAAGTTATACATAGCAGTGATTCCAGGTGAATCAAGATATGTACTCTTTCCATAACGGTTAACTGCGTAGATACGGAATTGGTACTCTGCTCCATGTGTCAGGCGGCCAGCCTTAAAAGCTGTTCTAGCAACATTACTTGCCGCCATCTGCCATTCCTGTGAGTTTGTGTCTCTCTTCTCCACAATGTAATTGCTGATGGAGCATCCACCATTGTATTCTGGTGGGGACCAGGAGAGTGTGATGCTGTCTGAGGTCACAGCATCCACCTTAATTGCTTTTGGTGGACCTGGTTTATCAAGGACGACAACTCCAATATCTGCTGTGACAGTTCCTGCTGCGTTGGCCAGGGTGATTTCAAACTTGCCAACGTGTTCTCTGGTGGCCTCTTTGATGACAATTTTGGATGAGGTTGCAGTGTTTAGAATCGTCACTGATGATGTCTGCTTCAGAGGAAGGCCATCCTTCTTCCAGGAAACAACAGGTTTTGGTCTGCCTCTTACTGGAACCTCAAGAGTGAGATCATCTCCAGCTTTAACACTGTATGTGGTAAACAGTAAATTGACCGATGGTTCTATTCCGACATCCTTTGCAACCACAGGCAAGCCAAGATCCTTTGGCTCACTCTTTCCCTTCTCATTGATTGCAACAACTCTGAATAAATAGGCTTCATTAGGAGTCAGATTAGGAATAGTTGCTTCTGGGACTTTGACTGTGCATGCTGTGCCCCACTTATCCCCGGTTTTAGGCTTAAATTCTACATTGTAGCACATTACTTTGCTTCCACCATCATGAGCAGGTTTTTCCCAAGCCAGTGACACACTGGTCTTGGTCAAATCTACAAGAGTCACCTTGTTTGGTGGCAGAGGCACCTCAGACACTTTGATTTCTTTGGTTGCAACCATCTGTCCCTGGCCATATTCATTAACAGCACAGACTCTAAAGTAGAACATTCCACCCTCAGGCAAGTCTTCAATCTTGAATGAGTTGGCCGTGCAGTTGCTGGTGACAGTAGTATAGACCTTCCTGACAGACTCTCTCTTCTCCACAATATAGTTTGTGATTTTAGAACCACCATCAGTCAGTGGGGTTTCCCAGCCAAGAGTCACTGAATCCCTCTTAAGCTCCTTCACAGCAAGTTTCTGTGGTGCACTTGGCGTATCCAAAATTCTTACTGCAACAATTGCAGACTTTGTGCCACTGCTGTTCTCCAGTGTTAGCGAGTATTTGCCACTGTCAAAGCGGTTAACATTGTCAATGACAAGCATGGTGTACGAACTGGTGGTGTCAACTGCAGCACGCTCCGTGAGTGTGCCCTCAACTTTCTCCCATTTCACAGCAGGCTCAGGCCTTCCTCTGATGGCGACGAACAGACGCAGAGTTCCCCCAGCACGGACTGATACCACCTTTCTGAGATCTGCATCCAGCTCGATCTCTGGTGCTTCTGCCCTGTCAGATGTAACCACTGTGCCGTGGACATTAGCAGCCTCTCCCACTCCCTCTGAGTTGATAGCGCAGACACGGAACTGGTACTCTCCACCCTCCTTCAGGTCTGTGATGGTGAGTTTAGTGCCTTGAATACCAGTGGGTGGAGTGCACATGTTCCATTCCTTTTCAACTGGTGGTTCTACTGCTGGTGCTACTTCTGTCTCCTCTGTTGACTCTGGCAATGGTGTATACTCCCTCATTTCAACAATGTAGCCCTTGATGTAGGCCCCACCATCAAAGTCAGGTTTGCCCCAGGATAGAGACACTGATGACTTTGAGTAGTCTGTCACCTTCGGATGGTGTGGAGGTCTGGGTGGTGTTGCAGCATCACATGCTCTGTAGAACAGGGACAGTTCACTGAGGTCTCCCATTCCAGCCTCATTCTCAGCAGCAACACGGAACTCATAGAAGTGATCTGTCATCAGACCAGTGACCCTGAAGTAGGTGTCAGTCAGCTTCTGTCTGTTGCACTTTGTCCACCTTACACTATCTTTGTCACGTTTCTCCAGGTGGTAGCCTTCAATGTCGGCTCCACCAGTCTGTTCTGGAGCAGTCCATGACAGAACCATAGATTCCTTTGTGATCTCACTTGCTTCTGGAGTTCCAGGAGCACTAGGTGGTTTGTAAGGATTGCGTGCAATGATGGGTTCACTTTCGAGGTGATCACCAACACCATATTTGTTGATTGCCCTGACTCTGAAGATGTATTCATTTCCAGGAAGCAGATTTGTTACTTTGTGGAACAGACCCTTGATGTTTGGTGCAACCACTGTCCAGGACAACCTGCTAGTTTCTCTCTTCTCCAGGACATAGTGACTGATGCTGGCCCCACCATTCAGAGCTGGCTCAGACCAGGCAAGGATGCACCTGTCAGACATGACTCCTGTCACTTTCATGGGTCCAGTGGGTGGACCTGGTTTATCAAGGACTTTCACAGTGATAGGGAAGACTTTTGTACCACCGAGATTTTTGAGGACAAGGTCATAGTGGCCACCATCAAGCTTGGTTACATCCTTAATGGTCATGGCTGCACGTTTCTGTGTAGTTTTCACTTCAATGCGCAAGGCTTTGTCCATTTCCTTGCCCTCTTTTAGCCAGGCAACATCAGGAATAGGTTTTCCATAGATATCTGCATCAAGAAGCAAATGTTCTCCAGCATTGACAACGATAACATCCGTGTATTTTGGATCCATTGAAGCCCTTGGTGGTTCAATTTCATCAGTAGCAGTAATAGGTCCAGAGCTGTCAGATGGCTCACTGAAGACTCCAGCTGCATTTCTTGCAATAACTCTGAATTCATATTGCTCATTCTCTGTCAAACCAGTGACTGTATACTCAGTCTCAATTATATTGGTAAAGTTAGCTCTTACCCAGCGCCCATCAGGAGAGGATAGATCTTTCCTTTCCACAATATATCCATTTACTTTGCTGCCACCATCATACTCAGGCTTCGTCCACTGAATCTTGATAAGGTTCTTAGAAATAGATGTAGCTTCTGGAGCGCCAGGAGGATCACATGGGTCGCGAGCAACGAAGGAATCAGACACTTTACTGCATCTGCCAATGCCGACAATATTTTCTGCGTAAACTCTAAATTCATATCCAATACCCTCCTCAAGATTGCAGATCTTGAACTGGGTATCAGTGATGAGAGTCTTGTTCAGTTTGTTCCACAGAATGCTGCTTCTCTCCTTGCTTTCCAGATGGTAACCGATAACTGCACTTCCGCCGTCATTTACTGGCTCGTTCCATTCAATGATCATCATTTCCTTAGTTGCAGATTTGACATATGGTGTTCCAGGAGGTCCTGGTGGTTTATATGGATATTGCACCACAATGGCTTTGGAGTCCAGAGGCACGCCCTTTCCATATCTGTTTTCAGCAATGATTCTGAACTGATATTCTGCACCAGTCTTCAGCTTGGTGACCTTTAAAGCTGTTCTAGCTAACTGTGTGGTGACTGACTGCCATGTTGTGGTGGTGGTGTCTCTCTTTTCCACGATATAGTTCTTTACTTGGCATCCACCGGTGTACTCTGGAGGTTCCCAGGACAGATGTACAAAAGTGTTGCTCACTTCAACAACTCTGACTGGACCTGTTGGTGGACCAGGTTTGTCAAGAATAATGACAGCCACATCCTCAGTGACTGTGCCAGCACTATTGGTGGCTGTAATTGAGTATTTACCAAAGTCTTCCTTGCAGGCCTCAGCAATTTGAATTACAGTTGTTTCTGGTGTGTTTAATACATTGACTCTGGATGTCACTTTCAGAGCCTGACCTTCTTTAGTCCAGGTAACTCTAGGTTTGGGCCTGCCAAGCACAGGAAACTCCAACTTCAGATCTTTTCCAGCTAGTACACTGTAAGTGTTGAATTGCATCTTAATGCTTGGCTCCATAGTCATGTCGCTTGCAATAACTGGTGCAGCCAATGCCTTTGGCTCACTCTTTCCCTTTTCATTGTAAGCAATGATACGGAAAAGGTATTCCGTTCCAGCTGTGAGGCCTTTGACAGTTCCCTCGCATGTTTTTGTATTTGCCGCAACTCCCCACTTATCTGTACCCTTAGGCAGCATCTCAATTAGATATCCGCCAATTCTACTGCCTCCATCATGCTCAGGTTTTTCCCAGGCCAGTGAAGCAGTGACCTTAGTGACATCAGTGAGGAAGACCTTACCAACAGGCAGGGGTACCTCAGAGGCCTTGGAGGCGGTCTTTGTTTCAACACCCTGACCAATTCCATATTCGTTCTCAGCCATGACTCTGAAGTAATACATAGCACCTTCAATCAAGTTTTCAACTTTGAATGTAGTCTTGGTGCATTTTGTAGACACATTTGCATATGCTTTTCTGGTGGATTCCCGTTTGTCAATGACATAGTTCTTGATTTTGGAACCTCCATCAATCAGTGGGGCATCCCATACAAGAGTGACAGACTCCCTTTTGACTTCTTTAACTACAAGGTTTTGAGGAGCCCCAGGTGTGTCAAGGACTTTAACTGAAACAACCTCTGACACAGTGCCACTGCTGTTGGTCAGGCTCAGGGCATATTTTCCAGAGTCACTCCTGTCACATGAGTCAAGAGACAGCTGTGTGAAGTTGAGAGCTTTCTCAACCACTGCCTTTTCATTCAGGTCTCCCTCATCCTTGGTCCACTTAATCTCAGGTGTTGGCCTGCCCTTGAATGGAACATGGATTCTGACAGATCCACCTGCTTTCACTGTGATGCCCTTCCTCAGCTCAGAGTCAAGATGGATCTCCGGTGGGTCTACCCTTTCCTCTGGCTTAGCTGTTCCAGAAAGAGCTGCAGGCTCACCAACTCCCAGTTTGTTCAAACCACAAACCTGGATCTTGTACTCCTGGCCTTCAGTAAGTTTGGTGATTTCATATTTGTTGACACGCAGGCCAGTGGGCGGAGTAACCATTGTCCATTGCTCCTCTTCAGCCTTGCAGACTTCAACAATGTATCCTTGAATGGTGCTGCCGCCATCAGAGAGGGGCTTACCCCATGAGACTGTAATCGAACTCTTTGTGGAGTCAATCACATGTACATATGCTGGGGCACTAGGTTTGTACTTGGGATCACAGGCCTTGTAGTAAGAACTTGGAAGACTTGGCTCTCCAGCTCCAACTGTGTTCTCAGCAGCCACTCTGAACTCATACTCGTGACCTGTGGTGAGGCCTGTAACTCTGAAGGAGAGATCAGTGACCTTCTGCCTGTTGCATCTGGTCCACTTGATTCCAGTTCTGTCCTTCTTTTCAATGATGTAACTAATAATCTCACTGCCACCATCAGTCTCAGGGGCAGACCAAGTGATTGTCATACCATCATGGGCAATGTTGGATACATCCTCGATGTGAGGTGAACCAGGAGGAACAAATGGAGTCTTCATGATCACTCCACCAGACTCCAGTGACTCACTGACACCATAACTGTTCACTGCCATGACACGGAACATGTATTCATTTCCTTCTAGTAGTTTGGTGACTTTGTAACATGTGGTGTCACAGGTGCTGGAAACAACAGTCCAGGCTAGACGGCTGGTCTCTCTTCTTTCAATGATGTAATGACTAATAGGACTACCACCATCATGTAGAGGAGCACGCCATACCAGTGTGCATCTATCTTCAGAGACTCCAGTGATGTGGAGGGGTCCTTCACATTGGCTGGGTCTATCCAGGACCACAACTTTGAAAGGAACAGTTTCACTGCCAGCCTCGTTTGTCAGCTGCAGTGTGTAAACCCCACCATCAACTCTAACAGAGTCTTTAATGATAATCATGGCATGGTTTTCTGTGTTTCTGACCTCAAGTCTAAGTGTATTCTCGATGGGTTTCTCATCCTTGAACCACTGGATTGTAGGCAGTGGCTTGCCATGGACATCAGCATCTATCTTGAATGTTTCTCCAGCATTAGTGATAATGGTCTTTGTAAATGCAGGGTCAATGGAGAATTTGGGTGCCTCCAGCTTGTCACTTGCAGTGATCGGTCCGCTGTTGTATGATGGCTTGCTGACAGTGCCCACAGCATTCTTAGCAATGACTCTGAAGTCATACTGTGCATTTTCAGTCAGACCAGTGACAGTAAACTTTGTCTCAATCACATTGGTGAAGTTTGCCCTAACCCACCTGCCCTCTGGTAGATCACGCTTCTCTACAGTATAGCCAGTGATATTGCTGCCACCATCATACTCTGGTTTAGTCCACTGAATGACAATAGTATCTTTAGTCACATGAATGGCCTCTGGTGTGCCAGGGGGATCACATGGGTCACGAGCAACACAGCCCTCTGAGACCTTACTGCTCCTGCCAATGCCAACAATATTTTCAGCATAAACCTTGTATTCATACTCAACACCCTCCTCTAATGGTTGACTCTTGAAACTTGTCTCTTGAATAAGTGTCTTGTTGATCTTGACCCAGAGAATACTGTTTCTCTCCTTCCTTTCAAGATGGTAGCCAAGAACAGGGCTGCCTCCATCTGATACAGGCTCGTGCCACTCGACAATCTGGTGGTCCCTTGAGAGAGATGAGATGAAAGGAGTTCCTGGAGGGCCTGGCTCTCTGTATGGGTACTGAGCTACTACAGCAGATGAATCCAGGCCATGACTCTTGCCATAGCGGTTCTGGGCAATGATCCTGAACTGGTACTCAGCTCCAGTCTTCAGTCTACTCACTTTGATGCTAGTTCTGGCACAGTTGATGCTCACATTTTCCCATGTTGTAGTAGTAGTATCTCTCTTCTGTACAATGTAGTTTGAAATTTGGCATCCACCATTGTGTTTTGGTGGGTCCCATGAAATAGTGACACTCTGTGTTGTGATTTCATCGAACCTTACAGGGCCAGATGGAGGGCCAGGCTTGTCTAGTACAATGATTTCAACTGTTGTGTCTTTCTTCCCAGCTGAGTTAGCAACATTTATACCATACATGCCACCATCATCACCTGCTGCCTCCTTAATGCTCAGTGTTGTATGTGTTGGTGTTTTGAGAATGTTGACTCTGGTAGTGAACTTCAGAGGAGCTCCATCTTTAGTCCATGTAACTGCAGGTTTAGGACGTCCAAAGATGGGAATGTCAATGTTCATGTCTTTGCCCACATGGACACTGTAACTGCTAAATGCTGGACGGACATCTGGCTCAAAGACTAAGTCTTTGGTCATCACTGGACCTGCAAGGACTTTAGGCTCACTCTTTCCCTTATCATTGATTGCTGTAACTCTGAACAGATACTCCTCTCCTGGGTTCAGATTTGTGACAGTGGCCTCCATTGTCTTAAATGTGTTCACACCAGACCATTTCTCCTGGCCCTTCAGCTGCACTTCGAGTAGATACTGCATGACTCTGCTACCACCGTCATACTCAGGCTTCTCCCAGGCCAAAGAGATGCTTGTTTTGGTCTGATCTGTAACACTCAGATTCTTAGGAGTCTGGGGCACCTCTGAAACTTTAAGAGCATCAACAGTTGCCGCAGGCAGGCCAACACCATGAGCATTCTCAGCGAGGACTCTGAAGTAGTAGCTGCAGCCCTCCTGGAGTGGCTCAATCTTCCATGACAGAGCATGACAATTTGTTACAACAGCTGCATATGTTTTACGTGTGCTTTCTCTCTTTTCAATAACGTAATTCTTGATCTTGGACCCACCATCCAACAGAGGTGGTTCCCATACCAGCGTTACTGATTGGTTTGTGATTTCTTTCACCTTAAGATTAACAGGGGCGCTGGGTGTGTCGAGAACACGGACGACGACAAAAGCAGATTTTGTTCCACTGGAATTCTCTGCGGTGACCGTGTACTTTCCACTGTCGTTCCTGCTCATATTATCAATTACAAGGGATGTGTAACTGCTGGTAATCTCAACCTGAGCAGTCTCTTTAAGGGCAGCTTCATCTTTGTCCCACTTGATGGTAGGAGTGGGCCTTCCTTTGATGGGGATAAACAGTCTAAGGGAGGCTCCAGCTTTAATGGTCACAATCTTTCTCAGTTCTGGGTCAATGTCAAGGTCTGGCTCCTCTGCCCTGTCCTGGGCAACAACAGCTCCAGAGACATCAGCATGCTCACCAACTCCCACTTTGTTAATAGCACATACTCTAAACTTGTATGCCTGGTTTTCCTTCAGATTTGTAGCCTCAAACTTAGTCTTCTTCACACCTGTTGGTGGCGTGCACATTATCCATTCCACAGCTGGTGCATCTGTGACTTCTGTCTCTGTAGCTGGCTCTTCTGTTGGCTCTGCTGTCTCTGTGGTAGTACAGCACTCAACAATATATCCCTGAATTTCACAGCCTCCATCACAGACCGGCTTTCCCCATGACAGGAACACTGATGTTTTCGTTGTGTCAGTGACTCTTGGATTGTGTGGTGGGCCAGGTCTGAAGATGGGATCAAGAGCTTTGTAGAATACAGTTGGGGAGCTTGGCTCACCTACACCAACAGCATTCTCAGCTACAACTCTAAATTCATAACTATGGCTTTCCAGGAGTCCAGTGACCTTGAAAGTCAAATCAGTGACAGTTTGCCTGTTGCATCTTGTCCATCTTACTCCTTCTTTGTCATGTTTCTCAATTATGTATCCAGTTATAGGGCTGCCCCCATCTTCAGAAGGAGCCTCCCAGGTTAGCAGCATTGAATCCTTTTTAATATCTGAAATTTCTAAGCTCTTTGGTGATCCAGGTGGCATGTATGGATCCTTGATGATGATAGCAGCAGACTCAAGTGCTGCACCCATTCCAAACTGGTTGACAGCATGGACTCTAAAGATGTACTCATTTCCTTCAAGGAGCTTTGTCACTTTTAGACAAATATTTTCCACTTTTGGGTCAACGACAGTCCAGACAAGTCTGCTTGTCTCTCTTCTCTCCACAACATAGTGAGAGATCTTGCTGCCACCATCTTGCAGTGGTGGCTTCCATGCAAGGCAGCATCGGTCTTTGGTTATTCCTGTAACAACAAGAGGTCCTTGTGGTTCCCCAGGTTTATCTAGAACAACCACATTGACCTGTACAGCCTTTTCTCCACCAGGATTTTTCAGCAGCAGCGTGTATTCGCCTCCATCAGAAAGTTTAGCTTCTTTGACAGATATAAAAGCTTTGGTGGGTGTGTTCTTAATTTCTCTATGAATAGTGTTACCCAGTTCCAGGTCTCCCTTCATCCAGTGGATAGTGGGCAGTGGTTTACCATGAACATCTGCGTCAATTTTGAAGTTGTCTCCAGCATTAACTACAACAGACTGTGTGTACTCTGGGTCAATGCTGAGGTGTGGTGGTTCAATTTCATCCCTGGCAGTGATCGCGCCAGTGCTGAAAGAGGGCAGACTGAAAACACCAGCAGCATTTCTGGCAATAACACGGAACTCATACTGATTATCCTGTACAAGTCCAGTTGCTACATATTCTGTCTCAATAACATTGGTGAAGTTTGCCTTTAGCCAACGACCCTCAGGAAGCTCCTTCTTTTCCACAATGTAGCCTGTAACCTTTGCACCACCATCATACTCAGGCTTGGTCCAAACGATGGTCACAGAGTCCTTAGTGATCTTTGTTGCCTCTGGAGTGCCAGGAGGATCGCAAGGATCTCTCGCAACGTGCCCCTCAGACACTTTGCTCACTTTACCTATTCCAACAATATTTTCAGCATAAACTCTGTATTCATACTCCATTCCTGGTTCCAGACCAGTGGTCTTGAAGGTTTGGTCAGTAATTAGGGACTTGTTGAGTTTCACCCACAGGATGCTGTTTCTCTCCTTGCGTTCAAGATGGTAGCCCAAGATAGTGCTTCCACCATCATTCACAGGCTCATTCCAGGCCACCACCATGCTGTCTTTGGTGCAGGCTGCAATGGATGGTGTTCCTGGGGGTCCTGGAAGCTTATACGGGTATTGAGCCACAATACACTCTGATAGGAGAGTTGGGCCTTTTCCATATCTGTTTTCGGCTGTGATTCTAAACTGATACTCAGAGCCAGTCTTCAGCCTGCCTGCCTTAATTTTGGTCCGTGCTAGGTTGGGAGATACAGTCATCCAGTTAGTTGTAGATGTGTCTCTCTTTTCCACAATGTAGTGTTTGATAGTGCAACCACCATCATACTCTGGTGGACTCCAGGAAATGGTTACACTGTCAGAAGTGACCTCCTCTACCTTAACTGGACCGCTTGGCTGGCCTGGTTTGTCAAGAACAACAATGCCAACAGCTGCAGTTGTCTCTCCTGCTGTGTTGGTAAGAGTAATAAGGTAGTGTCCAACATCATCTTTAGTAGCCTCTTTAATGTTGAGGTTCAGCATTGTGGCTGTTGCACTAAAGTTTACTCTTGTGGTTCTCTTCAGAGGCTGACCATCCTTTACCCAGGACACAGTCGCTTTGGGACGTGCAACATATGGAACCTCCACTGTCAGGTCTTCTCCTGCTAACACACTAAATGTGTTGAACAACATTTTGGCAACGGGCGCAATCACAAGATCTTTGACAATCACAGGAACACCGATTTGACGTGGGTCACTTGTTCCCTTCTCATTTCTAGCTGCTACACGGAACATGTATTCTTCACCTGCATTTAGTCCACTAATAGTAGCTTCTGTTTCTTTTACAATCAGAGCCTGGGACCACTTATCAACACCCTTAGGCTGGATCTCAACAACATAACAGCCTACTCTGCTGCCACCGTCATGCTCTGGCTTCTCCCAGGAGAGGGTGACACTGTTTTTGGTGACATCCTTGAGACTAATTTTACCAGGTGGCTGTGGTTTCTCCGACACTTTAACTGACTCACCAGTCTCAATGGGCAAGCCAATGCCATATTCATTCTCAGCTAAAACTCTGAAGTAATAGTTGCATCCTTCCAGGAGCTGATCAACTGTGAAGGTGGTATGATGGCAATTCGCACTGACTGTGGCATATGCTTTCCTTGTAGACTCACGTTTTTCAACTATGTAGTTCTTAATCTTAACTCCTCCATCATTCACTGGTGGATCCCAAGTCAGAGTGACAGCTTCATTGGTTACAGCAGTAATCTTCAAATTCTGTGGGGCACTTGGTGTATCAAGCACCCTGACTTGAACTGTAACTGTCTTGGAGCCAGAACTATTTTCAACAGTAAGATTATACTTTCCACTGTCAAATCTGTTGACATTTTCAATTACAAGTGAGGTGTATGATGTTGTGCTGTCAATAGTTGCCCTCTCAACAGGCTCACCATCACCTTTGGTCCATTTAGCCTGAGGAGCTGGTCTGCCTCTGATAGGAACAAACAGTCTAAGTGAGCAACAAGCTCTAAGACTGACCACTTTGCGGAGCTCCGCATCCAAATCAAACTCAGGTGGAAGGAGCCTGTCCTCTGCCTTGGGATTGTCAGGTACAGATGCTGCCTCTCCAATTCCTTCACTGTTGACAGCAGAGATGTTGATCTTGTACTCTTGGTTCTCCTTCAGATTAACAATGGTGAAGGAGGTGGCGAGGAGACCTTCTTTGGGTGTAACAATGGTCCATTCCTCTTCTTCCTCCTTTTCAGATGGAATGCATGTCTCCACAATATAGCCAGTGACTTCAGAGCCACCATCATACACTGGTTTGTTCCAGGCAACAGTAACTGAGGACTTGGTTGTGTCCAAGATTCTGGGGTTGCATGGAGCACCAGGCTTGTAGAGTCCATCAGTGGCCTTGTAGAATGGACTGGAGACACTTGGTGCACTAACTCCGGCAGCATTCTCAGCAGTTATTCTGAATTCATATTCATGTCCAACAACTAGGCCTGTTGCCTTGAATTGTAGATCTTTGACCTTTCTCTTGTTGCATTTAACCCACCGCAGGCCTATTCTGTCTTTTCTTTCAATATGGTAATTGGTGATGGGAGTTCCACCATCACTCTTAGGCACTTGCCACATAAGAACCATTGAATCTTTAGTAATAGCTGTCACCTCAGGATTCTCTGGAGGATCTGGAATCACATATGGGTTGTCTGCAATAGTGGGTTCCGATTCAAGGGCCTCGCCAAGTCCATATTTGTTCACTGCCATAACTCGGAAGATGTATTCATTTCCTTTGAGCAGCTTGGTCACCTTGAGTTGTGTAACTTGCAAGTCTGAAGCCACATTGGTCCAAACCAGTCTGCTTGATTCACGCTTCTCTATCACATATCCTTCAATCTTGGCACCACCGTCATCTGCAGGTGGAGCCCAGGTAAGAACACAATTGTCAGCTGTGATATTAGACACCCTAAGAGGTCCAACTGGGGGTCCAGGCCTGTCAAGGACTTTAACATTAAAGATGTGCTTTGCAAATCCACCTACATTAGTGGCAGTCAGAACAAACTCTCCTCCATCTAATCTGATTGAGTCCTTGTTGGTCAGGGTGGTTGTCAATTCAGTGAACCTAACTTCCAGTTTCATTGTGTTCTCCACCTCCTTTCCATTCTTGGTCCAAACCATAGATGGGATTGGTTGGCCAGCAATGTCAGCATCAAGCCTGAAGGACTCACCTGCCTTTAGCAGAACAACATCCTTAAAGATGGCATCAACCATAATGCGGGGTTCGATAATGTCGTCTTTGCAGATAATTGGGTCTGACGGCTCAGAGGGCACACTCACTGCACCGGCTGAGTTTCTGGCATTAACACGGAATTCATAGGAGGCATCCTGAGTCAGCCCGCTGACAGTAAATGCTGTCTCAATGATGTTGGTGAAATTGGCTCTCATCCAGCGACCAGTAGGCAGTTCTCTCTTCTCCACCGTGTAGCCAGTGATTTTGAAGCCACCATCATACTCAGGCTTTGTCCACTGAATAGTGATGACATTCTTGTTGACAAATATTGGCACAGGCTGACCCGGTGGGTCAACAGGGTCCAAGGCCAGAATTGCTTCGGAAGCTTTGCTGGGTTTACCAATTCCAGCCATGTTTTCAGCCATGACACGGAACTCATACGCAGCACCATCTTCAAGCCCAGTGGATTTAAAGATGTTTCCTTTCACAATACCCTTGCTGATCTTATGCCACATGATACTGCTTCTTTCCTTCCTCTCAACATGATAACCAATGACTTCATTTCCACCGTCAGACACAGGCTCATTCCAGCCAATTGTTATGGAGTCCTTGGTAAATGCAACAACACCAGGAGTACCTGGAGGTCCAGGTGCTTTGAATGGATAGGCAGCCACAACTGCCTCTGAGGTGATGGGAGGTCCAACACCATATCTGTTCTTAGCCTTTATTCTGAACTGGTACTCTGAGCCAGTCGTTAACCGAATGGCTTTGAACATTGTGCGGATGATGGTGGAAGACAGTTCAGTCCATGTTTGGGTGGTGGTGTCTCTCATCTCCACCACATAATTGTTAATGGGAACACCTCCGTCATTCTCAGGAGTTTCCCATGCAAAGACGCAATAGGTACGAGATTTCTCCACAATGGTAACTGGTCCTTTTGGTGGCCCAGGTACATCATGCACTTTGACAATGATGTTGTCTGTTACAGATCCTACTATGTTCTTTCCTGTCATGGTGTATACACCACTGTCAGCTCTATTGCATTCGTTGATGCTGATAATAGCAGTAGCAGCAGTAGTTTCCACATTAGTTCTCTGTGTGACCTTCAGAGCTGCTCCGTCCTTTTGCCAAGAGACAGTTGGTCTAGGACGTCCCGTAACTGGAATTTCAACCTTGATGTCATCTCCTGCCTTTGCGATGACAGTCTTCTGACAGACACCACGCAGGTCAAATTCAGGCAGAGAAGTAGAATCCCTGACAACAATGGGTTTGCTCTCACGTGGAACACTTCTACCAGACTGGTTGGCAGCCATTACACGGAAAATGTACTCTTCATTCTCATTGAGATTCTTCACTGTGAAATCCATGGTTTTGACTGTTGTTACATGGGCCCACTGATCAGTTCCCTTCTTCTGAGCTTCCAGGACATATCCTGTAATTCTGCTTCCACCATCATGCTTGGGTTTGGTCCAAGCGAGGCTCACAGAGCTCTTGGTGATATCAGTAGGAATAATGCTTTCTGGTTGAGTTGGTGCCTGAGATGCACGAACTGGATCAGAAGTCTCTACCGCCTCACCAATGCCATATTCGTTCTCAGCAGACACTCTGAAATAATACTCACAGCCTTCACCCAGCTCGGCAATTTTGACTGAAGTGGTTGGGCAATGTGTAATAGCAGTAGCAAAAGCCTTGCGAGTTGATTCTCTCTTCTCAACGATATAGTTTGTGATCTTAGCTCCACCATCAATGAGAGGCATCTCCCATTGAAGTGTGATGCTTTCCTTGTCAATCTTGACTGGTTTCAGGTTAAGCGGAGGTCCAGGTGAATCCAGAACTCTCACATGTATATCAGCACTCTTCTTTCCAGCTGAGTTTTCGAGGGTAAGCTCATATTTACCTGCATCAATCCTTGAACTCTCAGGAATGAGCAGCATTGTAAAGGATTCAGTGCTGTCGATGACTGCCCGTGGGACAGGGCCACCCTCCTTAGTCCAGGTGACTGTTGGTGTAGGACGTCCCTTGATTGGCACAAAGAGGCGGATGGAGCAGCCAGCTCTCACAACAAGGGTTCTTCTCAGCTCAACATCCAGCTCCAAGTCAGGTTCAGCCGCACGCTCGACAATCTCAACCAGCTCCTTGGTTTCTGCAGGCTCGCCTGCTCCCTTTGCATTCACAGCACTAATTCTGAAGTGGTATTTTGCACCAGCTTCCAGCTCAGGAACAACAAACTCTGTGATCCTCAGTGGAGATGAAGGGGTATCCTTAACCCATTCTTCTGCTCCTTCTTTCTTGTGCTCAATCACATATCCAGTGACTTTAAGTCCACCATTATCAAGAGGTTTTCCCCAGTTCAGAGTGGCTGTGGTTTTGGTTGTGTCTGTAACTCTTGGATTGACCGGCGGTCCAGGTGGATCTGACAGACATAAAATAAGTGGTTAGTGTTTTTTAAAACTAAACTGTAAAAGCTGCTGATTTTGTTTAAGTATCTAAGCATTTGAAGTAATAGGCACTGTTCCACTGCAGGAATTTGCGGGTCATTTTAGGGTGACACAAACCTTTGACTGTGGTTTGACCACAGGAACCATCCCTATAGAATCTCTTTTAGGACTGTTTTCAGGGAGAAAATAACAAATATTCCAGGGTAGGCTGATTGGTTACACTCAGAGAGAACAACAAGCACCATTTTCCACGCCCTGAAAACTATTCATATAGGCTAACATAACAAACCTGCATTGTTCTATTTCCTACATAGAATTGGTGTTGTGTTGAGTAACTACAATTTGTTTTGGTGCACCCATAGCCAGTGTCATGGTCAAAGCTGCTGGACCTAAATAGAAACAGAAGGCTGAAAGGGCCATTAAGGCGGGGTGTTCCCATAAATGTTTGCCCAACCTCGCACTGAATTCCTGCCTTAGAAAAGTTAATAATAATATTGAATTCTGGCAGTCCACATGGTTTTCACAACTGAAACGCTAGCTTTTACTTACAGGCAACAACTATTGTTCTGACTGGCATCGATGGTTCACTTGGCTCTCCAAAACCAGCTATGTTCTCAGCAAGAACACGGAACTCATACTCGACATCCTCAGTGAGACCTGTGACTTCATAGCTGAGCTCAGAAATGGATTTCTTCGATGCCCGGAGCCACCTCATACCCTTCTTCTCCTTCTTCTCAACACAATAACCTATGATGTCACTGCCTCCATCCTCAGTCGGTCTTCTCCAAGTCACAGTGGCCGAATGTCCGTTGACCTTCTCCACCTCTGGTTTAGATGGGGGACCAGGAGGACCTACATACATAGCAAAAAGAAGCATGTTCTAAAATCTATGGTAGTCTCAAATCTTCCAGATGCACAGAAGAACATAAATTAACTGTACATACCAAATCTATCCACCATCTTGACTGCCTCAGAGTGAGATGGCTCGCTGGCACCGTACTGGTTAACAGCAGACACTCTGAAGAAGTACTCATTGCCTTGGATGAGCTTGTGGGCCACATAATGACAGTCGATAACCTTCTCTTCCAGCACAGTCCAGAGCAGCCGGCTAGTCTCTCTCTTCTCCAGTGTGTAATACTTGATGGGAGAACCTCCATCCTCAGTAGGAGCTGTCCAGGTAAGAGTCACCTTTTCAGAGGAGACACCACTGCATTCAATAGGTCCAGGTGCACCAGGTACATCAAGAACTTTGACCTTGACAGTTTCCTCTTTTACACCGAAGGGGTTGCTGGCAGTGATTATGTACTCTCCGGAGTCTTTTCTGCTGGCATATTTGACGGACAGAGTGGAGGATGTGGCAGTGGTCTCAATGTGAACAATGTCAGAGGGTTTAAAGTACTTCCCTCCCTTTGACCAGCAAGAAGTCGGTGCAGGTTGACCCAAAATACTTGTGGCAGTGATGACAATAGTATCGCCTGCTCGGACGGTCAGACCCTCCATCACCTGGGCATCGATAGTAATAGTTGGTGCCGCTGTTGAAGAAAACAGGAAACGTTTAAGTTTTCATGCAGTATGCCAAGTCTCTACCTCAGTGTCATACTGCCAACTGAAGGTGTTCAGAAGGGTTTAAATGTCTGCATCTCACCATATTCATCTCTGCAAATAATAGTATCTGTCTGCTCTGAAGGTGGGCTGAGAGCACCGGCTGAATTCTTCGCCCTGATCCTGAACTCATATTTGCAGCCCTCCTGCAAATCTGTGACAGTGTATGCAGGTTCCACAACATTCACGTTGTTGGCCTTCACCCAGATCTTAGAAGGCAGGTCTCGCCTTTCAACGATGTAGCCGGTCAGCCTGTGGCCACCATCAAACTGAGGCTCAGTCCACTGCAGGGTCACAGTGCTCCTGCTGATGCTGATAACATCGGGTTTACCAGGTGCATCTATTGACACAAATAAAAAAAGTAATAAATGAATGCATTGTTCCAGATTTACGGAATCAGTATTTTTTATACTTGTCCAAATTTCACTCTTTCTATACTTACCAATGGGATCCAAAGCCACCTGTGGATCGGTGGGAACACTCGGTCTGCCGATACCAGCCAGGTTGATTGCCATGACTCTGAACTCATACTCCAGACCTTCAGTCAGTCCGGTTACTTTGTGTTCCTTCATCCTTAGGGCAGCTGGGCTTGCCCTCTTCCACAACATACTGTTCCTCTCCTTGAACTCAACATGGTAGCCTGAACAAAAAACACATTATGGTCATGACCCATACATTCCATGCAGATGTCAGTAGCAGTGCTAAGTTAAAAAGTATGAAGAAAAAGATAGCTGCATGACAGCAGGTTGGCCAAGGGACTATACCTGTGATGGGGGATCCTCCTGTTTTCCTGGGGTCAGACCAGGCCAGGTAAGCTGAGTCATGGCGCATGCTCATGATCTCCGGAGGAGCAGGAGCATCAGGAACATCTGTTGAAAAACAGTCAGAAAAGTTTAGTTTTAAGTTCTAATTTAGCCAATAAAATACATCAAGCACTGTCACTTACTGAATGGATGTTTAGCTACGATGGGATCAGACTTCAGCCCCTCTCCAACGCCGTATTTGTTCTCAGCACACACTCTGAAGATGTATTCAGTACCCTCATGAAGGCCGGTCACCCTCATGCTGTTGGTCTCCACAGTGGAGGACACAGTCACCCACATGTTGGTGATTGAGTCCCTCTTGTCCAGGATGTAGTTGGTAATCTCAGAGCCACCATCATCCTTGGGAGCACCCCACCTCAGCGTAGCACCATCAGCAGTGACATCTTTGAACTTAATTGGTCCGACAGGGATGCCAGGTTTACCCACAACCCTAAAAGAATACAGGAATCATTCTTGGCTTCATTTTGATGGGTGGCTGTGGCTCAGGTGGTTGAGTGCAGTCCAATAACATTTAACCCTCTGAATCCAAAAACCTGCCAGCAGGTTTGCCAGGCATGCTATCGTTAAAGAAACAATCAAGCTAAACTGACTCAATATATCAGCCATAAAATAACTACAAATAAACACAAAATTTTAATATTTCATTCAAATTCACCAAAAATGAAGGTAAAACAAAAACTTCTAAGCTCCTCAGCTAAACTGATTTTCCATGACTGATTCAGCTACAGCCAACAGTCATGACTAAAATTCTGAGACCTTCAGGTGAACTGCAAGCTGTAAACATGGAAATAGTTAAATATCTGTAGTATATGGATCTTTCTTTTTTTTTTTTTCCAGTGTTGGTAACATCTGTGGACACTTGAAAAAGTGTCAGACATGTTGAGTTCTTTTTTTTATTTTTCAATTTTCAGAAAACTAATAATTCAACTTGTATTTTTTCTGTTTCTGTAATTTTAACTGAGTCCTGCTGACAGAAGACGTCTCTGAGTTCTCTCTCCTTCTTCATGTTGTTCTGGTTCCACAGAGCTGCTGGACTTTATGTTGAAACATGAACCTCAGTAAAGAAACATATGACGGGGCAAAAAATGCAAAGAAACTGCTTGCAGTTCAGAAGATTAAATGCAGTGTATGAATAGCACAGCAGGATCTATTTTGAGGAAAATTTCCTTATGTTGTGTTGCAGTTTCTTCCCTGATAGCTCTGTGAACCCTACCTGATGAAGATGGTGGACTCCTTGGATCCAGCACTGTTTCTCAGGGTGATAGTGTACTTTGAAGCATCAGTCCTCTGGCAGTCCCTGATCAGGAGGGTGGTGTTGACTGCAGAGGACTCGGCACACACCCGACCGGTGTCTGTCAGGTCTTCATCATCTCCCTTCTTCCAAGAGACCTTAGGCGTAGGTTTGCCAATAAGTGGGATCTTCAGACGGACGGTGGTGCCCTCTTTGGCAATGTAGCACATGTTGGGCAACTCCCTCAAGTCACAACTGGGATGAACTTCAGAGGAAAGGGAAACGTGTGTTATACCCCATGTTGAACACTTTACACATTTTCTCACTTAATTCTTTGTCTAGAAGTTTCACAAATACAGACACTTACTGATCTGGTCTTTGGCGACCACTGTCAGTTCCTTGGCAGCACTCTCTCCTGAGTCGTTCACAGCTTTGACTCTGTAGTTGTACTCTCTGCCCTCCACCAGGTCCTTGGCGCTGTACTGCATATTCTTGGATCTCATTAGCTCCTTGTACTTATCCTCACCATTGAGAACCTCCAGCACATAGCAGATGATGCGGCTGCCGCCGTCCGTGAGGGGTTTCTTCCAGCTCAGAGTGCAAGAATCCCTGGTAACCAGCAGAGTTTTGAAGTCCATGACAGGCCCAGGCTCCTCTGGAGAAGTAAATATAAGTGAGTATGACATTTACTAGAACAAAAAAGTACAAAATCAAGTACTGTATGTCTACAGCAGAGGAGGCAGCACGCTGACATCATGATAGCGTATGTTGTGATTTTCGCAATATAAATAAAGAGGAGCTGAACTGAATTTCCTGGGCTGCAGTTGTAGGACTGCATTTCTAGGACCTTTTCACAACAGCACTACCTACTGAAGTCAATAACTAAAAGAGCACATATTGAAGTAAGCCTCCTGTACTGTTAACACATAATTTTGACAATGCCTGTAACTATCTAACTTACCTGATGCTCTGACTGAGTCAGCTGTCTCGCAACACTCTCCAGCACCAAGCTGGTTAACAGCTGACACCCTGAAGCAGTAGGACCTTCCAGCATCCAGGTCTGGAACCTTGAATGACGTCTTGGTGCAGTTGTTGGAGACGAGGGACCAAGCCTTCCTCTCAGTGTCACGCTTCTCCACAATGTAGTGGGTGATTTCAGAGCCACCATCAATCAGAGGAGCATCCCAGTAAATGGAGGAACTGTCCTTAGTTGCATCCTTCACCATCAGGTTGACTGGCGGTCCAGGAGTGTCTGCAAAGATACCACAGCACCTTTTAACAGTGTCTCTTACAATATAAACCTAAACCTGGAACAGTTTTTTCATTCGAGTCACTTCAGTCACTCTGTACTCTGTAATAATCACTGCTAACAAACATACAGCAGATTAATACACTTGCTTTGCAATAAAATGAGTCCTGTACTGACCAAACACTTTTACAATGATGGTGTACATCTTCATGCCAGCCGTGCTCTCCAGGTTCAGAATGTATTTGCCGGCATCATAACGGTTGACATTCTCCACCATCACCATAGTGTCGACGTTGCTGGATTTGATGACGATGCCCTGCCGGTCCTTGATGTTGGTGTTCATCTTTGCCCAGGTGATCTTGGGAACGGGACGGCCCTTGATGGTGGCCTGCAGCTTCATGACAGCGCCAGCTTGCAGCTCCAAAACTTGCTTCAACTCGGCACTCAGCTCTGCCTCAGGAGCAACTACATTAGGACACATACAGAGGAGATGCTTTTAGGAGTGAGGACTCTTACTACTGTAGCAGGAAGGAGACAACGAAAGCAACTGAGAGGAAAATAAAACATAATGGATCAGTACATGAATACAGCATAGCTCAGAAACAGTGAACAGAGAGCAAGTTGTTGGAAAATACTTTGAGCATGGTGAAACATCTTTCTACAGCTGATGAGCAGAGTAGAGAGAAAAACAGAATTTGAAGAGATGGTTGAGATGTAAATAGTGAACTTAGTATAGCATGTGAAGTTTTTTTTGTTTGTTTGTTTTTTCAGTGTTTGTACCACTTGTGGACACTTGAGAAAATGCTGGACAAGCTTCCATTCAACGTATATAAATCTGAAAAAACAAATGTTGCTTTTTTTCTGATTCCTGTCATTCCAACGAACGTTGAAGATTGTGACAGGAGTAAAAAGCACAGAAACTGCTTGTTGGTTATCTTTTTATTTTTAATCCAGGTTTGTTGTGCTGATGATACTGTGTTCTACTTTAACTCACTGTTATACAGAATTAAAATAAACACAGCTCAGGAAACCTAAATTGTACGTACCGATGATGTCCTTGGCAACATGTTTGCCGGGTACTTCAACTGGCTCGCCGAAGCCAATCTTATTGACAGCAGTGATGCGGCACTGGTACTCCGACTTGTGGATGAGGTTCTGGATGACATAGCTGGTCTCCTGCAGGTTCCTGGGGACATTGCAGCGGATCCAGTCTGTGGTGTCGGTCCTCTTGCACTCCACCAGGTATCCAATAATGGGGCTTCCACCATTGTTGGCCGGTGTGGTCCAGGTGAGACTGATGGTGCTATGGGTGGTATCAGTTACAGTGGGATTCACTACAGGTCCAGGAGGAGCTGGGGAAAGAGCACATTGATTTAGATTACATTCAGTAAGTAACACAGAAAGGACTATGCAGAGGTTTTTACAGGTAATGAAGCTGGCACTCACTGATGGGATTCATTGCAGTGGCACCAGCAGAGGGCTCGCTGGGTTTGCCGAGCCCGGCAACATTAACGGCAGTGACTCTGAACTCATACTCGGCTCCCTCTGTGAGGCCAGTAACTTCCAGAGTCCTTTCTGTCATCGGCTTCCTGTTCATCTTGGTCCAGTTCATCTCCTTGCTCTCTTTCTTTTCCAGCATGTAGCCCAGGATGGTGGACTTTCCATCATCAGCAGGCTCCTTCCAGCTCACTGTCATACGGTCTTTGGACACGTTGGTGATGACTGGGGCCTCACATGGGCCAGGGACAGCTGGAAGTGACACCACAGGAGAGGTTTTAATTCAGACGACGGATCCGTATTTCACTTTTTTGTTAACAGGTAATCAGACACATTAACAAACAATAATCGACTAGTCACAAAATGAACAAAATACAGTTGACAGTTTTCAGTATGCTGATATCGCCATTTGTAACTGAGGGCAATTACTTTAGATGTAGCTGACTTACATGAGAAATGTCAGGAATACATAAACACCCGGTATTTTAACTACATATTGAAATCAATTACAAGAACCGTTTTTAAGAAACTTGCACAATATGAACCCGGTGAAGACATCTTAACTTAACAAGCGCTCAACACATTGATCTCCAGGAATGCCGCTTATCCCACGCTACATGGATGTTGGCTGGAAGCCATTAACCACCAGAGAGTCTCCATCATGGTGACCCATTGCTCAAAACTCAAACAAGACACAACTGAATTACCTAAAACTACTCATTCACCAATTTGGATTTGAACATGAACATTCCCACGGCTCTTGCATTTGCAAAAACGGAACTGGATTTTAGGCAAACGAGCTGCAGTGTTCCACCTCATTAAACAGTAAGAGGCGCCACATGTTACAACCATGTGACAATCACTTCTGTCACAGGCCATGCTTAAATAGTTGCACTGACTGCTTAAATCTTTGACTTCTGTTAATGTTATCATGTCATGTATGAACTCAGACAAAATGCTGGTGGTGACTCACTGAATGGGTTCTTGGCGATGACAGGGTTGGTGATCAGGGGGTCTCCAACTCCCCACATGCTTTCAGCACGGATTCGGAACTGGTACTCACGACCTTCAATTAGTTTCCCTACGTTGAACTCAAGGACATCGCCCTTGACCTTGGAGGAGACCTGGGCCCACTCAGCTCTGCTGGTCTCACGCTTGTCAATAATATAGTTAGTGATAGGGGCACCACCATCCTTCAGAGGAGGCTCCCAGGATAGCTTAATGCTGGTTGCCAACACCTCGACATATTTGGCACTGGCAGGAGGACCGGGCACATCTAAGGAGACACAGAATTTATGTGACTACAGTCTGTAGACAGAAAACAACTTTCAGCTTCTCAGTAGAGACATCAGTGATGGGAAAGCAATAACACTCACCAAGGACGGTGACTTGGATCTCAGCTGTCTTGGAGCCGCTGGCGTTCTCAGCCACGATGGTGTAGGTTGCTGTGTGCTCCTTGGTAATAGCTGTCATCTCCAGCTGGAAGTGATTCCTTTGCTGGGTGATTACCTGGCCCTCACCTGACTTCAGGCTGTCATCTCCTCTCTTCCAGGTCACTCTGGGCATGGGCTTACCGAAAACCTCAGCCTCCAGGAGGAGTGTTGTTCCAGCCTTAACTTTGAAACCCTTCTGCATCCTGGCATTGACCTCTACCCGTGGAGGAACTGCATTTAGAGAAGATAAGATGAATAATTACACAGCTCAGACAAATTGGTTTATCAGCATGGTCATAAGGCCTTTAAGTCAAAACCTCTCACCGTTCTCAGCACAGACCAGGACTGGGTCTGTGGGCTCTGAGGGTTTGCTCATGTTCACAGCAGTCTTGGCAATTACTCTGAACTGGTACTGCAGGTCTCTCTCCAAGCCGGTCACTGTGTACTCCTCCCTTGGCACATTCTGGCTGCTGGTGTTGCAGCGTATCCAAGTGTCTCCTGGCACTCGCATAGCCTCAACATAGTAGCCAATGATCTTGCTTCCACCATCGTTCTTGGGACGTGTCCAAACCAGAGTGACAGAATTCTTGGTTACATCCAGGATATCAGGTTTGCCTGGAGTGTCTGTGACATCAAAAATACAAATGAGTTAACGTTAAAAAAAAACAAAACAAAACATTTAAATAAATAAAGCTTGTTGCACAAGTGTTGGAGGCAAACGTACCGACTGGTGTTCTAGCAGTGACAAAGTCAGTCTTCTTGCTTGGTTTGCCCTGGCCAGCACGGTTGATGGCAGACACTCTGAAAGTGTATTCCAGGCCCTCAATGAGACCAGCACATGGATACTCGGTGGTGCGGACGACAGTGTCGTTGGCCTTCACCCACAGCAGGCTGTTCCTCTCCTTACGCTCAATGTAGTAACCTGTGATGGGGCTGCCGCCGTCACTCTCGGGCTTATCCCACGCCACGAACATGCAATCCTTGTTGGTCTTGTTGATGCGACAGTTGAGCGGCTCGCTGGGAACATCTAATGACAAAGACAGATAAAATTAGTGTTCTGTATTAGATACTGACCTGTAATAATAACACTGCTCAGTTTTAGATAGAAATGTACACCTAGAGCATATATACATATATTGGGCTTTTTTGCCTTTATTTTAGAGCAGTAGAGAGAGACAGGAAAGGGGGGAGAAGAATGGGGAGAGACCTGCAGCAACGGGTCGTGAGCAGGATTCGAACTCACGACCGCTGCATTGGGGAACTATAGCCCCTGTTTATGGGCCACCCGCTCAACCAGGTGAGCTATAGGGGCGCCCACCTAAATCATATATGTAACATTTCATTCAAACTTACCGAAGGGGAACTTGGCGACCATCCGGTCAGACTGAATGGGGTCTGACACACCAAAGCGGTTCTCAGCACGTATGCGGAACACATACTCCTTCCCTGGGATAAGCTTTCCCAGCCTGCAACCGATCTTTGAGCAAGAAGATACAGCAGTCACCCAGTCGCCCCTGCTCACATCGCATTTTTCCACCACGTAGTTGGTGATATTGCTGCCTCCATCCTCCAGTGGTTTGTTCCAGGACAGGGAGCAGGCATCAGAGTCAATGTCACTGATCTCCACAGGGCCCTCAGGAGGACCAGGGATGTCTGAAATACACAAAGAAAAAAATAAGTTAGCTGTGTGTGAATTCATTTGTTTTCCCCATATGATCATGTTGTGTGGGACACTGACCTCTGATGATGATCTTCAGAGCCTGGGACACCTTTGCAGAGCTGTTCTCAGCCACCAGGCTGTACTCTCCACTGTCAGTCCTTGACACGTCTTTGATGATCAGGACACACATGTTTCCGGACTGATGCACAGCCAGACGGCTGGATGGGACCACGGCATCCTCACCACGCATCCATTTGCAGGTCGGGGCAGGTTTTCCTGAAACCAGTGCCTCAACTCTGAGCTTGGCTCCAGCTTTGGCGCTTGCCATCTCTGTCATGACAATCTTTGGCTCCACTGCAGGTGACAACAAGAGAATTTGACTTATTTGTGAGGAAGCTGACAGCAGGTAACAAATGCTGGTAATGTCTAGTGTTGTCTCTGGAGCTTACACATTACTGTTATCAGTGTTCACTGTTTTAAAATAATCCTGATCATGAAATAAGTGGACATAGCAAGGATGAATTAAAATGCATAAAAGTAAAGCAAGATCACTTATTATTGAGACACGATGACATACACATTTGCTCCTTGATCTCCACCGGCTCTCTGGTCTCAGTGAACGAGCTCTGGCCCATCATGTTCTTGGCAGCCACTCTGAACCTGTACCTCTTGCCCTCCTTCAGACCACTGACACTGATTGTCAAACCTTTAACTGTGGTGTAGCCATTCCACACTTCTTTCTCAGGTTCTGCGTCCTCTTCCTCCTCTACCGGAGGAGGAGGTGGAGGTGGTGGAGGAGCTTCTTCTCCTTCAGGAACCTGTTATAGAGGGAGGTTGTAGATTGATGATTCAGATTCTAAGAAGAGCGCTTGAATTGCAAAATATACACATAAAATGATAGTGGGGGTAGTCTTTTAGCACATACAGTTTGACAGAGCTAAAAACTGACAGAAGAGAATCAGTGTGGTCACATGACAAACCTCCACAGGTGCTGGTGGCTCTGGAGGAGGTTTGACCTCAATGTATTCAATCACATAACCATCGATCTTGGCACCACCGTCACTTAAGGGCTTCACCCAGCCAACCAGGGCGCTGTTCTTAGTGATCTCGAGAACGTCGATCTTCTGACAAGGATCCGGTTTACCTGAAACAGGAAATCACATGATTACGTTCAAGTTAGGGGTGTCCTGAACCTAATCCTAAAAATGTAATTAGGGCTGATTTTGGCAATTTTCATTCATCAGTATTCGCAGAAAGCTAAGCCCGATTCTATGTTCACATCTGTTGTCACACAGTCACATTAAAGAAGCAACAGCAACGACTGCTCTACATGTCCCTGGGAAATGAGAACACAGTCCTTGGTTATTCCAACTTGATTTGACACTTGTGCAGCCTCAGAGAAAATTTTTTCATGGTGGTCCCTTACTAGCTGAACTCCCACAATGCTCTCTGCTCTCAGTAAGAGGATCCTTCTGGTGGTGCAAGCAGGTACTCCAGCTTGAAGTGTGTATTATTTAGGGAAATGGTATTGAGTATTTCAAGTGCTTCTAATGACTGATGAAACGACTGATGAGCACAGTGGGCAGCTGTCACATTATTTAGCTGATTAGACGATACGTACTGACAGGATCCGAGGCCAGGTAGGATGTAGGGGACACTCTGGGAACTCCAGTGCCGTACTCATTGACCGCTGTGACTCTGAAGTAGTACTCAGTGCCTGGCATTAGGTTGCTGACTTTGAAAGGAACCTTATCCACCGCAACTTCGGCCTTCACAGTTGCCCATGTCTTGCGGTCGACCTCACGCTTCTCAACGATGTAGTGTGTGACCTCGCTGCCACCGTTGTTCTCTGGTGGACTCCAGGACAGCTTGGCGGATGTCTGTTTGATGTCTGTAGCTTCCAGGCTCATCACAGGTCCAGGAGTGTCTGTAGGGAAAAATACATTGAAACTCTTATTGAGTTTGTTTGTAATTTTTAAGTATTTTTCAATACAATTCAACTTTATTTACATTGCGCAAATTCATAATATATGCCATTGCGAGGCGCTTCACACAGTTTGGTGAAAACCTTAGAAAAACCCAACAAATCCTAAGTTTTGCTCAGATTCCTTTGAAACCAGCACTTAGGAACAGTTTTTGAGCAGGATAAACAAATAAAGAAATCCAAGACTCACCTAAAACCTTGACAGTGACAAACACAGCTTTCTCTCCCGCAGGGCTCCGCAGAGTCAGGCAGTATTTTCCAGAGTCGTCACGGGTGCTGTCAGGAATGACCAGGAAGGTCATAGTGTCGATAATGTCCACTTTACCCTTCCTCACCACGTTATCGATACCCATCCTCCTCCAAGTGACCTTGGGAGGAGGTCTGCCTCTGATGGTGGCACAGAGTCTGATGGGACAACCAGCTCTTACAGTCAGTCCCTGTTTTAGATTGGCATCCAAATCAATCTCCGGCGCCTCTGTTGGGAGAAACAGTGTAAGTGTTTACTTGACATCATGAGCACAAACTACAGCCTAATGTTAAAGGATCTAAAATTCAATGAAGTCCTCACCTAGAATCTCCTTGGGGATCACAGCACCCTCCAAGTCGCAAGGCAGGCTCATGCCCACCTGGTTCTGGGCAGACACTCTGAATTCATACACAAGCTTCTCATCCAGACTTGTGACTGTAAACTCGCACACGACAAGCTGAGCTGCCACATTACATCTCTTCCAGCCATCGTCTCCCTTCTTGGCAGTTCCCTGTGCTCTCATTTCCACCACGTAGCCAATGAGCGGAGCTCCACCATCAGACACCGGCTTAGTCCAGCCCAGAGTGAAGGTGGATTTGGTGCTGTCCAACACCTTCAGGTTAGTGGGAGGTGCAGGAGGCTCTGTAAAAAGACGTAAGCGTGTGTGAAGAAATTGGTGTGATCTATAGTAACAATATTACACACAACGTAGATATTGTCCTAACATACCAATAGCATCCTTTGCAGTGATGGCACGTGAAGCTTTGCTGGGGCTGCCAGTGCCAATTTCATTCACGGCCTTGACTCTGTACTGGTAGTCGTGGAGGGGCAGCAGTCCAGTAACTGTGAAACGAGTTGAAGGGATCGGATCTTTGTTGACAGGAGACCACCTGACTCCGTGCTCCTCTCTCTTCTCCAGCAGATATCCTATAATGGGCTTTCCGCCATCTTTTTCTGGCTCTGACCACTGCACAGTCATTTCCTCCTTGGTGATCTTGGTGACTTCTGGTGTTTCAGGAGCATCAGGTACGCTGAACTGGGTGCCAGCAACAATGGCCTCACTTTGTACTGCAGGTCCAGGACCCATCTTATTTTCAGCACGGACTCTGAAGATATACTCATTGCCCTCAATCAGACGAGTGACATTAGCCTTGTTGGTGATGACAGCATTGGAGTGGACTGACCAGACTCCCCTCTTGGTCTCACATTTCTCAATGATGTAGTTGTAAATATCACAGCCACCATTGTCTTCTGGGACTTCCCAGGTCAGAATGCACCTGTCAATGGTGATACCAGACACTTTAAGATCCCTGATGGGGCCAGGTCTATCCAGTACATTGACTGTAGCATGAGCAGCACAGGTTCCTGCACTGTTGGAGGCAGTAACAACGTATTTGCCGCTGTCAGTGCGCCTGGCGCCAGTAACAAGCAGCTTAGAGAAGTCTGCACCAGTTTCAATCTGAAGCCTGGGACCCTTTCTGATCTCCTCTGTGCCCTCATCCTTGGTCCATTTGACATCAGGCTGGGGTTTGCCCTTCACCATTGCCTCGATAGGAATGGAATCGCCTGCCTTCACCACAAGGGTTCCATCCAGCTTAATCTTGACCTCAGGCTCCACCAGCTGTTCCTTAACCAGGACTTCAGCTGTGGTAACCCAGTTGCTCTCACCTCCCTCATTCTTTGTCTGAACTCTGAACTGGTATATCTGGTTTTCGATGCACCTGTCAGCCATGAAGTAGGTCTCTTTGATGGCTCCCTTGTGAATTCGCTCCCACTCCTCAGCCTCCTTCGGTTTCTTTTCAACGTGATAAGCCAGGTTACGACTGCCACCATCATAGTCAGGTTTCTTCCACTTGAGGAAGCAGAAGGTCTTGCCAATCTCAGAGATTTGGAAGTCAATAGGTTCACCAGGCTTCTCAATGGGATCGACTGCCAGCACTGGTGCCTTGGTCTCAGTGGGTGGACCAGCACCAATCTTGTTTTCAGCGCTGACACGGAAGAAGTACTCACAACCCTCAGAAAGAGGAGCCTTCATCAGACGCTTTGTGCAGTCACTCGACACCACTGTCCATCCTCTCTGGCTGGGCTGACGGCACTCAATTATGTATTGTGTAATCTCAGTACCACCATTGTCCTCAGGGTTCTCCCAGGACACCATACAGGAGTTTTTGGTCACATAGGCCACTTTGAGGTTCTGGCAGGCTCCTGGTGTGTCCAGGACATTGACAATAATAGTAGCCTGTGCCTGCCCACTGCTATTCTTGGCAACAATGGCATATTTACCATAGTCTGACCTGACTGCATCATTGATGACGAGCTCACACAGAGGGTAGTTGTTGTTCATCTCTGTGCGCTTGTCTCGGGACAAGGCTCTGGCATCCTTGGTCCATGTGATCTCTGGATCCGGTCTGCCTTTCACTCTAGTAATCAGACTGATGATCTGACCGGCCCTCAGTGTCAGAGAGTCACGGCAGGACACATCCACAACAACTTCAGGGGGCACCAGGATGTCCTTTGCGAGGATGGTCTCAGCCAGCTCCCTGGGTTCACTGTCTCCGACCTTGTTGGTGGCTCTGATGCGTATTCTGTACTCCAGTCCTTCAATGAGGCCTGGCACTCTGTAGGCACACATCTTGATGAGGTCCTTGTTGATTCTGTCCCACTGGGCACTTCCTGACTTCTGAGCCTCCACGACATAGCCTAGAATGGGACTGCCTCCGTCTCTGGTAGGCTTGGTCCAGCAGATGTCTGCATAGGATTTACTCCAGTCCTTAAGCTTTGGATTGCCTGGGGGTCCAGGTTTTGTGATGGCACGAGTGGCCTTAATGGGGTCAGAGGTGAGAGAAGGCTCACTGATGCCAGCAATGTTTTCAGCAAACACTCTGAACTCATAACTATTGCCTTCAAACAGGCCAGAGACTCTGTATCTGAGGTCCAGTACAGGAGTTTTGTTGACTCTGATCCACTTTCCGGTCATTTCTCTGCGTTCAATCACGTAGCCACTGATGGGGCTTCCTCCATCGTACTCAGGCAAGGCCCATTCCACTGTTACAGCATTCTCTGTGATATCTGAACACTCTGGTGGGCCTGGTGGACCAGGAGGGTTGAACATGTGTTTGGCAATAGTTGGAGGACTTTCAAGCCCAGCACCAATGCCAATCTTGTTTTCTGCACGAACACGGACGATGTATTCACGGCCCTTCTCCAGTCTGGACACTTTGGCCTTGGTGCTGATGCCACCGGAGCTCACAACAGACCAGGGCTCCCATGGCTTCTTCACATCCTTCTTCTCCACCACATAGTTGGTGAGGGGCGTGCCACCATCATCCTTGGGTGCCCTCCATTGGATCATCATGTGATCAGGGGTGACCTCCAAGATGTTGATAGGTCCAATGGGGGGACCTGGAAGATCCAACACGGTGACATGAAGGGCAACGGTCTTGCTGCCTGCAGGATTGGACACAGTGAGGATGTACTCTCCAGTGTCTCCTCTCTGGCTCTCAGGGATACTGAGGATGGTTGAGGATCCAGCAGTCTCAATATGATAGCGGCCCTCAGATGCGAGCTCCTTGCCATCGCTCATCCATTTGGCAGAGGGAATGGGGATACCTGTCATTTTGGCTGGAAGAGCAATAGTGCTGCCAGCTTTGACAACAAGACCTTCGATAAGTTTCACATCAACTTCAATAGTAGGTGGCACTGAAAGGAAAAAACACAGCAACAGTATAAGCATGTTTTCAGGCCTGTAAATGAGATCAAGAGTAGCATTCACAAAAAAATAACCCCATAAGAATCTTACATGTCTTCTCCTGGCAAGTGACGGGAACACTGGTGTCAGGACGGCTCACACCAATTGCGTTCTGAGCTTTGACCCTGAAGCGGTAAGTCTTGCCCTCCACAAGACCAGTGACGTGGCTGTGGTTATTGCTCACGGTCTTGAAGGTGACCCAGTCAGTCTGTCCTTCTTCCTGGTGCTCCACGATGAAGCCGGTAATTTCACTTCCTCCAGTGCGGTCAGGCCATTCCCATGCTAACCACACCTCTGTCTTATCTGCATCAGTATGATGCAGGTTCTTGGGTGGGCCAGGAGGATCTGAAAGGCATTCACAAAAAGAAAAACAATTGCTCATTATTAGTGGATTAAATTTCAGACTATTTCTACAGATGATATAGCAAATTACTGAAAGACCCTCATTATTTTAAAATAAATAACGTTAAACTTTTACTCACAGAGAGGATCCATAGCCTTGATGGGTGTCTTGGTCATAACAAAATCACTCCTGCCAAACTGGTTCTCAGCAGCCACCCTGAACAGGTACTGAATTCCCTCCATCAGGTACATGGCCATCAGACTCAGCTTCTTATTGGCTGGAGCAACAGGCACCCACTGCTCTGCAGCAACATCCTTCTTCTGCACAACATAGTGGGAGATGACAGCACCGCCGTTGTCCTCTGGAGCTTTCCATGTCAGGTAGGCAGACTCGCTGGTCACCTCAGAGATCATCAAGTCTCTGGGAGGAGAGGGCTTATCTGGTGGAGACACAAGTGGATTAGAGGAACACTCTCATGTGTTCTGAATTTGATAATTTATTCTATGTGTCGGTGAACGTCTCAATTACTCAGCACGAGAACAGCAACGGTTGCTGATTTCTTTCCAGCAGAGTTCTCCACAGTGATGGTGTAATTGCCAGAGTCTGCACGGACGCACTTGGGGATGAACACCTTGCTGCCAGAGGCGGTAACGGCGACAGTGATATGAGAAGGAACATCTCCATCGTTCTTCTTCCAGCTGACAGTGGGAGTTGGTACGCCCTTAATGGTGGCACTGAGGGTAATGTCAGTGCCTAGCATTGCCAGGTGGTCACGTGCCATGTTGGCATCCAGCAGCAACTCTGGCTCCTCTGTGGAGGGAAACAAGAAATTCACTGACTTTAGTGGATTTGAGTTTGACATGTAGATATACAAGCAGCTGAGGCTCAGGTGGTCGAGCAGGTTGTCCACTAATCACAAGGTTGGTGGATTAAACCCCCACCCCTCCTCCTGTTGAAGTGACCTTGGGCAAGACACTGAACCCAAAGTTGCTTCAGATTGCAGGCAGGCACCTTGCATGACAGCTCTGTCACCACTGGTGTGTGAATGAGAAACACAGTGTAAAGTGCTTGAGGACCATTAAGAGCTTTATGATTGCAGACCATTTATCATATTACATACTGTGGTTGCAAACTCAGCAAAACATGTTTTATAGTTTTTTTGGAAGGAAATGTTTTTCAAAATCATTATGATGAGCTAAAGTTAGAGTTGTAAGTAATCCCTTTACCATGTCTGTCGTGGACTTTGACGGTCTGTTTAACATAGGACGGGTCAGATCTGCCAGCAGCATTGACGGTAAAGATCCTGAAGTTGTAGTCCTGTCCATCAGCCAAACCCTTCACCACATAGTGGAGGTCAGGGCACTGCTCTGGGGTTTCGTTGGCCTGAGTCCACTCCACACCACCAGGCTTCTGGTACTCAACTATGTAACCAAAGATTCTGCCCTTTCCATCGTGGCGTGGCATCTGCCACTTCAGGCTGACAGAGTCCTTGGTCTTATCGTAGGCCTCAGGTGTAACTGGAGGGCTGGGCTGCACTGTGAGGGGAAAGAGGAGTCAGTCGGTTGAAACCTGTCCCTATTAGGGATGCATATTTTGGACAGTTTTCTTTACTGATAATCTGAGTGTTCTCAATTAATCATCACTAAATCAACACAAACTGAGTACAGTGGGTGTTACACAAAATGTTAATATCGCTCTTTGTGACAACAAAACATGACATAGGCAACTGAAATGGCTTTGTTACATGTACCAGTAGGCCATGCAAACATTATCCTGGTAGCCAATAATGATGACACAAGTCTTTATCATGGTGTCCTTTACCAGCAAAACCCCCACAATGCCCTCTGCTCTACAGCAAGAACTGCTCATAGTGTTTGTGACTGCCTCATCTGTTTGCTACAGTATTAAACAATAAGCTTCACCTGGTGTAACAACCAGGCACTACTGTTAACCTACAATGCATTTTCTGACATTCAAGTGATTCGTCTTCTGCCCTACCAGTTAATATATTTGTAATCATTTAAAATATTAGCAGCAATTTATTGATTTACAGTTTACCACTAACAACCTGAGTCCTAACCATTTATGGATAAACAAATCTTAAATAATAAAGACATGGTGACAATTATATTTTGGTGGTTTAATGTCACACTGACCAATGGGATCCTTGGCAAGGATGGGTTTGGAGGGGACACTGGGATCTCCAGTTCCCAGTTCATTCTCAGCCATCACCCTGAACTCGTACTCGCAGCCCTCTACCAGGTCCTGGACTCGGTACTGAGTGGCCGGGTACAGTGGGTCTCTGGTAGCTCTGGACCACCTTTTGGCTCCAGTCTCCTTCTTCTCCAGGATATAGTTGGTGATGGGCTTCCCACCATCACGAGGCCGAGTCCAGAGCACCAGAGCGTTGGTGGCGTACACCTCCCTGACTGTTGGCATCTCAGGGGCCTCAGGGACTCCTGCAGGGGCAAAAAAAACAGGTTATATTTCTTTATGAATGTAATGCTTGAAATATACACATTTCATTTACACTGAATTGTTTTTAATTGGTTTATTCAGAAAAGTTTGGCTCTAATCTTTGGAAATAATGACCAACTATTTAGGGTAAATTACTGGCAAAACTCAATCCATTTTCTTTTATTAGCCTATCCACGGAGACTGATCTTTGCAGCGGGTTAAATCACTTGGCTTTCTGTTTTAATGGTGACCAGAACTTACTAAAGAGATCTTTGGCTCTCATCTCCTCAGACTCCAGAGGGTCACTGATGCCATACATGTTCTCAGCAGAGATTCTCATGATGTACTCCCTGCCCTCCGTCAGCTTGGGGATCTGAGAAAAGAAACCAAAACATCTTCATATATCTGACCCTCAGAAAACCCTATCCACTGGATCTTAGAACCCATGACCACAGTCAGATGGACCTACCTTGCAGGTGGTCTTGGTTGTGGCGGATGTTACTGTGGTCCAGGCATCTCTGTTGGTGTCTCTCTTCTCGATGATGTAGTTGGAGACATCAACGCCACCGCTGTCCAAAGGAGGCTTCCAGGAGATTACCATGTACTCCCTGTGCACCTCCTCAAACACCACGGGGCCAACAGGAGGAGTCGGGCGATCTGCAGGGATGAAAGCAATGATTAAAAAGTCATCAGGTGTATGTGTTAGAAACAAACTTGCCTGCAATGATTTGAAGACTACAGGTTTTCAGCTCTGCACAGTACAGTCTCCGTACCTACAACCGTGACATTACAGACGCCCTTCCTGGATCCAGTACTGTTCTCCACAACCACAACATATCTGCCGCTGTGCTCACGCTGAGCCTTCATCAGGCCCAGCGACATGGTAGTCAGCGTGTTCTTGAACATGATGTGTTTGTCGGCCTTAAGCTCTTCATCATCTCGGTACCACACAATGGACGGAGAGGGTTTGCCGGTGTAGCGGCCCTGCAGCAGGCAGCTCTCGCCCACACGAATGATGATCTTATCGCGGAAGTCCAGCTCGATGGTTGGTGGCTCTGCAAAGATGAAAAATGGAGGCAAAGTCCAAGGACATAATACATAAAGGATTCTCTTATTATTTCTACTATTTTTATGTTAAGAGCATGAAAGTTTGGGGGATTTGTGTGAATAAACTGCTCTCATCTTTTTGTCTGTTGTTTTCTTGGTCAATAAATGTATTTTTATGATTACTCCACTTTTATTCTGACTATATAAATGAGGAAAAAAGACACATCTTTAGGAATGTTTGATTTTTTTTTAGGAACTGTTTTACTTAGTGAAAACATTTAGTAAGTATAAATAAATGAAGGCCTGACATGATGGGAAATAACCGTGGAATCCAACAGGAGTCTATTTTAGGTTCCCTTTTTTTCATTTTACTTTTTACTGACGTGCTTCTTTTACAGGTGACCACGTACTGCTGATACAAATGGTGAACTCCACATGTTTAAAGCTGAAAATAAAAGACACAAACTGCTTTTCAAAGACTTTAACTGCTGCCTGTTACAACACTGAAAACAGCTCACCCAGTTCATCCTTGCAGGTGATTGGTTTGGTGCAGAATGATGGTTTTCCGGGTCCAACCTCGTTGACGGCAATGACCCTGAACTCATAGGTGTCGCCCTCCCTCAGGCCATCGTACGTGTACTTCCTCTCCATCAGCCTCTCCTTCGTCAGCCTGGTGAACTTGTCTTTGCCGATCATGCGTGCCTCCAGGATGTACATTGTGATCTCGGAGCCACCATCGAACTTGGGTGCCTTCCAGGTGACGCTGATCAAATCCTTGGTAACCTTGGTGACCTCGAGCTCCTCTGGGCGGTCTGGTACACCTGAACGAAACACAAACATTGATGTGCTGTATATCTGATCATGGGAATTCAGGACCTCCTCTTCCTCTCATCTTTATTGCAGTGATGTCTTTGTGCTACCAGCAGTCACCATGTTTGTTTACTTAAACTAACCGATTGGTTCCTTGATGATGATCTCGGCTGCAGTTTCCATGAAGGGTCCAATGCCGATGGCATTCTCAGCGGCCACTCTAAAGAAGTAGGCCTTTCCGGGAGTGAGGCCATGAGCCACAGCGTTCTGCCTGCTGGCAGTGAAGGAGAGCGAGGTCCAGGCCTTGCGCTCAGCTTCACGCTTCTCAATAATGTAGTTGCTGATGGGAGAGCCGCCATCATTCTCAGGGAAGAACCAGTTGAGCTTGCAGGAGTCGATAGTTAGGTTCTCTGCGATGAAGGGAATGCCTACAGGCCCAGGGACATCTGAGGGACGACACAGCTGAGATTAACAAAAAGGAACAACAGTCTTTACATGGTTTTCAGATTTTTTAAAAACTGTGTCTTACCGAGAACTTCCACGGTGACATTCTTCGTCTTCTCCCCTCCGGCATTTTTGGCAGTCAAAGTGTAGATTCCAAGGTGTCTCCTAATGCAGGGTTTGATGACCAGAGACGAGCTGATGGACGTTGTTTCCACTTTAGCCTCAGGAGGCAGTGCAGCTCCATCTCTGCTCCAGGTGACATCAGGGGTAGGTTGGCCAGATACATAGGCAATAATGCGGATCACGCCACCAGCGTGAACCACCATTCTCTCCTTCACAGAGGCATCCAGATCAACTTCAGGAGCAACTAGAAAACAGAAACACAACATTACAGCCTGGCTTGGTGGTTGTATTCATCTTTGAGGTAATCACTGGGAGACTTCCAGACTAACTCACTGGTTCTGTCGTTGACCTCGAGCACCTCTGGGACTTCACCAGGCTCACCGTTACCGGCAGCGTTGAAGGCAGTCACTCTGAACCTGTACTGACCACCAGTCTTTAAACCAGCAATCACCAACCGGGTGCCACGAGTTTCTGTGTCCTTGGCCTGAAAGACACAAATGTGTGAGTTTCTAGGATCACTCTTGGCAACGGAACATTTCTGAAACTGAGTAATTGATAGAGTGATCAATCTTTGAAAGGTTTAGTCTGATAGAAATGGCAGGTTTCTAAGAAAGTTTGTCAAGGTGTGTGAGCATCTGCTCTCCACAGTCCTGCCTGTTTGCTCTTTGTTGATTCATTAAAGTCATATTTTCAGACTTTTGTAAGATCGTGTCAGGTGGCTCTCACCTTGACCCAGGCCTCGGTGCCCTCCTCCTTGTACTCCACCCAGTAGCCAATGATCTTGGAGCCTCCGTCCTTCAGTGGTGGGATCCACTCCAGGTCCACTGTAGACCTCGTCCAATCAGAAATCTTCGGAGTAGGAGGAGAGGGTGGGGCTATGGAAGACGATAACAGGTGGTTAACATCCTGCTCCATGTGTATAAAATATCAACTGTGATGATATCAGAATGTAGCTCTTACAGATGGGGTCTCTGGCGAAGATGGGATCTGTGGGTGGGCTGCTGAGTCCAGGCCCAGCGGCGTTGATGGCGCAGACTCTGAACAAGTACTGGGAGCCCTCGATGAGCCCGCTTACCACGAATGACTCGCCCAGGCCCATGGGACGGATGGGGTCACGGGTAACGCGGGTCCAACGTTTGCCTGTTGTCTCTTTGCGCTCCAGCCAATAGCCGGTGATCGGGCTGCCGCCATCGTCCTCTGGCTCCTCCCACCCAACGGTCATGGAGTCCATGGTGATGTTGGTGACTGTCGGCTTCTCACACTGACCAGGGACGGCTGCATGAGGACGGACAGGTGAGAGGATTGCAATTGTCAGTTTCAAATAAAGGCACAAACACACAGACAGATGTATAAAACAACATTAATAATGCGTCGATTCACTCAGTCATTCAGGTCATGGTATTCCTGGGAACCTAAAAGAGAAGTCCAGCAGAAGTTCAGAAGTTCAGTAAAAGCCAACTGGACTTTTCTTTTAGGTTCTTGAAGATGTCCTCAAGAAACTTGAATAAGGTATCATGACTAACATGCTGACACTAACATCTACCATCCAGCCCTGGTCAGACGATGAAACACAGCATTAAAGCAGGTCTCAGAACATATTCACCAGATTTTAGAAATGTTAGAATTCCAAGTATTTTCTGAATTACAATTTTTTTGACTTTGTCAAAAAAAAGCCGGTGAAAAATTCAATAGTTGACCACGAACTGATTAATGGTTGTAGAACAAATCTAAAATAATCTGTCCTGTTAACAGGTAGACTGTTGGAATGATTTGATGCTCTGATGATGCCGGTCAGGAAGTTGAACTCACTGCAGAGGTTTCGAGCGATCTCAGGCTCGCTGTCCAGTGGTTCTCCGACACCGTACTTGTTCTGCGCCATTATGCGGAACACATACTCGTGTCCTTCCATCAGGTTCTCCACGGTCCAGATGCGATCTTTGGGCTCATTTGTTACAGGCACCCAGGTCTTCCTGTTGGCCACCCGCCTCCAGATGACATAGTTTGTGACTTTGGAGCCACCGTCATCCTTCGGCGGCAGCCAGGAGATCGTAATCTTGTCTGCTCCGATCTCCTCAAACTTAATAGGAGCAGAAGGAGGACCAGGACGGCCTGAAGACACACAAAAAAACCAGCAAGATTAGAATATCTGAAGTTCTTGTGGTGAATCCTAGCTCTGAGTCCATGTTTCATAATTCTTATTGGAAATCTGTTTAAGCAAAGGAAGACATTAAACTTTGTATGTGGTGAAAATGTGTTGGGCTGATATGTCTTTGAAACCGTTTAGAAGTTTTTAAATAATACAAATACATCTGACAGTGGTTTTGTACAAAGAGCAACAAACTACAGGTTTTGCAGGAGTTTCCAGAGCATTTCTTATCCTGTCCACTATCAGTAAAAGGACTGAATATTAAAAAAAATGTGAAACTGTAACATGAAGAAAGCTGTTTCACACGCTGATGCTGCATACGACATGATAGATGAGCTGATCACCAGATGAAACGGGTCTCAGCTTAATTAGTTTGTGAAGAATTTATAAAACACAGCTTCCATGGTAAGAGAAATCTGTAAAACCTGAGATCGAAGTGTTGGCCTTACCGAGCACGTTAAGCCTCATCTCTTTGGTCGCCTTGCCGAGGCTGTTGGAGGCCACCAGCGTGTACAGGCCGGTGTCGGGACGTTTTCCTTGCTGAATGAGCAGCGTGCAGCTGTCGTCCGACACGATCTTGTTGATGTGCTCGTCATATTGAACCTCTACCTTGTTGTCGGACTTGTGGGGCGGAGCCTTGTACCAGGTGAGCGTTGGGAAGGGACAGCCGCGGAGCTTGGCCACGATGCTGATGTCGGAGCCCTGCTCGACCTCCATGAACTCCTTCAGCTCAATGGACGGAGCGCCTGCAAGGCAGAAAGAGAAAAAAACTCAGTTGAGTGCAATGAAAAAAATTCAAAGTATGTTTGTGTTAAAGAAGTATTTCAGCAATTTTGTTTTGCCTCTACCTAAAGTAGTTATGTGTCAGTACTACAGACTGATCCAAATCTGTGCAGAGGGGGAAATATCCTGACTTTCAGACCCATAATCCCACTCTCCCGTGTGCTTTATTAAAGACTCCATATCCTGATATTTTACAGGTGTGTAATTGTATTTTTTGTGTCTACTAGAATCTGTGTACTTGGTTTGATGTTCATGTTTGTTCTTATTTTCCTCATATATTGCTGCCGCTCGTCCTCTGTCTGAAATGCTCCATTCTAGCTCCTGTCTCTTTAAGGCCTGCTTCTTGAAAGGCCAGTCTGCTCTGATTGGTCTATCAAAGCCGGGCAATGTTGGTCAGTAAACCTAATCAAACACAAAGGGCAGAATAAGGACTCGAGGCTGCTCAGATTTCTGGTCTTACAGGTCTGGTCCTGGATAAGGATGGGCCCAGCAGTGGTTGAAGGTCGGCTGGCTCCAGCCTCATTGTAAGCCACCACTCTGAACTCGTACTCGTCTCCCTCGGTCAGGTCCTCCACCTTGAAGGTGGTCGTGTCCACGTCTCTCCTGTTACACCTGCAGGACAAACAGTATAACTGCAGGTGACAACAAAACAGAAACGTTGGACTAAAGGCGTTTGGTTTAAATTCACAAACACACCAAGATCTTATAAAAACCTGGTTATGTTTGAAATTTAAACACAGGCTTGTGTTTGTGGTCAGTTTGTGAGAATATCTGCATAAAATGCAGATATTCCCTGGTTCCAGCAAGACGCTGTAGAGATATTCTTTGGATCTGGACTGACTTGGCTCCCATCCCGAGTCCCAGTTAGTAGAACCAGGAGGACACATGAGGGCCCCTCAGATGAAACTTTACCTCCTCCATGACTCCTTCTGGGTGCCGCTGGCATCCCAACAGAGCAAGTCAACGCTGTAGTGGGTGACGGGGGAACCACCATCGTTCTTTGGAGCCTTCCAGGTCAAAGTCACCGTACCCTTCCTGACACTCTGGATCTTCAGCCTTGTTGGAGGATCAGGAGGATCTGCAGACACAATATATGTAATTAATTGAACACATCATATGAACTTAGCTTCCCCATGAAATGGAAGATTTGAAGAGTGAGTGCTGCTACTGTAGCAGAGACATGTCCAGCAGTCTAAACATGTGTTTGTGTGAATCACTCATAATTGAGTCAATCAGCAACCTGATAAAAACAGAAATTTGACTGATTTTCTGATTTAAGATGTTCCATCCTTTGGAAAAGATTTCATTTTACAGAGGAACTACCTTTTATGTATCAACCAAATTTGTGGAGGTCACAAAGTCTGTTGAATTCTTTTATCATTGAGGGTTTGATGCATCCATAACAGATCATCGGCATATACTTGAAACCATGCAGTGAAAACAGAAGTCAGAACTGTAGTAAATGAACGAGGCTCATGCCAGGATGATGTGTCTCAGCAGTTCAAACCAGCAGGAAACAGGTCACAAAAGAGAAATCCAACATACGGATGGGATCTCTGGCTTTAGTCCCCTCGGTGGTCTCAGCATATGGGCCAAACCCGAAACGGTTCTCTGCACGGATGCGGAACAGGTACTCCTGACCATCGATCAGGTCCGGAACCACCAGAGACTGAGCAGCGCAGGTCGGGTTCACCTGGAACACCAAGATTAGGATGAGATTTTCCTGAGGACGTCATCATCTCAAAGTGCATTACTGTGCAGGTGTGGGTCCTACTTTGGTCCAGGCTTTGCCGAGCACCGTCTTCTTCTCGATAAAGTAGCTCTTCACCCTCTCGCCTCCATCGCATGCTGGAGGCTTCCAGGTGAGTCTGCAGGTACCTCTTGTCACGTCACTCACCTTCAGGTCTCTGGGAGGTCCAGGCAGGTCTACGGATCCACAAAGCAAAAATTAAACACATTTCCACTCTTGTTCTAATCATTATTCATTCACCTGCTGTTGGGATTACATCACTGACGCACGCTTAACAAACGTGACAAAAAACCCTGAACATCCGTACCGAGCACGCTGACTCTGATCTTGAGCACTTTGTGTCCAGCAGGGCTCTCTGCGTTGATGATGTACCGGCCACTGTGGTTCAGTTTGCTCTCTGGGATCACCACCACCGAGGTCGTGTCGGTGGAGTGGATCTAAGAAAAATGATCACATGTTCCTTAAAACCTCAGTGATGACTGAGCTGTGACATAATTCTGACTCCAAACTGAAGCAAAAACCAGATTTTTTAACGATAGTTTCGTAATCGTTCACTTCATGGGTTGTAAAGATGCTTCAAGCTGTTGTTCAGAAATAAACTAACAAAGACGCTGCACAGGAAATCGCAGGAAAACAAAAAGTCAGTCCGACCTCTGAGTCGACAGGCAGCGTGTGAAGTTCGTTCTTCTTCTCGGTCTCAGCGGTTCCGTCGAAGGTCCAGGTGACTTTGGGAACGGGCCGTCCGGTGATGGTGGCAGGAATCTGGACGTTTGTTCCGGCTCTGCAGTTCAGCAGGTCGTGAGCACTGATGTCAAGAGTCACAGTCGGCTCGACTGCAAGACAAACATAAAAACAAACGTCTGTGAAGCATCCTTCAGATCTGTGCATCGACACAAACACAGCACAGATGAAGTGTTTCAGCTTCAGCGTCGGATGTCCGACATCGTTTCCTCACCAACTGTGTCAGTCTTTAATAATGCATAGCACAGGGAACACAGAGGACAGATATTGAAGCTAAAATGCATATTTTTGTCTGTTTGGTGCGTAGAAGAAGTCTGAAACTGATCTATCTATTTTCAGCACAGAAGTGGACATTACAAAATCCAACCCAAAAAAATGTTCTTCACACAGAATAAATATTAGGACCCCAACACTAATCCCTGTAGGACACCCTTAGTTCATTATCTTGGGGGCTGTGCTTCATGAAAGAAAGTAATTTTCGACACCAATGAGCAGAGTAGTGTGAAAAGGTCTGTAGAGGATGTGAAAACATTTTTATGTTTGTAAAACACATAAATGATTTTTAATGATGTGCGTTATTCTAGCAGTGCCGTACTAGAAAGAAGACATCCGTCCTTCTCGCTATTTGCAGTGAAAAATGAGCCCATAGTGAGGAAACATTTGACAGGAGCAAAAAATGTGCAGAAACTGAGTTTGGAGGGTTAACTACATAAATGGTGCACATCACCAGGTACATCATCATGCACAGGTCTGCCATCTGCCTGCTGTGGCTGAAGAATTATTCTTTATTTCTCTTACTCAGGATGTCCTGCACCAGAATGTCGGCCGTCTTTGCAGGATCTGAGTTGCCGGCGGCATTCACGGCATAGATCCTGAACTTGCACTTCTTGCCCTCCTTCAGGTCAGGGACGGTGATTTCGGTGGATGGGTGGAGCTTGTCGGCAGGGTTCACCCTCCTCCAATCAGGAGAGCCCTCCTCATGAACCTCAATGATGTAACCTTTAATCGGGCTGCCGCCATCTCTGTCCGGCGGGCTCCATCTGAGCGTGATGCTGCTCTTAGTCTTGTCTTTAACCTCGAGGGCTCCAGGTGGGCTGGGGGGGTCTAAGAGGAGGACAGGAGTCAGTCTTTATCATAAAACAAAATCTAGCTTTTAATTTCAAATAGGTGTCAACAAAACGAAACAAGACTTTAAAACCAACTTTAATCAATGGTCAGATTATTTATATATCAAATGCCTCATTTGCATATTTAACCAAAAAGTTTCATAAAAATTGTAAAAAAAATAATATTTTTTTGTCAGTAATCAGTTGAGGAAGTTTAATGCTGATATCTGACAGTTGAAACGTCACAAAGTCCTGTAGATCTCTTCCCCTAAGTCAGAATGTTGAAGCCGGTCTGAAGGTCGGACGTTAGCACTCACTGCATGGGTCCATGGTGAAGCGGCACTCGGAGGCCTCGCTGGGCGGTCCGACGCCTGCAGCATTGCAGGCTGCAATCCTGAACTGGTATTCTGTTCCTTCGATGAGCCTCAGCACGGTGTACTGCAGGCCTTTCACTGCCGGTTTGGTGACCGGAGCTCGGTTGACGCGACCCCAGTACACGGCACCGCGCTCCCTCTTCTCCAGCCAGTAGCCCTGGATGGTGGAGCCGCCGTTGTCCAGCGGGGGGTCCCAGGTCAGGGTCACGGTGGTCGCTGTGGTGGCGATGATCTTGGGGTTACGTGGAGGTCCAGGGAGGCCGAATGGATCCCGCAACTGGATTTTCTCTGAGTCGCAGCCATCACTGACACCATACTTGTTTTCAGCTTTGATTCTGAACTGGTAGGAACCGTTCAAGTCCAGTTTGTAGACCTGAGGGAGCAGAACAGAGAGGCTCATCATACTTCAAGCATGAAGCCATACTCTGTGATACTCACTATTCTGTGATTGTGACATTAAGCAGTATGTGTAACATGAGATTATCAGACAATCGAAAGAGAGAAACTCCGTTTAAACACACATGAACATTCTTTGGTTATTATTTAATCGTTGGCAAGTTGCGTACAGCCAGATTGCACTTATTGTCAGTGCTAAAAACTGATGTCTTCATGTTATTGGTTCATATAGAACAGCATCTTATGAAGAACCATTTCTATCACCATTACTGACTCGAAGCCTCCCAGTCTGGTTTTCAGCCGGACTCACCCCGTATCTCCTGTCGATGAGGTTGATGGTCAGAGCTTCAAAGTCAGACTTCTTCTTGCTCGCGTCTCTGCGCTCTACGATGTAGTTGGTGATCTCACTGCCTCCGTTGTCCTCTGGAGCATCCCAGGTCAGGTAGCACGAGTCCGACTTGATGTCTGAGACCACGATGTTCCTCGGAGGAAGAGGACGGTCTGAAAACACAGCAGCAGGTTAACAAGATGAAAACAACATTTAAACCTTTCATGCAGCTCCAGTGGACCTCAAACAAAGGTTTTTACCAAGGATCTCAACTCGGATCACATGCTGAGCTTTGCCGTAACAGTTTTCAGCGACCAGCTTGTAGTTGCCTTTGTCCTGCCGGATGGTTTCTGGAATAGCGATCTTCGTCTTCATTGTTGTCCGGTTCACCTGAAAATAAAACAGGTTAGGTTGCCGTATGGTGGGCACCGGACAAAACTAAATTCATTCAGAGGTGCAAGATTGTTCTTGGCCTTACAACAGTTTGAAAGTTTAAAGTTTGTCCTTTTTAAAGGGCTAGCTGTGCCTGTCAGATCTCCCAGACAACATGTGTTTGTTGGTCCCACTTCAAGTTCTATCTAAAAGAAGCATTAATAGAAAATGGTGGATCTCCTGAGTCTCAGATCAACACCGTCTCCTTCACAAAGTGTGTCTGTGGAACTCTGAGGGTTAATCATTAAATCGGTAAAAATTAAACCAGAAGAGTTACAACATTTTATCTTTTAAATGATAATTCCTTGCTAGTTTTTCCTCTGTCAGGTTTGGTGAGTTAATATCCAGGTTTCTGAAGTTTTAGTGCGTTCTGTCAAGGTTTTTCCTGTTTGGTACTTTGGCACTAATCAAATCCTTTATACTTTGGTAAAGACATTTTATTGTGTTAATATTTAGGTTTTGCCTCCACAGTTTGCACCCATGTAGTATGTATCCTAACCACTCTGTGACTGAGTACAGAGTTTTGCAGGAAAAAAAAGGTGCATTTCACAGAGTGGGACGGTGGCAGCCACCCAAACACCAAACTACTGGGTGAGTATGTTCAAGTGACAAATGAATAGGTGACATTTGGAGGGGGCTCAGTGAACGATAGCATGAAACTTTGGATCTTCATCTTGGAGATTTCAGAGCAAACTGTTGGACATACAGGCTGAAAGGAGAGTCCAAAGCTCCAGATCAAATACAGCAGCTCTCACCTCCTCCGTCTCCATCGTCATCTTCTCCTCATCAGGCGTCTCGAGAACAACGTCATCCTTCATCCACTGCAGCGTCGGCAGAGGAAGACCCCTCACCTCCGCAGGGATGTCAATTGCAGCGCCTTTCTTCACAATGATGGCATTGCTCTTGAAGAACTTCAGAATCGTGATAACTGGAGCGACTGTGACAAACACACGACAGTTTTTTATTTTGTGGTAAAATTCGTGGTACTAAAAAATAAATGAAATCATCCTTTGAAAAGCAGAAGTAACACTGAGATTTTAACGTACTCTCATCGTCCTGGATCTTTGCAGTGATTGGTTTTGATGGATCTCCATCTCCGACCTCATTCACTGCTTTGACACGGAACTGGTACTCCTGGTTCTCTGAAAGGTTCTCAATAGTTCCACAGCACTCTGTGAAGATCTTGCGGTTGGCCACTTCGAACTCATTGCCATCAGACCTCATCTTCTCCACATAGTATCCCCTGATGGGGCTGCCGCCATCACTGCGAGGAGGCTCCCAGGCCAGAGTGATGGTGTTCTTGCTTCTGTCAGTGTAGTGCAGCTTTTCGGGGGCAGATGGAGTACCTGGAACATTGTGGAAGAGTTTGAACAGTTGCTTCACTGAGCATTAGGTCTTCTGAATCAGTTCAGAATGCTCCATAAATTGTTAGCTAGCAACAGTACCAGCTCATATTTAAGAAGGTTTACCTTTAGGATCCTCAGCCAAGATGGGGCCCAGGTCAGCTGGAACTCCATCTCCGTACTTGTTCCTGGCGATGACCCTGAAGTCGTACTCCTCGCCGGCCAGCAGGCCTTGGATGTCGCACTTGCAGGATGCCATCTCGATGGGCTGGCGGAAGAGCTTCATCTTGGCATCCTTCCTCAGCACCTCGTAGCCGATGATGTCGCTGCCACCGTTGTCCACGGGGTCAGACCAGGTAAGGGTGATGTTCTTCTTGGTCACCAAGACTGTCTTCAGGTCGACAACCGGTCCAGGGACATCTAGAGAGACATGGATCAGTAAACACTTGAGCAGTGAAACATGTTGTGTCTCTCACCTCACTAAGCTAGAAACAGAAAACCTAGCTGAAGGTAAAACTGGCTCAGACCATAAAGTAAACAAAGAAGTCCCCGCCCACTGATGAAGTAGCATGAGTGTGTATTTTTACAGTTTAGCATTGGGGTGTGTTCACTGACCCATAACGTCCACTCTGGTCTCGGCGGTCTTGGTGCCGCTGCTGTTGGTGCCGGTGATCTGGTACTTTCCATGATCCGCCCTCACTGCCTTCTTGATGAACAGTGTGCTGTTCTTGCCCTCTGTCTCTACAATCATTCTCTCTTTGTCGATGTCGGCCTCATCTTTGGCCCATTTGACCTCTGGCTGGGGTCGGCCGGTCACCACGGCGGGAAGCCTCAGAGACTCACCGGCCTTGATCATGACGCCGTTCTTCACAGAGCTGTCGAAGTCCACGGCGGGAGATTCTGATGGACACAGACGGTGAATGAGATGGGAGTTTTAACACTCACTGCAGCTGTTGCTTCACATTTAAAACCGTAAACTACCAGTCGTACCTTGAGGCTCTTTGACGGTGACAGGTTCGGTAACTCCGGGAGCTCCAGGACCTGCATCGTTGACGGCAATGACCCGAATGTAATAGTCTGCTCCCTCGGTCAGGCCGGTCACGGTGTACATCAGCTCCTTACACCTGAACTCTGTGCTGCGAGTCCAGTCCTTCTCTCCAACCAAAACCTGAACGCAGACAATCAGAGTTTAACACTAACCAGTGTCAAGATGTTTGTTTTGGTTATTCTGAAAAGCTGCTGATCATCAGTTACGATCTCCTGTACCTTCTCAACATGGTAGCCCAGGATGTCTCCTCCACCGTTGAACAACGGGGGCTTCCAGGCCACAATAACACAGTCCTTTCCAGTGTCCACAATCCAAGGAGTGGGAGGACCAGGAGGAACTGGGGGAGGAAATTCACAGACTGAACTCAACAGGAACAGGTTTGTTTGCATTGTTAAATGAGTTTATGTTCAGCTCTGGCTGGAGAACTAGTCGAGTAGTCATAATGAAGCAACATTTCCTCCCACAATGTAATGAATGTGAGCGACCATGATAGTGATGTTAAATATGCTCAGCTCATAGAAAACTGACAGCTGTTTGATGCCTTCTTTTCAAACACTGTGTTGCTGATAAGAACTTACGGATGGCGTCCATGGTGAGAGTGCGGTCGGTGGGCTCGCTGAAGGGCCCGGGGCCGGCCAGGTTCTCGGCACACACTCTGAAGATGTAGGTGAGGCCCTCCATCAGGCCGCTGACCTTCACCTCCAGAGAGTTGAGGAGGGCTCGATTGACTCGGGTCCAGTGTTTGCTGTTCACCTCCTTCCTCTCGATCCAGTAGCCTAGGATCGGGCTGCCGTTGTCCTTTGGCTCGTGCCAGGAGATGTGGACAGTGCTCGCCGTCACCTCGTGGACTCTGGGAGTGTTGGGAGCGTCAGGAGGATCTGAGGGGGGCAGAAGGTGACTGACGTTGGTGGAATATGAAGAAAAGATGTTTCTTTCACATGTTACAGTGTTGTGTACAATGTGACCAACAGGGGGCGCCAAAGTGTAAGAAATGACAAGAATCCCTCATAATGTTTCTAATTTAGCGCTTACATTTGTGTATTTTTCTATTAGTAGATGGTATATTTGATTTTAATAAAAATGTATATCCTGTAGTAAATGTTGTAGTTAAGGGGAGGGGCTATTAACCAGCATTCACACATAAGGGCAGCTATACGTTACATAATACACAAGATTAAATTTAAAAAATCACAAAAACCTTGTGAACGTATTGGTAAATACGAGGCATTGCTACGTGACAATGTTGATAGAATCTATTAAATAATAAGAGATTTGCTTTAGTTTACATTTAATTGGTCAGTAATTGACTCTTTAAATGTTCTTCACTTGTTTCATGCCGTTACTTACTGAACTGGTTCTTGGCCACGAGTGGCTCGGAGATGCACGGCAGGCCACAGCCGAACTTGTTCTCGGCGGTGACTCTAAAGATGTACTCCTTCCCCTCGATGAGCTTGGTGATGGGGAAGCTGGTGCCCTTCAGGGTGGAGGTGATGGTGATCCAGCCAATCTCGTCATTCTTGTTGTCCTTCTTCTCCAAGATGTAGTTCAGGATCTCGCTGCCACCGTCGTCCTCAGGAGGCTCCCAGTTACAAATGACTGATGTGTTCCTGATCTCATCGAAGGTGAAGTTGATTGGAGCGCCAGGTTTGTCTGTGGGATGAGGAAGTCCGGTTTGATTAGGATATTATTTAATGAGACCTGCAGGTTCAAGTGTCAGGATACAAACTAGAATTATGACGATTTTCTTACCCATGACATTGACGTAGCAAGTGGCGGTGGCAACACCGTGAGTGTTCTCCACCTTGATGGTGAAGTCGCCGTGGTCGACTCTGACAGCGTCACGGACCATCAGTGCAGACTGGCCTTTCTGGGTCTGGTCCAGACCCATACGCTCGCGTAGAGGAGTCACAAACTCCTCTTCTGGTTCTGGAACCTGCACATGAGAATTAGAAAGACATTTTTTGAATATGTAAAAACACATGGCCCCTAGCTGATCAGGCGACCCATGAACAGGGCTGTAGTCCCCGACACAGCGGTTGTGGGTTCAACTCTCGCTCGCGACCCTTTGCTGCAGGTCTCTCCCTGTTCTTCTCCCCCCTTTCCTGTCTATCTCTAGTGCTTTAAAGCCCCCCGGACCCTGAAAAAAAAAACACATGAAAATGTCCAGGAGGTTCACCACCGCCATGAGGACACACACCTTAGCCTTGGTCCTCTTCTTGACCACAGGAACGATCTTCTTGGTTGGCTCTTTGGTGACGTCCTCATCGTTCCTTAGCCAGGTGATTTTGGGATACGGTGAGCCAGAGATGAAGGCGTCGATGCGGATCTCCTCACCCTTCTTGATGCACAAACCAGACTGCACACGGGGATGGAGCGTGACCTTTGGTTTTTCTGAAAATGTAAAGAACAGTTTGAAAGTTAAGTTTTAACTAAACTGTCCTGGGTCTATAACAGAATCTAGAGTATTTGCAGCTTCACACACCAACTGGATCTGCAGCCTTCATGGGTTGAGTGCTGCGTGAAGGCTCGCTGACTCCGGCAGCATTCTCAGCTCGGACCCTGAACTGGTACTCCATGTCCTCTTTCAGGCCGGTCACCACATAGCTGAGAGTGGGCACCAGGCTTGGGGTGACCCTCTCATAGCGGTCGCCGTCCTTCTCGATTTTCTCCACGATGTAGCCCTGAATGGGACAGCCGCCATCATAGTCTGGGGCCTTCCAAGTGACTGTGATGGACTTGGATGTCGGGTCACGAGCCTCTACCTGGATGGGCGGGTCTGGTTTCTCTGTACAGTCAATATGAAAAGCAGATGGTAAATTTAAAAGTTTAGCATAATCGTAGTTATGGAGCAACAGGACTAGAAGGTAGTCATTTTACTTCTGTGGACCTCATGCTACCGGCTCAGAAAATGCTCCAGCAGGCTGATGCCTAGCTGAAAAAATGTTCACGTTTTGTGTTGATTGAAATCACGTTAGAAATCCTTTTGAGTTGTGTTTTTTCAATAATGGTCTTTCAAGTATTTAGGTGAATGTAAAGAATCTGACTAGAGCCTTGTAGCTGAACTGTTAATGCTAACCTGCTCACAGGGAGCTGATAACAGAACTTACGTTTGACCTCTTCTGTGATGACCGGGTTGCGCAGCTCCAGGTATTCTCCTGCTCCCACTTTGTTGATGGCCTTCACCCTGAAGTAGTACTCGCAGTTGACGTAAAGGTCTTTGACGGTGCAGGTCAGGACGTTCTCTCCTGACATAACAGGCATGTAGGTCTTCTTGGACGCCTCGCGGCGCTCCAAGGTGTAGCTGACGATGGGGGTGCCGCCGTCGTCTTCTGGGGCTTCCCAGCTGATCTTGCAGGTGTTCTTAGTGACGTCGCTGGAGGTAATGTCTTTACACTGACCAGGGAGTGCTAAAAGGTTCACGAGAACATCAATGTGTCATAAGAGGGCAGCTGCTAGTCTGTTTGGGTTAAAAATCTAACTGGGAAGTGTCAGAGAGAAGCACAGGCCTAAACCTAATTTACAAACAGAAATCACAGCTGGACCACACAACCTGAATGACATGTACAACCATCATCGAATCTCATTAGCTGAATTATCCTACCGATGACTTTGACATTGATGGAGCCGGTGGCAGTTCCCAAACTGTTCTCCAGAGTGACGGCGTAGGCCCCGGCATCGGCACGGGTGCACTTCAGTAGCTCCAGGTGAACACTGTTCATCTCCACAGTCATGGAGAGCCGGTCGTCAGCCTTACACTCCACTGTGTCCTTCTGCCAAACCATCTTGGGTGTCGGGATTGCCCTGTAAGGGATGTTCAAGTGCAGCTTCTCACCCTCGACCACAATCACGTCCTGAGCCTCCAGATCCATGGTTGGAGCACCTTGGGACCAGAACACAGGTTTATTATTCAAGGTAAATTATTAGTGTTTTGATTATTCCAAAATTGGAACCCTGTCTGTGCTTACAGTCGGGATCCTTGGTGGCAACCTTGTCGGAGATCTCAGAGGGATCGCTGACGCCAACAGAGTTAATGGCACGGACCCTGATGACGTACTTCTTCTCTGGTTTGATTCCGTCATCGATTCTGAACTTCAGCTCCTTGATGGGTCTGTTGTTGACCCTGAGCCACTTCAGCTCTGGACGGGCTTCTGCCACCTCCACGTGGTAGCCAGTGATTGGGCAGCCGCCGTCCTTGGCCGGAGGCTTCCAGGTGACGTTGATGTGCTCTCTGCTGGCATCAGGGACGGCCACTTCCAGAGGAGGAGATGGAGCACCTGGAGAGAGAGTATTATCAATAGCACCTCACAACAGAAGAACCAGTTTCTACATCTATGACAGCAGTGAAAACTCAACAGTGTCTTACTGGTTGGATCCTCGATGGTGAGGATCACGGTGGGTTCACTTGGATCTCCGACTCCAGCCTCATTCTCGGCTCTGACCTGGAACTGCACTTCCGACCCTTCGTCCACGTCCGTCACCTTGAACTGAGTCTGTCTGTCTGGAGTCTTGCAACACTTCAGCCAGCGAGTTCCCACCTTTTCTTTCTTCTCAATCACGTACCTGCGAAGCAAAAGGGACTTGTCTTGTTCAATGGTTTCAAAAAAACACACAGTGTTTATGTTTTTAATCTTATTTCATTACAAAAGAGTACTCAGCTCTCCGTTCCATCTGTGTAACTAAGTGTGATTGGTAAGAAAACTGTTTATTCACGTCTGTCGATATCCTCTCTGGAGGCATTGTGTACATTGTCTCGTGGTTTCACAGCAGTTTGTTGTCTTACTTGGTTATGGGTCTTCCACCATTGCTCTTGGGAGGCTCCCATTTCAGCTCCACGTGTCTCTTTGTGACCTCCACCACCGTCAGGGCGTAAGGAGGTCCAGGAGTTGCTAGACAAAATGAGACAAACTTTAACTTCCACATCAGACACTGGTTTGTCTGTCGCTTTGTTTCTTTGCAGGCCGACTTCAGAATGATGAACAGTATAGTGCCAGCACCCATGAGCAGAACCAATCAACTATGATCAACCTGTTGAGCTTCATGGAGTTTCAAGTTGACAAATATTAATTTGGAAGACCTTGAACAATCATGATGCTTGGAAAAGGCTGGTGACCTCTCCAGACTGCAGTGTGTCAGCTCCCAGTCTGTTCTCATCATTCTAGTAGAAAACAGGCAGCTTACAGAGATTTAATATGCTGCAAGAACCATCTGTTTATATTGGTTTCAAATTAATTCAGACTGATAATCTGTAGGTGGAGTCACTCGGAGCTCTGACGAATATTTAACTGATCTACTGAAAAACTGATGATTTTTATTCCCAGCAAGCAACTGTCTGGTTAAAAACTCGGTAAGATTTCAGTTCACCGACCTTCAGTTTGGTGTCCTGCAGGCTGAACAAAACGTTTCTGAGAACAGGCTGCAGGCTCCAGTTTTTAGTCCATTAGTAGCCAACACCAACTAAATCTTAAAAACTCACTGAATGTGTCCTTGGCGAGCACCGCGTCCTCCAGCTCGCAGAATTCACCCATTCCAACGGCGTTCTCAGCAGCGACCCGGAACACGTACAGTGATCCTTCGTTAAGAGGAGTCACCGTGTACTTCAGCTCCTTGACAGTGGTGTCGACGGTCTGCCAGGCCTTTCTCCTCACGTCCCTCTTCTCCACTACGTAGTTGGTGATGGGCGAGCCGCCATCACTGCTGGGAGCCTGCCACTTTAGATCAGCGTTGATCTTGGTGATGTTGGTCACCTCCAGCCACTGAGGAGCTGTCGGAGGGTCTGTTGAGCAGAAATCATGGACCATTAGATAAAACTTCTGTTTGTTCTATATGCATGTTTATGTACTGGTGCCCAACCACCCTGAGCTGAACTTACAAAGTCTCTCCTTGCAGACGACGGGGTCACTGGGCTCGCTGGCTTCGCTCTCACCGGCTTTATTCACGGCCTTGACCCTGAATGAGTATTCCTGCTTCTCCATGAGACCTTGCAGCTGATGCTCGGTCTGAGGAACATCTTCTGCGATACGGATCCATTCATCGCTTCCGGTCTTCTGGAACTCAATGATGTAGCCTTCAATCTTAGCACCACCATCGTGTTCTGGTCGGGTCCATGCCAGCAGGGCTGTGGTCTTGCCAATGTCCCTGATGACGGGTTTACCAGGAGCCCATGGAGGATCTGGAGAAGAGTTTGTTGGTTAACCTTAACAGAACAGCTGTAAAGTGAACCTGAGTGGGCTGACAGTACTGACTGACGTACCAATGGGATCTTTGATGAGGACAGGGTCGGTCTCTGCACTTGGTTTTCCAGGTCCAGCCAGATTTTCAGCCAGAACACGGAAGCGGTATTTCTTCTTGGTGGGGAGTCCCTTTACCCTGCAGACACACAGACATGGAAAATGTGCTTTCATTAAGGATGCAAGTTTGAAAGATTTTCTTAACTCAGCAGAGTTATTGATATCCCTGTTCTGATGCGGATGTGTTTGGTGACAGACACGTTTAGTAGCTGATGTGATGTAAATACATGTGGCTCGGGATTATAATTGTCATAGTAGTCTGCGTTATGTCTTAAATATACAGCTCTGCTTGGAGGTCCTGAACCTCCTCAGAGTCTCTGTCATGGTCCCACTGCTGCTAAACTCCCACAATGCTCTCTGCTGCCACCATGAGCTGTAGTCTGTAGACGCCTCCTCCGGTCTCTACAGGGTTAAACAGTGAGAGGCTCCACCTGGTGGAACAACCAGGTACTGCAGCTGGTCTGTGGTACATTTTCTAACATGCATGTGCTTTGTCGTCTGCCTTATCAGTTCATACGTCCTTAATCTGTTAAATCATTAACAGCAATTAACCATGAACATCCCTATGTTTCATCAACTCTCTACTTATTCACCTGAAGGTTGTGTCCTTGATGGGCAGTTTGTTGCATCTGATCCACTTGTCACTTTCTGGATCGAACTTCTCAATCCAGTATCCGGTAATGGGACTGCCGCCGTCTTCATCTGGCTCAAACCAGGTCAGAGTCACAGCATCCTTAGCAACGTCGGAGGGAGTCACCCTGGTTGGAGGACCAGGAGGATCTGAAACAGATGGAAAATAACTTCTTTGGTTGTCCAAGTTGTACCTGCCAACGTCCATTTTAAATAGTGATGTAAAAAAAACTCACCAAAGGAATACTTGGCAATGATTGGGGCGTGCTCGGCAGGTTCGCCAATGCCGTACTGGTTCTCAGCGCTGATCCTGAAGATGTACTCCTTCAGCGCTGTGAGCTTGCAGGCCTTGAAGGTTGTATGCTTCACAGTTGCTGACAGCTTCACCCACTCCTCTTTGTCCGTCTGACGACTCTCCACGATGTAGTTGGTGATGGCTGAGCCACCGTCGTCTCGTGGAGGGTTCCAGGCCAGGAAGCAGGACTCGTTGGTGATTTCAGAGATGTCGAAGGCGGCAGGAGGGCCAGGTTTATCTGAAGGAGAGGCGACAGAACGGGAACAACAGCTAATTTATTGGTATTTTCAGATGAACCAGATCATTGAAGTGACATCTGGTTGGTGGTTAATCCGGTAATTCTATTGTGGACTAGTGTAAAACTGAGAAAACAGAAAACTAGAAAGAAGTTCACTGAGATGTGTGTTGATTTATTCACTGATCGGTAAATCCAGTCTGTACCGAGGATGTTGACGTCGATGGTGGCGGTGGCACGTCCACAGGTGTTGACTGCCTCGATGATGTACGTGGCAGTGTCTCCTCTGGTGGTGTTGCCGATAGAAAGCTTGGAGTGGCCCGGTTGGGTGTCGATGGTGATGCGATCGTCGGCCCGCAGGACCAGGTCCGCTTTGGTCCACTTCACTCGGGGGTCGGGCTTTCCTTTGACATCGGCGTCAAGCTCGATCTTGGTACCGGCTCTGGCCGTCAGACCGGCCAGCAGTTTCACGTCCAGCTGGATCTCTGGAGGTTCTGTTGGAATAGTTCAAGAAAGTCATCACTCTGGATTGAACTTCTCCAACTGCCAGCCTTTTATTCACACTGGTTTCATTACTACTAGCTCTGATCTTACCAGTCAGTCAATCTGAATGCAAAATGTGTAGTAAACTTAATAAAACATTTGAATGGAGGATGGTTGAATTCTGGCAACAGTTATTTCCCATCACATCCAAATGCTGCAATGCTTTCAGTCAGAGAATCTCTTCACTGATCACAACCTCATATGATCCCTTTCTCATCAAGCTCCTGTCCAAGAAGCAGAGACCGGCCTACCTTTAGCGTCCACCGCCTGGATTTCATCGGTGGCCCTGCACGGTCGACTGGCTCCCAACTTGTTGAAAGCTCTGACCCTGTAGGCATACCACTGGCCCTCGATCAGGCCGGTCACCTGGAACCTGCAGCACAGAACACACATTACATCCATCTGTCCCAAATCAAAGACAAGATCACATATCAGTCCATTACACCAATCTGAAACATACACAGATTGTTATTAAAGTCTTACTTCAGTTCAGGCATGGGGTCACCACAGGGCTCCCACTTGTCGGTTCCACGCTGACACTTGTCCACCACATAGCCTTTAATATTGGCGCCGCCGTCGTACTTCGGAGGCTCCCAGGACAGGAAGATGCTCTTGGCGCTCTTATCGCGCCACTTCAGGTTCTCGGGGGGATCAGGTACCGCTGCAGGAAAACAACACAGATGAGATTCTGGACGTTGAAGAGGGTTTATATCTGGAGGAAACTGTATGTGTTTTTTAGGCCTGAAGTGTCTCCACTCAGAGGTTCATCTCTTCAGACTCACTGGCCGGAGACGAGACGTTGACGGGCTCGTCGATGTACGCCGGCTCTCCAGGTCCACACTTGTTGCAGGCGGTGACGCTGAACAGGTATTCTTTTCCCTCGATCACGTCGGTCACTGTGTGCTCCAGGTCCAGGACGCCTGTGGCCACCTGGAAAGCAGCCGCATCGTAATGTTGAGGTGTAAACAGAGAAGCTTTTTTCACACATTCTGTCCCTCTTCGGAGGTTTTGTGGTCTTAAACAGAATTTTAAGATACCGTTTGATTGCGTCTTTTGTCTGTTTTGTGTGTGAGTGCTGCTCTTTGTGTGTTTTATTTTTTACAAACACACACATTGTCTCTGTAGCTTACTTCCACAGACACACCTCAGGAAGATCACTTTCAGCATCATCTGTGACCAAATCAGCTGTAGCTATAGCGCTGGTAAATTCATACCTCCAATGCATCTTTTCTGTCTTTCTATATTATTTTCCTTTCAGCGAAACCCAACACAGATTGGATTTTGTGTCACCGAGGAATGTCCATGTTCTTCCAGACACAAGCTGTGCTGCCCATTGCAGCTTCAAACATACTTGCATCTTTCTCAAGACTTTGTGTGCATTCAGGACACTTCTAGTCACTTTTTGTTGAGTTATTTCAAGTCCAAACAGTCAAACTGCTGTTAATATTCAGTCGGGTCATCAGGCTCACCTTTGCCCAGGTCTTGCGAGACACTTCTCTCTTCTCGATCTGGTAGTGTGTGACCGGGCTGCCGCCATCGTGCTCCGGAGCCTCCCACATCAGGTGGACGTGGTGTCGGGTCACCTCAGCCACCTTGAAGTCTTTAGGAGCGCTGGGGCACGCTGGCAAAATAAAATCACCAAAGACATTCAACTTTCCAATAAACTGGATACAGCTGTGAAACATATTCTTTGAGTGTCGCAGAAATCGTCGTTACCGATCACGTTGACTTCGATCTCTCCAGACACAGATGTGACGTCGTTCTCCAGCTGCAGGGTGTAGGTGCCTTTGTCCGGACGGACACTCGGCGTGATGATCAGCTCTGTGAAGGAGGACTTTGTCATCATGGAGACGCGCTCGTCCGCAGTGGTCAGTTCCTTCTCTCCGAATGTCCACTTGGCGGCAGGAGTGGGGTATCCGGTGATGGGGACTCTGATGGTGAGCGGCTGAGGGACGATCACCTCCAGACCGTTCCTGAAGCCGCTCAGGTCGAGCGTCGGGCCGACTGCAGAGAGACATGTTTGGTTGAGATCTGCCATCTGACGGAACGTTTTGGTGTTTGAGAGGAATCAAACCAAAAGTATTAAATCCTGACAAGTATCAGCTGATTCTACACTTTGATCGATGCTGATTTTCTACTTTGATCCAAAGTTTCCTGAAACAAACATCGTTTTAATGACAGCACAGTCAGACCAGGTTCTTCTCCTCCACAGTTAGTTACATTTATACACAGCTTTTTAGAATTAAATTAAAGTTTTACTAATTCAAGCAACAGCCAGGAAGGTTTTTGACTCTACTGTTGATCCTACGGTTTGTCTCGTACCGTGAGGGTCGTCGGCGAGCAGCGGTCCGAGCTGCTCCGCTGGATCAGAGACACCAGCGGCGTTCTCAGCACAGACTCTGTACAGATACTTCTGACCAGGTTTCAGTCCCGACACCTGAAGATCACAACAGAAGCAAACAGACAACAGTTAGCTCAAATGAATCTGTGAAAACTAATGGCTGCAAGATCAAGAGAGACCGTTAGAGGATAAAAGAGTCAATTCTATCCGTATTCTGTACATTTACAGGTGTATCACTGTAGATTTGAGGTGTACTATAATATGTTTACCTGCTTTACTGTTCAAAAACATTGTTTTTCTTATTCTGCAGTGTTTAATGTGAGTTTATTGTCCCTTTGTTGCGGACTTTGGGCTTTGTAAGTTTGCAAACCTTTTACCAGAAATTGTCTAAAATGCAACAGGGTCCAGCCCACCTGCAACCCTCCACAGAATAAATCATGTATAGATCAACAGATGGATGTTCAAAACCACAAAATGTCAAAAATTACTGAGAACTTGGACAAAATGACTCAAAATGTCTAAAAGTTGTACCAAACAAACTAAACTGAGCTAAACTCAAACTCAACCTAGCAGAGCTTTAACATGCGAAACAAGCAGCTATGTAACACAAACACCAGAAGAACAACATGGATTCTTTCTCCGTACCCGGTAGGAGAGGTCCGGACACAGTCTGGCGTTGCAGCGGAGCCACTTGTCAGAGCCGTCGTCGCATTTCTCGATGATGTAGCCGGTGATCATGCTGCCGCCGTTGCTCACAGGCGTCTCCCAGCTCAGTGTCACCGCCGTCTTGATCTGATCGCTGAAGTTGAGGTTTAGCGGTGGGCTCGGCCTCTCTGCAGCCAGAACACACCAATGACATGAGATGCTGTTTCACACCAGGCAGAAAACTAGCGGCTGCTGGCTTTCACTCACCGATGGGATCCATGATCTTGACAGGGTTGGTGGCGGCGCTGGGCCTGCCGATGCCGGCCTTGTTCTCGGCTCGGACTCTGAAGATGTACTCCTTATTCTCCACCACGTCATTCAGCGCAGCTGAGCGGTCGCTGGCGCCGCAGACCATCGCCGCCTCCCACTTCACAGACGTCCTGTCGCGGAGCTCGATCACGTAGGCGGTGATCTCAGAGCCGCCATCAAACTTGGGAGGCTCCCAGGTGATGGTGGCGCCAAACCTGTTCACTGTGGCGACGGCAACGTTTTCTGGAGCGTCAGGAACGTCTGACCAAGAATAAACACATAAACACGAAGGGTTAAAACATGGACAGACACAACCAGGCCTCACATGCAGCAGGTCTTCTTTTCAGAGTCTTACTTGGTTTAAAGTTCAGTTTACTCAGAATCATGTGACTAATGAGCTCATCCACTGGATCTCTTGTGAGAAACATAATCAGATCCACATTAATGCCAATGTATTTCTAATTTCGTGATGTTTTAAAAATACAAATAGACACATTTCCATAATTTGACACAGAAAAGGAAGAAATGAATCAGAAAACAGCAACCAAAGGGTCAAAGACAATGATCACATAGAACAAGGTGACGTTTCTTACCGAACTTGTTCTTGGCCTGAACGGCATCCTCAGTGGCGACAATAGGTCCACTGCCGACTCTGTTTCGGGCGCAGACTCTGAACAGGTACATGGAGTCCTTCTGGAGGCCACTGACACAGTACTCTGGAGTATCAGCTCGGTCTGTCGCCAGAGTCCACGTTTTACGCTTCACGTCGCGTCTCTCTACAACGTAGGCGATGATCTTGCTGCCGCCATCGCTCTCCGGCTCCTCCCAGGCCAAACTGACCTCTCCGTCGGCAGTGTCAACCACTCTCAGGTTCTTGACGGGTCCAGGGACGTCTGAAATCCACCGACAGACATATCAGACACAGAAACTGGCAGGTATCTAATCCGTTGACATCGTTTTAACTCCCGGACTCACCGATCACGTCCAGGTTGATGAACGCCTCTCCTTCGCCGTGCTTGTTCTTGATGACCACCTTGTAGCGGCCCTGGTCCTCCTTGCTGGGGCTCTTCAGGCGGTACTCTGTCTTGTCGGCAGAGGTGTCGATGTTCTGGACGGGCAGACTGGTGCCCACAAAGAACCACTCGGCTTCGGCGCGCGGGTAAGCATCGTAGGGCACGCTCATGACGAAGGGTTTGCCTGCGTCCGTCACCAGATTCTGGTCGGTGGTTTTGATCTTTGGAACAGCTGCAGCGGAGATAAAAGAATTCAGGGAGAGTCCATTTGATCGACCCATTTAAAGCCTGAAGTGCTGAATATCATCCAACTGTGAGGAAACACTGAAGCTGCTCTGGTTGTCTGGTCCAACTACTCACGTAAAGCTGTTATTGTTGATCAATGAAATGTGAGAGACTTCTTACGATTCCTAAAATGTCCTTCAGCCTTTGGACGGAGCGGACTCACCTGCCAGCTCCAGCTTGGCTCGGGCGTCCTTGTCTTTGGCCACGATCCTGTACTCTCCCTGGTCTCTGGGTCGGATCTCACAGACCTGCAGTCTGTGCACTTTGCCTTCGCTGATCATCTGGTATTTGTCTCCTTGGACGATGATCATGTTGTTCCTCATCCACTTCACCTCCACCCGGTCCTTGTTGAGCTCCACCTCGAACACGATGTCCGAGCCCGGAGGTTCGAAGGCGTCCTGAGGAGGTCTGACGATCTCCACCGGAGTCTCTGCAGGACGGACAGACGTGAAGGTTTCAGAGAGAAAGCTTTACCTTCTGCTTTCTGCACCAAGAGGAATGAAGCGTTTACCTTCAACGAAGAGCCGGGCTCTGGTCCTCCTCTCGTCTACACCACAGGCGTACTCACACTCATCATCAGGTCGGCACACCTTGATGATCAATCTGCACATCTTGCCTTCCTTTTCCATGTGATATCTGGGAGGTATAAAGAGCATCATCTGGATCAGAGGAGGCGACTTTCACTGTGACGTTTGCTGCTTGTTGTTTGTCGTCACTGATGGTCACAGTTATTTTCTACACTTAGACTCAGAGCGCTGTCGTTACTTCCCACACGATGACGAATCACGTATTTGTTCGTCTTCTTTGTTTTTTACTAACATTCGCTACATTTTGCTGCTGCTTTAGGATGACACAAGGACTAGCTTAGCTGAGCCAGTTTAACTTAAATGAAGAACATTTAATCATCTGCTCCTGCTTCACTGTGAAAGAAGTACACGGCGAGCCACTAAACATTTAGCAGCTGAGTTTGACTCCTTCTGACAGAAATAAAGTTGTAGATACAAACAGTGTCGTTCTGACTGATGAGACGTTTCACTCCAGTTATCTGAACTGGTATTCTGACCAGTCAAACCACCGTTAAGTATCTCTGCAATCCATTTTGGATGGTCAGAATGAAAGACATCTCAAACATCATCATGAACAGACCTTAAAGAGCATTAACATCAATCTGTTCATCTTCTTCAGTGCATCAGGATCTAGCTGTTTCTACAAGGAAGGTGTTTTATTTGTCTAAAAGCATAAGAACACGTGCTTTTGTTGCATTACTATAAAACTTGACTGTTTCTGTCAGTTTATTTTCTAGTTTCTGTTTAATAACGGCACTGCTTTTCATTTTCACTTGTCAGCTTAACTACCCATCAGATACTTTGTCTTGTTCCTGTTTTGCGTCGGTCTCCTACATTATGTGGTTTGTCAGCTGCCAGTGAAGCACTTTGAACTTCATCTGATTTGTTTGAACAGTGTGGTGTAAATAAAGTTTGACTGATTGATCGTCTTTAAAAAGCACTGTTGGTGTGTTCACTCCATGCTGCTGATTTGAACGTGATACCTGGGTCCTTCTCTGATCTCCCGTCCGTTGCGGTACCACTTGACCACGGCCTTCTCTTTGCTCAGTTTGCAGGTGAACTCTGCGTCCTCGAACTCGGTGATGGTCTGATCTTTGAGCTGCGCCGTGAAGTCTGTCGGCGCCTCGCTGATGATCAGCTCGGCGGCGCACTTGTCGTCTCCGACCATGGCGGTGTACTCGCCCTCGTCATCCATGACGCAGTCCTTGATGTTCAAGGTGTGTTTGAGGCCGTCGGCTCTGTAGACGATGCGCTTGCTGAGCGTCACCTCCTGGCCAGCCTTCATCCACCTCACGGTCACCTCCGGACGGTTCACCTTACAGACGAAGCTGATGGTCTTCTTCTCCTGAGTCTCGACGTCCTCAATGGGCTCCAGGAACTTCAGCTTCTCCTCTGTGGATGAAGAGAGAGTTAATATGCCAAAAGACTGCCGGGGGTTCAGAGGGTTATAAAACGCCCAATAAAGTCTACTTTACCATGACCTCCACGTCCCTGAAGCTCCTGCTTAGAGGTAAAGCTATCTCCTGAACTCCAGCCTGGTTATAACACTGGGAGGACAACTGGGTTCCTCTAAAGGTTCATTGGGAAACGTGGCTGCGGTGGACGTTCACTAAAGTGATGCAACCTCACTCACCTGCGACTTTAGCGCTGGCGGAGCTCTTGGCCTGCTCTCCTCTCTGATTGGTCAGGTTGATGGTGTAGGTGGCCTCGTCGGCCTTCTGGGCGTCTTTGATCCTCAGAGAGAAGACGTTGTCCCTCTGAGCCATCATGTACTTGCTGCTCTCGAAAATGGTCTCTTCGTTCTTCAGCCACTTGGCCTTCGCTCCCTCAGCGTTCGTCTCACAGTTGAACACGATCTCGCTTCCTTCTTTCACCTCGGTGTCTTTAATCGGCGTGACGATTCTCAGTTTTTCTGGAATCATACAAAGTGATTAAAACCAATCCTGCACTCTGACAGACCCAAATCATACGTGAAGAGAAAACGGAGGTCTTACCAATCACATACAGATCGGCCGAGGCTTTAACGCTGCCGATGTGGGCAACGTAGCCTCCCTCATCCTTCAGGTCGCAGTTTTTCACAATAAGAGCCCTTCTCTTTCCTTCACTGATGATGGTGTACTTGTCTCCGGCTTCCACCTCCTTATCGCCTCTGAACCATTTCACCTCGTAGGTGTCTTTGGAGACAGAGCAGGCGAACTCGGCCTTCTCGCCCTCCACCACCTCCTGGTTCTGAGGACGGGCGATGAACTCGGCCGCCAGCTCTGGGAGGAACAAGAAGGAGGAGGAGGAGTCAAAGTGCAGCTGATTTCTGCAGGTGCTTTTACTGGTTTTGTTTTATTGCTTTTGTCTTTGACAGTTTTCATAAATCCAAACTAAAAGGTGAAACATAGATGAAAGCCTTCAGCAGCTCTGCCTGAAAACAGCAACATCCATCCAAGCTTCACAACAAGGCTCATGAACACCGAAGGAGCTTGTTCTCCTAGGAAGCTCCGCTGATATTCATTCATCAAGCTGGATTCATTTAATCACTTTAATGTACACAAAGTGTTTATTATTAAGGAAAATGGCATCAAAAAACTTGATTGCGACATCTGTACTCAAGAGTTTCCAACTAAAGGATTTTACTGCTACAGGAGTGATGAATACGAGCCCAGAGGCAGACGGAGATTCGGTGTCGTTACCGTTGAGTCTGAGCGTGGCCGACGTCTTGACGCTGGGACTCAGCCTGCAGTTGTATTCTCCAGCATCCTCCATCCTCAGGTCCTGGATGATCAGGATCCTCTTACGTCCGTCCATAACCTGCTCGTATCGGCCGCCCTCCGGCAGCTCCTCGTCTCCTCGGTACCAGGTGACGTCGGCGCTGGCCTTCGAGACCTCACAGATCATCTTCACGCTGTCCGTCTCTGTTCCCTCCACGTTGGACAGGTTCTTGGTGAACCTGGCTGCCTCCTCTGAGGACACACGGAGCAGCAGGGGTCAGTATCCACTCCGGTTTAAACGTTATGGTTGTCGATCCAACACAACATGTTTACAGAGCAGTCAACTCAGGGACACACAGCTTGTACAGAAATGTTTTGCTAAATCTTACATTTAGGAGTGTTTCAGTTCATTTCAAGCAAAGCTGTTGTAACATTCTGATGTGAAGTAACTAACTGATGTTCCTCACCGATGACGGTCAGCATGCCGGACGTCTTGGAGGTTCTGGCGTCGCATTCATACTCGGCCTCGTCATCAAACACCGACTTGTGGACGATGAGGATCCTCTGGACGCCCTTAGCAACGATCTCGTACTTCTTTCCTTTCCTGATCTCGCTGCCGTCCTTGAACCAGCGAACCTTGAAGCGTAACAACAGCAGAGTCGGTCCGGAGCAAGACAAGGATGATCTTTCAGTGACCAAGCTGATCATTTTAAGTGATCAGAGCAGCAGCTGATCGTTGTGTTTCTGTTTTCGATCTCACCTTGGCGGACTCCCGAGACACTTCACACTCAAACTTGGCAGATTCCTTCTCTTTGACCTCCACGTCCTGCAGAGGCTTCGTGAACTCCACATGAGGAGCTGTGGACACAAACGTGAAGGTGTTACAGCAAAAGCCAACGATTTAATCTCTTCATGTTATGTGAATATTTACTTTCAGGAATCCATAACAGACTATGGCAGGGGTGTCCAGTCCTGGTCCTCCAGGGCCACAGTCCTGCATGTCCTAGATGTTTCCTTCTTCCAACACATCTGATTCAAATGATCAGCTCATCATCAAGCTCTGCAGAAGCCTGATAACCATCCTGATCAGGGAAACATCTAGAACATGCAGGACTGTGGCCCTTGAGGACCAGGATTGGACACCCCTGGACTGTGGCCTATTTACAAGAACAAATCTGACTTTTTATGTCGTTGTTTCATTTTTTAAGTTTTTAAAGAATTTAAAGAAAAGTAAGTGTAAGTAACTCCTTTGTTTCACTGGCGAGCTGAGAACGTGGGAACAGCTGACGGAACAGGTGGAGTAAAGCAGTTTGTTGGGCTCTTACGTGTAACCTCCAGGAAGCAGGAGGTCTTGAACTCTTTGGCGTCACATGTGTACATCTTGGCGTCGTCCGGAGAGCAGTCGTGGATGATCAGCGCTCTCTTGCGTCCGTCAGATGTCGTGTCATACTTCTTGGTCTTTCTGATCTCCTGTCCATCCCTGAACCACCGAACCTCAGCGTTCTCTCTGGAAACTTCGCACTCCAGCGTGGCGGTGGCCTCCTCCTCCACCGTCTGGTCCTCCAGAGGCTTCGTGAACTCCACCGGCGGCTCTGGACAACACAAACACTGCTGCTTTGATCTGGTCATAAGGAACACCTAAGTTTCCTGCTTAGCTTAGCATTGTTAGCATGAGCCTCAGGTAGCGAGCTGAGCCACCAGACATCTTTTTACGATTTCATGCTGCAGAGTGACTTGAAACGTGTCCTAAATGACTCTAGAGTTGTCGCAAATTAATGCTAAATTGTACAAAACACCTAAAAAACAGCTAAAATTGTTTTGAATGATTCAGAATTTTTTCAAACAAACAAAAACTTGACTTAACTTAGAATGATCCGAAATGACAAAACCTGGTCCAAAATTATCCTAAAACTCTCCAAACCCACAAAAACTTGTTCAAAATCTGTCAGATTGTTTCAGAATGTGTCCAAAATAGCAAAACTGACTCGTCTGCCAAAGGTGAGAAAATGTGTTTCAGGTGGACTGACCCCAGACCTGCTCACAGTTACTCAGACTTTGTCCAGAGTGACAGATGGCCTAAAGCCAGCAGACAGGCTTTTCTAACTGGATGCTGCAGAGTTGTTTAATGCAGGGAGGTGCGCTTGTTTTACGGACCCTTGTAGCTGCTCAGCAGCCGCACCTGCAGCTCCACCTCATTAAACGGTCAAAATTGGAACAAGCAGGTCCTGCAGCTAATCCACAATACATTTCCTGACATGCATGAACTTCTTCTTCTGCCTTATTGGTCGATACTTTACTAATGAGTTAAATCGTGCACAGCAGTTAATTAGCAGTTGATCATTAACTGCTATGGTCACGTGTTTAGTGTTTTCCTCTGATAGCAGCAATATAAAGATCATTCTTATGGATTCCTGTATTTTAAATCGGTAGCTCATTAGCCGTAATTAAACACCTAACCAGTTCTCCTCAGCATGCCTACCTCTGACGATGAGCTGAGCCTGAGTCTGGAAGTCTTTGGTGGTCAGTTTGACCTCGCCGGCCTCCGACAGCTTCACGTCTCTGATGGTCAGAGCGTGAGCTCGACCCGCCGCCCGAGTCTTCACCTGCAGAGACCAAACAAAGCTCAGAGTTAGCGTGAGCTGCAGCTGTTTAAGACTGAATAACGTTTCTCCTGTAAACACACAGAAATACTGCTGGCTTCAGCCGAGCAGCACACCTGTACGGCTGCA